CGTGTCGCGAACTGCATGACAGTACATACCCGCTGCTCTGCCATTTCATTCCTCCTCCTCTTTCCTTTGTAATTGCATATAAACCCTCCACCCCCACAGGTCAGCAAGCACCTGTTGTTGCTGTCTGCCACGCACGAACCCATCAGCTGGTACCCGCTGGCGACGGCCGCGGTTGCCGTCGCCGCATTGGCACCTCTAGGGGTGCTGCTGCGGGCGCCTGGGCTGTACCGCACCCGACTGACGGCAATCACGCTGTGGCTGTACGAGCTGCCCATGCAAGTGCTCATGGTGTGTGGTTAGGCAGGGTGGTTAAGGGTCGTTGTAAGGGCGACTGTTACGGTGGTCGGATAGGGTGGTTGGGTAGTGCGGGGTGCCGGCTTTTGCAGTAACAGTGGTTAGGATGGTAAATGTACGGGCGACTGTTACCGGTACGACACACACGCGACGCACCCATTTGACACTGAACGGCTGTTACGTACCGGCGGTATTTGCGCAGATCGTCATCGCCGTACACCTGACGTATGCGGGCGGCAGCTCAGCTGATCTCCCTAGCAACAGCAGCAGCAGCCGCAGCCCGGCGCACGTGTCGCAACGAGTACAACTAGCGGCGTTGCAGGTAGGTGCGATAGCGGCCCTCGTTTGCTCCCATCTTCTTGCTTACTGCTGGTGCAAACATGCAACTACTGAAGCGGTATACTACCACCGTTGCGTTCTTGCAAGCCCACCGGTAGCGAGGCAGCCGCAATTGTTTGGCATCTTTGCTGGTTCCTAAGCAGCCCAATTTTGGTCTGCGTACCGAAATTTTGCTAATTACGCGCCTCTTCAGCCTAGCGCATGGTACAGAAGTGACATAGCAGCCGTCCATCTGCTATTTTTTTGTCCGGCCAAATGTATCATATACCATAGCTGATGATGACCTGGTTCCCCGCCCTTCCCCGCTGGCACGCAGTTCTTCATCAACCCCGGGCTACTCGGGCTTGACCCATGGGTCGTCGCGGGCTGCATGACGCTGCGCATCCTTCCCAACATCGTCCTCCTCACCCGGGTGTACGGCGTCCCGACCTGGCTAGCTGCCGTACAAAGCGCCGCCGCACTCGCCATCGCAGTGGCCATCAGCCCGGTGGCGGGGTGCGTGCAGGGGGCTTTCCTGCAGCGCCAGCAGTGTCAGCAGTAGCGAAGTATGTACAGACTATGTACGTAATATGTAGGGAGGGTAGGTAGGTAGGGTACGGCAGCTGTACAGAGCTACAGACTGTATTGTATCGGTATAGCTTCCGGTGGTTGTAACGGCAGGGCGAGTGTAGAATGTACACAAGGGGGTTCGCTCCTTCGCTGTGGGAAGCTAGTAAATTTATGCGTCGCTAGGTTTGTAAGAGGGATTGCAGGTTGGCAGGTATGCCGTAGGTCATGGATTGGTTCAGGGCAAGTGTGCCAGTGGGTTTGCATGGGAGCGTTGCAGGTGGCCTGAATTATGAAAGAGTTCAAGATGTTAATACCTGGCAAACCATACGTCAGCTGTGCGTTTTGAGGATGAGTTTCGGAGTTGGCCGGTCGTATGGTTATCGTTACCGTATTTACGACAGCTATGCTCGACGGTTGGGCGGGCGCGGTGGTTGAATGGCGATCATCAGCTGTTTCACAATAAACAACCCCTATGACTGCTGTGTTGGCCACCTGCCCCTGTTTGCTTGTGGATTGCTCCAAGGGATAGAAAGAGCTCTCATTCGCCTTCGTCGCTCGTTATTGTGGATCGCCACGCTAAACGCAAATATGCAGCAGATCCCTCGCGCGTCACCCTTATTTCTCACGGAACCGCCCGCGACGGACCCTTATGGAACGCAATCTGGGAATTTGAGGGTTTACTCGCTTAGTACCTTTTCTGTACGAACTCAACGTTCTTCTGCGGCGGAGTGCTCGTCCGTCGTCCCTAATTACTGATAACCGTTTCCGTAATGTACTATACCGGTCAGCAGTTTAGGTTCCAATCAGCCCTATACGGGGGGGCTCGTTTCTCGCCCGTCAGTACGCATGCTCGCATGCATTTAAAGCCGTGCTTTTTTGATTGTGAGCATTTGTATGCTTCGGGGTTACCTATACGACTGTCTAGATGCAATATATAGTCTTTTCTCTTCAGTTGTGAAGATGCGCGTTGGGAAGGTTAAGGATGGAGGGCAGTTGATGACCCGTGGGTCGGTTAAGCAACCTTGCCGGCTCCCTTATCTGGCGCTTGCCACGATCGGATGGTCGGAGCGGGTATAAAAGGTGTGCACGGGGGTTGCGGCACTGTCGGTTCCCGTTGTTCCCGTACGGAGTTGTGGACCCGATAGCTTTTGGCGTGCGCGTGTGCGCTGCTGGTAACCGCTGCCTGTACGTTGAAATAGGCGTCGCAGTTTACGGTAGGTTACGGTAACCGGAATAGTCGGGTTGACTAGAGGGATGACGTTAAGGGGGTTCAAATAGGTGCGCCTTTTGTGCATATATTACACAGCTTTCTTACTGAAATAAGCAAGACAGGAAACGGACAGCAGCAGGAAGATGAGGAGGGGGGGTGTACGGCGGCCAAGTGGCAGCGATATGACCCCGTAGTAGCGCATTTGGGCGCAGATGGCCGTTTAGGGCTTTGCATTGTTGTTGCTACCAAGGCCTGGCCCCATCTGCGAGATGTAGTGTATGGCAACTGTCGATACAGGGTCTGCATGCATGCGCCAGTTGAGAGTCAAGAGGGCACTCCTGGCTGCTACTCCGTTGGACGAGCGAAATAGGCACCCGCCGTGCTCTATGCATGTTCGAGAACCCATTGTAACATAGGTCCTAAAAGGCCTCTCGAGATGTCGTGAGAATTCCCTTCACGACTCTTATATTGTAGCCTTGCTACACCCGCCCTGCCTCGGCAACTGGGGTAGGTCTGAATGCGTCAGCGTGGGCGATGTGAACGGAGTTGCGCGACTGAGCAACAGTGTTTCTATCTTCCCTCCAGGGCGATCGTGGAACCCCACGATAAGTGACGTTTTAGGCCCAATCTTTTCGACAGCCCTCACGTTCGACCCCTGAAATTTTTCGTGTACGATCCGGGGCCTCCCAAGGGCCTATTTTTTCGAAAACCGTTTTCGAAAAGGGGCTGCTAGATTTTCGTGCCTTGACCAGCGGTAGTACAGCAGCCTAATGGAAGGGCCCAATTCACGACGTGCCCGTACCCTAAAGTGTAGCGCAGCGCTTCTGCTAGCCGTAACCCTTTTGCTCTCTTGGGGGAAGGGTCTCCCCCCCGACCTACTCACGCGCCCACGGTGGTTACTTGTGCGGTGGTAGTGTGCCTCCAGCCACTAGAAGTGGAAAGACCTTCCCCCTCATCACCCCACTTACCTTTGCCATGACGGATCCCGGCTGCTGCTAGCTAACCCCAACGGTAATTGCAACCCGCACCACCACGGTTATCATGCTAGGGTCCGCCACCGCTTTTCCTTACAAGGCAGCCTGGCAGCAGGGGCGACAGCCGATTGTTGTAAGCATTGCATGCTTTTACACTTGGCGCGGCGTCGATTAAGACACGCGTTCTGGGCGTTGTTGTAACGCTCACAGCATTCAGCGCTTGCCCACCTGAAAGACGCATACATCCACATTTCAGCCCAGCCTTTATACGGAGCTTCTTAAACATTGCTTGTTTGCTTCGGAATTCCAAGTCGCATGCAAATCGCTTAACATAAATGTTCCCGCCAAACCACTAGTAAGGCGAGTCTGTGCTCGCAGTTGCAAACTAATGTTGTAATGAACAAGCTTATTACATAAGGTTGAACACAAAAGCTAATAGGCATTGCCGTCGTGTAAGTCATGGTCGCAGTTCTTGCATGTACGACGCCCTTGGTAACTGCGAGCCAAGACTAGTAGAGGTATTCCCCCAAGAACCAGGTTGGTCTTGGCCTCTGCGGTGCTCGACAACGAAGCAAGGGAAGCCATATCAATGCAGCCCTTTGCACCACTGCACTGTCTGCGCCTTAGAAGACCCCTGGGACCATTCTGCTCCCAGGGGTCCTCCAGCATGCAGGACTGCCATGTACGCGTGTTGACACGTGTCCCCCTACCTCTTCATCACTTCACAGCTTTGGTTTGGAAGGAACAATAAGCAAAGGTATGGGCAGCAGTATACGTGCATTGGCCATGTGTGGCGTAAAAGTTCCATGTACCCCATCAGCTAACATATGGGTGGTCAGGGGTGCAGCAAGTTGGTAACAAGTTGCCTTACTTGTTTTCCCTAGTTGGGCGTTGTGCAATGTTCCCGTTACTCGTACGGTGTATGTGCCCAAACCCTGCCATGCACAAGCTATCCCTCCTAACTTTTAGCATGGTTTGGCTCAGCCAGGTTCCCGTTATGCCGCTCTAGCTAGCCATAACCATAACAACAAAAGGTTGAGCCCACAAAACCAGGTATCTGTGCCCTGTCTGTGCCATTGGAGGCTAGGAACAACTGAATTGGGCAGGCTCGGCGCGTGCCTCCGGCTCCGGGTTTCGGACCGTGAGGCAAAAATGTGAGCGTCGATCCCACGATCTTGAGCATGTTTGGCAAACTTTCATCGTGAGGCTCTACGATTACCGACCCTGAAAAAGCTCAAAGAACGTTGACGATTTTGGTCATTTTCCGCCTTATGAAATGTGCCATTTTCAGAAATTTTTCGAAAAAACGAAGTAAGATAGAAACGCTGCTGAGCAACACAGTAAGGATGGGGTTGGTGTCAAAAAATGTCGAAGCTTCCATGCATGCAGGGGAAATCAACAGGAAGGCAACTGGATGGGGATATAAGAGGCAGCTAGCGTGCTCAAGCCCGCAAGGCCAATGAGCCGTACACAAGTGTTTCCTTCTTCCTTTGGTATTCAGGTGAGGTGGCTGCTGCCGTATTGCGTATGCCATTTGGAACGTACGACAGCAGTCGTACTAAAGGAGACCCGCGGCGGTAGTTGCTCCAGATACTTGAGCGCACACTTGTGGGCATGGCTGCCGCGGTGCTGCTGGCTCATTAACACTAACAAACCCACAGGTGCTCCCTGCTCTTGCAGTGTAGGTGGGTTCAATGGGTGACCGTTACATTGGTTACAGTTGCTGGTAACATTGGTTACAGTTGCTGTTACAGTTAAGGAAGCCAGTTAAGAGCGTGAGACATGGGTACCTGAGGGTACATTGCCGTAGTACACACGGACAATAAGGTTGCAGATAAACGTACGAGCGGTTCCCCAAACCAGCCAGCCCAGATGGTCCCAGACTGAGCCTTGGGAGGGGAAAAGAGGGTAGGTCAGGGAATCCTCCCTCATGGACGTACTGCTGATGTTGAAGCATTCTCCTGAACCATCTGCCTATCTTAACAGGGTTAGGACTTGGTTTGGTCAATCAACATAGCACAACACTCCGCCTTCTTTACCAATGGAAAGCACGACATTTGTACGGAAAGGCCTGCCATAACCTGGTATGGCATCTACCATAAATTGTCAACATAATAAAGAAACTTCCAGGGGCCTCCCGAAACCTACGTATGATTTCCCGTACAGGGTTTCGGAGGGAAACTGACCCACGGGTCACATACTGTCGAGAACAAGTCCACGGCTGTAAAAGCAAATTCACCTATCGGGTTGCAGCATAACATTCAAGCATACTCGGTACGACCAGCGCATTCCAAGCCTAACCGCATTGACAGCCTAACCGGCAACAATGCAAAACGCCGTTAGGACAAGATTTCCCAGTCATGAGAAAACAACTTTAACCGTTACGCAATGTATGATCAAATCATGACAGGTGCGTGGAGACGCACAAATACCTGTCAGTAAACAGGTAATCCACGAGTCGTAACATAACAATTCATTTCTTCGAACCAAACCTCTCAAGGTATTACGGGTACAGCAACTTTTCGTCCCGCCGCTGTTCATGTACGGGCTGTGATGTACAATGACGTAACGGGGGTCATTATGACTCAAGTCAGCATATAAATGGATGTTATGCCAGTTTCTTGGTGAATGGCATTACGATCAAGGGCAGGTTGAAACGGAAGCCGACATTGCAGTCAAACCGAAACCAAACTGGAGCCTTCGAAACCCTTCGACAATACAACCAAACCAGTCATCATCTTACAACATGTCCACGAGTGATCGCCAGGGAATGAAGGCTACGTGCACTTAACAAGCATTGGCAACCAGGCATGGTGGTGCAATGCTGTGTTGTGGTGCACTGCATTTGTCAATTCGTGCTGCCACTCCCACCAATCATATATCCCAATCACCCTTTCACGTGACCGCTTGTCAAGCGCTCTTCCCATGCGGATGCCCTTACGAATGCGCTGCTGCAATAGCCGCTCCCATGCCGCTGTACGTAAGCGCAGAAGGTCAGCCTCCTGCAGCCCTGCATGCTGAACATGCTGGATCAAAGCTTCATGTAGGCGTTCGTTTCCATAGACCCCAGCTCAGCGAAAGTGTGAGGTGCCCACCAGCTGCTGCTGCTACCCGGGCTCGCCCGCAGACTCGGGTATCGGCGTGAAGCCCGTCACGTCTAGCGCGGGTGTCTGCTGGTCTAGCCGGAGACTGTTAGACTCATTTGTTCCAGTCGCCGGCCAGGCATCCATCCTCGCACCGCCGGCCATGGGCTGCTGATTCTCTATGGCCCATGCCGTAGCAGCAGCCATGTTACGTTCGCCGAGGTTGGAGTGGCTTAGGAACCTAAAGGTGGCTCTTGCGCGCCACCTCGGTTCATCAACAGTAGTTGACGCCCCCATTACCATCAGCACTGTTACCACCATCACCATTATCACGGTAACCGCTTTATGTAACAGAGGCCACATTGGCAACGTTCCTGGAAGGAGGCCTGTGTTGTTCCCCGATGCGTTAATGATTATCGCCAGCCGGCTGCTGCGGTCTTGGAGGTGGGACTGCAGGAGTAGTGCTACTGCTGCTGGTAGTAGTGTCGGTTTCTGGGGCTTCGGAGCCCAGTATCAGGTCACGCAGTAAAAGGCTGGCACGTGCGAAGACGCTGGGCCCTGTAATGTAGTCCGCACCGCTGCTGCTTGGGGCAGCCCCACGGGGCATCACATCTCCATTAGCCTGATTTGGACTTGGTGGTGCCTTGAAAGAAGTCGTCTGCGTCCCTGGGTTAACGCCAGTAGGTATATCAATATTCGTGTCGGGAACAGTAGTGGTAGATCTGCCACCACCTGCACTGTATTCCCGAGCTGCTGCTGATATCCCCGGCAGCACGAATTCGGGAGGATTCAGATCATTATTAGAAGTGCCAAAGCGGTCATGGTTTCCAAAGGTCCTTGCGGAGTGGTGTGGTGACAACCAAGAGCGGCGCACCACCGGTGGCTGCTGCTGTTGCTGCTGGGATGAGCTGATGAATAAACCATCAGGGCCGCTTCTGGTGATGTTGATAACACTTCTACTGTTTCCTGGGACGGTGCTACTCGCATAGCCGCCGTCTGGCCCAGCAGCAGCAGCAGCAGCCATGCCCAGCTGGTTTTGAAGGTTGCTGCTGGTCTGCACCGGCGAGTCGGCTGCAAAACCAGCGGTGGGCGTCGTCCGGCGGAGGGAACCGCTGGGTTCACGTTGCATGGCTACTTTTGCACTACCGGTACGACTGGAGCCCAGTAGTACTGCGCCACTGCTGGCAAAGGGGCCTCCGACTTCCTGCACCGGTAATTGTTCAACGGACAACTTGCTAGAACTGCTTCGAGCCATGGGTGGATGCACACGCTGACTAGCCCAGCGCCGGATGCTGCTGCTGCCTGTGTCCGTTCCACTACCTGCTGCCTCCCATGCGCCGCCGCTATCAGTTTCATGCTGATGTATCTCGGCTGTGGGCGGCCTAAGGACTGCTGGGTCGGCCAATGAGGCTGGCTGCGGCTGCTGTGATTGCTGAGGCAGAGGAGCATCATTTGCGTGTGTTGTGTCGTCATGCTGCTGCACGCCGTTGCTGTAGGGTTGCACGCGCCCGCCACCACTGTGAAGCTCCTGCCGCAGCCTCATGAAAGCCGCCTTGGAGCTGCTTAGCAGCAGGGAACCTCCGCGCCTAGCTTCAGTAGCAGAACAGCTGCTGCCCTCCACTTTCCACTTGCTCAGGTCGTGTGGGCGTCGATAGAAGGGCAACGCTCCAGACGTGTAGCTAGCCGCCCGTGCGGCGCGTTCAGCAATTGCTGTCCCAAGCTGTCCCTCCCCACGAGCCGTCTGAGACTTACTTAGGCTGTAAGACCCGCGTCGTATTGCTGCATCGCCACCAGCGCTGCCAGCACCAACAACACCGCCCTCACAGGCTAGCCGGGCACTGCAGTGAGCGGCTCTCTGAGGTTAGGTGCGGTGACAAGCAAGTCGCCTCCCACCAACACAGGCACACTGTTCTGACGGGTAGCCATGCCGGAAAACAGCGCCTCGTTTGCCCCGGCCGCGGTGCTCCACAGCTGGCTGCTGCGGTTGCTGTACCGACTGCTGGTCAGCAGGAGCCGGCCGCCGCTGGCTGCTGCTGCTGCTGCAGCCGAACCACCTTGCATGGCGCTCATGTTAGTGAAGGAGTCTGTTGTGTTGAACAAGATGCTGACGTCTTGCTCCCGTACACCATTATCACCACTCCGGAGGTTGCTGTGGGCCGGAGCTATCGAGGCCGCGACTTCGTCCGCAGCTGCCTTAAGCATGACTTCTCGGTCGGTCGGGTCATGCGCGGGGAGACCCACGACCGAGTTGCCTGAACCCATGGCGACACGAACCTGTGCGTCTGTGTCGGCACGGTCATTGTGAAATTGTGTCCGGGTGACGGTGCGTCGCGTCACACGCCCCAGAACAATGCAGCCCGTTAGAAGCAGCAAGGCTCCAAGGGCCACGAGCAGCCATATCCAGGGTGGAAGCGCTTGGTTGGGTTCTGCTGGTGGGGCTGGAGGAGGAGCAAGCAGCCCTGCTGCTCCAGCACCAGCAGCCGTCCCGGGCTGCTGGTCTGTAGAGGCTGCTGTGGCGGAGGGAATGTCGGGCATGCGTGCACGGGAGGAGATGGATTCCTGTAGAGGGGCAAAATGAATGGGACGGTTTGGTTATCGAGTCAGAGGGGGCGCCTGCTGTGGCAGAACGTGCATGTGAGCGGGTCTAATCATCGTCTGTCGTGCTTCAGAGCCCCAGCCCTTGCAATTGAACGCCATGCTGAGAGGTGCCGCTCCCTATTCCCACGTCACGCAATCAAGTGGGGCAAGGCGGTATCCTGGTGAGCCTTGTATTGTGACGATCTATACATTGTATCTAGGCTTGTCGACCGTTATTAATTGAGTAAGGGTCCTTGCAAGCCAATCCAAATAAAGGCTGGCGTGAGGATAACATGGACTGGTCGCATGGAAGCATGTTCGTGTATCCTGACCTGATCTGCTACACTGTAGCCGGGTGACGGTGATGAAGAAAGCAATGAAGGCGAAGGGCCTGTCGGCGGCTGTGGTTTAGGGCTAGGTGTTGAAGGAGGAGAGGGAAATGACAAAGGCTGTGGTGGGGGGCTAGGCAGTGAGACAGAAGAGACGATCATTGGAGGAAGTGATGGGGGGCCTGGCGAGGGCAACGTTGGAAGCTGTGGTGGGCGGCTAGGCTGGGCAGGAGGTGGTGGAGGCGAGGGCGGCGATGGAGGCTGTGGAGGGGGGCTAGGTGGTGAAGGAGGTGGTGGAGGCGAGGGAGGTGATGGAGGCTGTGGAGGAGGGTTAGGTGGTGTAGGAGATGGGGGCGGCGAGAGAGATGATGGAGGCTGTGGCGGGGGGCTAGGTGGTGAAGGAGGTGGGGGAGGCGAGGGAGGTGAGGGAGGCTGTGGAGGGGGGCTAGGTGATAAAGAAGGTGAGGGAGGCGAGAGAGATGATGGAGGCTGTGGTGGGGAGCCAGGTGGTGTAGGAGGTGGTGGAGGCGAGGGCGGCGATGGATGCTGTGGAGGAGGGTTAGGTGGTGTAGGAGATGGGGGCGGCGAGAGAGATGATGGAGGCTGTGGCGGGGGGCTGGGTGGTGAAGGAGGTGGGGGAGGCGAGGGAGGTGAGGGAGGCTGTGGAGGGGGGCTAGGTGGTGAAGGAGGTGGTGGAGGCGAGGGAGGTGATGGAGGCTGTGGAGGGGGGCTAGGTGGTGAAGGAGGTGGTGGAGGCGAGGGAGGTGATGGAGGCTGTGGAGGGGGGCTAGGTGGTGAAGGAGGTGGGGGAGGCGAGGGAGGTGATGGAGGCTGTGGTGGGGGGCTAGGTGGTGAAGGAGGTGGTGGAGGCGAGGGCGGCGATGGATGCTGTGGAGGAGGGTTAGGTGGTGTAGGAGATGGGGGCGGCGAGAGAGATGATGGAGGCTGTGGCGGGGGGCTAGGTGGTGAAGGAGGTGAGGGAGGCGAGGGCGGCGATGGAGGCTGTGGTGGGGGGCTAGGTGGTGAAGGAGGTGGTGGAGGCGAGGGCGGCGATGGAGGCTGTGGCGGGGGGCTAGGTGGTGTAGGAGGTGGGGGAGGCGAGGGCGGCGATGGAGGCTGTGGCGGGGGGCTAGGTGATGAAGGAGGTGGGGGAGGCGAGGGAGGTGATGGAGGCTGTGGCGGGGGGCTGGGTGGTGTAGGAGGTGGTGGAGGCGAGGGAGGTGATGGAGGCTGTGGAGGGGGGCTAGGTGGTGAAGGAGGTGGTGGAGGCGAGGGAGGTGATGGAGGCTGTGGAGGGGGGCTAGGTGGTGAAGGAGGTGGTGGAGGCGAGGGAGGTGATGGAGGCTGTGGTGGGGGGCTAGGTGGTGTAGGAGGTGGGGGAGGCCAGGGAGGTGATGGAGGCTGTGGAGGGGGGCTAGGTAGTGAAGGAGGTGGGGGAGGCGAGGGAGGAGATGGAGGCTGTGGAGGGGGGCTAGGTGGTGAAGGAGGTGGGGAAGGCGAGGGAGGTGATGGAGGCTGTGGAGGGGGGCTAGGTGGTGAAGGAGGTGGTGGAGGCGAGGGAGGTGATGGAGGCTGTGGCGGGGGGCTAGGTGGTGAAGGAGGTGGGGGAGGCGAGGGAGGTGATGGAGGCTGTGGAGGGGGGCTAGGTGGTGTAGGAGGTGGGGGAGGCGAGAGAGATGATGGAAGCTGTGGTGGGGGGCTAGGTGGTGTAGGAGGTGGGGGAGGCCAGGGAGGTGATGGAGGCTGTGGAGGGGGGCTAGGTAGTGAAGGAGGTGGGGGAGGCGAGGGAGGTGATGGAGGCTGTGGAGGGGGGCTAGGTGGTGTAGGAGGTGGGGAAGGCGAGGGAGGTGATGGAGGCTGTGGTGGGGGGCTAGGTGGTGTAGGAGGTGGGGGAGGCGAGGGAGGTGATGGAGGCTGTGGAGGGGGGCTAGGTGGTGAAGGAGGTGGGGGAGGCGAGGGAGGTGATGGAGGCTGTGGCGGGGGGCTAGGTGGTGAAGGAGGTGGGGGAGGCGAGGGAGGTGATGGAGGCTGTGGAGGGGGGCTAGGTGGTGAAGGAGGTGGTGGAGGCGAGGGAGGTGATGGAGGCTGTGGTGGGGGGCTAGGTGGTGTAGGAGGTGGTAGAGGCGAGGGAGGTGATGGAGGCTGTGGCGGGGGGCTAGGTGGTGTAGGAGGTGGGGGAGGCGAGGGAGGTGATGGAGGCTGTGGAGGGGGGCTAGGTGGTGAAGGAGGTGGTGGAGGCGAGGGAGGTGATGGAGGCTGTGGAGGGGGGCTAGGTGGTGAAGGAGGTGGGGGAGGCGAGGGAGGTGATGGAGGCTGTGGAGGGGGGCTAGGTGGTGAAGGAGGTGGGGGAGGCGAGGGAGGTGATGGAGGCTGTGGAGGGGGGCTAGGTGGTGAAGGAGGTGGTGGAGGCGAGGGAGGTGATGGAGGCTGTGGAGGGGGGCTAGGTGGTGAAGGAGGTGGTGGAGGCGAGGGAGGTGATGGAGGCTGTGGTGGGGGGCTAGGTGGTGTAGGTGGTGGTGGAGGCGAGGGCGGCGATGGAGGCTGTGGTGGGGAGCCAGGTGGTGTAGGAGGTGGTGGAGGCGAGGGCGGCGATGGAGGCTGTGGAGGGGGGCTAGGTGGTGTAGGAGGTGGTGGAGGCGAGGGAGGTGATGGAGGCTGTGGTGGGGGGCTAGGTGGTGTAGGAGGTGGGGGAGGCGAGGGAGGTGATGGAGGCTGTGGTGGGGAGCCAGGTGGTGTAGGAGGTGGTGGAGGCGAGGGAGGTGATGGAGGCTGTGGAGGGGGGCTAGGTGGTGTAGGAGGTGGGGGAGGCGAGGGAGGTGATGGAGGCTGTGGAGGGGGGCTAGGTAGTGAAGGAGGTGGGGGAGGCGAGGGAGGTGATGGAGGCTGTGGAGGGGGGCTAGGTGGTGTAGGAGGTGGGGGAGGCGAGGGAGGTGATGGAGGCTGTGGTGGGGGGCTAGGTGGTGTAGGAGGTGGTGGAGGCCAGGGAGGTGATGGAGGCTGTGGTGGGGGGCTAGGTGGTGAAGGAGGTGGGGGAGGCGAGGGAGGTGATGGAGGCTGTGGTGGGGGGCTAGGTGGTGTAGGAGGTGGGGGAGGCGAGGGAGGCGATGGAGGCTGTGGTGGGGGGCTAGGTGGTGTAGGAGGTGGGGGAGGCGAGGGAGGTGATGGAGGCTGTGGAGGGGGGCTAGGTGGTGAAGGAGGTGGTGGAGGCGAGGGCGGCGATGGAGGCTGTGGAGGGGGGCTAGGTGGTGAAGGAGGTGGGGGAGGCGAGGGAGGTGATGGAGGCTGTGGTGGGGAGCCAGGTGGTGTAGGAGGTGGTGGAGGCGAGGGAGGTGATGGAGGCTGTGGAGGGGGGCTAGGTGGTGTAGGAGGTGGGGGAGGCGAGGGCGGCGATGGAGGCTGTGGAGGGGGGCTAGGTGGTGTAGGAGGTGGGGGAGGCGAGGGAGGTGATGGAGGCTGTGGAGGGGGGCTAGGTGGTGAAGGAGGTGGGGGAGGCGAGGCAGGTGATGGAGGCTATGGAGGGGGGCTAGGTGGTGTAGGAGGTGGTGGAGGCGAGGGCGGCGATGGAGGCTGTGGTGGGGAGCCAGGTGGTGTAGGAGGTGGTGGAGGCGAGGGCGGCGATGGAGGCTGTGGTGGGGAGCCAGGTGGTGTAGGAGGTGGTGGAGGCGAGGGCGGCGATGGAGGCTGTGGAGGGGGGCTAGGTGGTGTAGGAGGTGGGGGAAGCGAGGGAGGTGATGGAGGCTGTGGAGGGGGGCTAGGTGGTGAAGGAGGTGGTGGAGGCGAGGGAGGTGATGGAGGCTGTGGAGGGGGGCTAGGTGGTGAAGGAGGTGGTGGAGGCGAGGGAGGTGATGGAGGCTGTGGCGGGGGGCTAGGTGGTGTAGGAGGTGGGGGAGGCGAGGGAGGTGATGGAGGCTGTGGAGGGGGGCTAGGTGGTGAAGGAGGTGGTGGAGGCGAGGGAGGTGATGGAGGCTGTGGAGGGGGGCTAGGTGGTGTAGGAGGTGGGGGAGGCGAGGGCGGTGATGGAGGCTGTGGTGGGGGGCTAGGTGGTGTAGGAGGTGGGGGAGGCGAGGGAGGTGATGGAGGCTGTGGTGGGGAGCCAGGTGGTGTAGGAGGTGGTGGAGGCGAGGGAGGTGATGGAGGCTGTGGAGGGGGGCTAGGTGGTGTAGGAGGTGAGGGAAGCGAGGGAGGTGATGGAGGCTGTGGAGGGGGGCTAGGTAGTGAAGGAGGTGGGGGAGGCGAGGGAGGTGATGGAGGCTGTGGAGGGGGGCTAGGTGGTGTAGGAGGTGGGGGAGGCGAGAGAGATGATGGAAGCTGTGGTGGGGGGCTAGGTGGTGTAGGAGGTGGGGGAGGCGAGGGAGGTGATGGAGGCTGTGGTGTGGGGCTAGGTGGTGAAGGAGGTGGTGGAGGCGAGGGAGGTGATGGAGGCTGTGGAGGGGGGCTAGGTGGTGAAGGAGGTGGTGGAGGCGAGGGAGGTGATGGAGGCTGTGGAGGGGGGCTAGGTGGTGAAGGAGGTGGGGGAGGCGAGGGAGGTGATGGAGGCTGTGGAGGGGGGCTAGGTGGTGAAGGAGGTGGGGGAGGCGAGGGAGGTGATGGAGGCTGTGGCGGGGGGCTAGGTGGTGAAGGAGGTGGGGGAGGCGAGGGAGGTGATGGAGGCTGTGGAGGGGGGCTAGGTGGTGAAGGAGGTGGGGGAGGCGAGGGAGGTGATGGAGGCTGTGGTGGGGGGCTAGGTGGTGTAGGTGGTGGTGGAGGCGAGGGAGGTGATGGAGGCTGTGGTGGGGAGCCAGGTGGTGTAGGAGGTGGTGGAGGCGAGGGCGGCGATGGAGGCTGCGGTGGGGAGCCAGGTGGTGTAGGAGGTGGTGGAGGCGAGGGCGGCGATGGAGGCTGTGGAGGGGGGCTAGGTGGTGTAGGAGGTGGGGGAAGCGAGGGAGGTGATGGAGGCTGTGGAGGGGGGCTAGGTGGTGAAGGAGGTGGTGGAGGCGAGGGAGGTGATGGAGGCTGTGGAGAAGGGCTAGGTGGTGAAGGAGGTGGGGGAGGCGAGGGAGGTGATGGAGGCTGTGGCGGGGGGCTAGGTGGTGTAGGAGGTGGGGGAGGCGAGGGAGGTGATGGAGGCTGTGGAGGGGGGCTAGGTGGTGAAGGAGGTGGTGGAGGCGAGGGAGGTGATGTAGGCTGTGGAGGGGGGGTAGGTGGTGAAGGAGGTGGGGGAGGCGAGGGAGGTGATGGAGGCTGTGGCGGGGGGCTAGGTGGTGTAGGAGGTGGGGGAGGCGAGGGAGGTGATGGAGGCTGTGGCGGGGGGCTAGGTGGTGTAGGAGGTGGGGGAGGCGAGGGCGGCGATGGAGGCTGTGGAGGGGGGCTAGGTGGTGTAGGAGGTGGGGGAGGCGAGGCGGCGATGGAGGCTGTGGTGGGGAGCCAGGTGGTGTAGGAGGTGGGGGAGGCGAGGGAGGTGATGGAGGCTGTGGTGGGGGGCTAGGTAGTGAAGGAGGTGGGGGAGGCGAGGGAGGTGATGGAGGCTGTGGAGGGGGGCTAGGTGGTGAAGGAGGTGGTGGAGGCGAGGGAGGTGATGGAAGCTGTGGTGTGGGGCTAGGTGGTGAAGGAGGTGGTGGAGGCGAGGGAGGTGATGGAGGCTGTGGAGGGGGGCTAGGTGGTGAAGGAGGTGGTGGAGGCGAGGGAGGTGATGGAAGCTGTGGTGGGGGGCTAGGTGGTGAAGGAGGTGGTGGAGGCGAGGGAGGTGATGGAGGCTGTGGTGGGGGGCTAGGTGATGTAGGAGGTGGGGGAGGCGAGGGCGGCGATGGAGGCTGTGGAGGGGGGCTAGGTGGTGTAGGAGGTGGGGGAGGCGAGGGCGGCGATGGAGGCTGTGGTGGGGAGCCAGGTGGTGTAGGAGGTGGGGGAGGCGAGGGAGGTGATGGAGGCTGTGGAGGGGGGCTAGGTGGTGAAGGAGGTGGTGGAGGCGAGGGCGGCGATGGAGGCTGTGGTGTGGGGCTTGGTGGTGAAGGAGGTGGGGGAGGCGAGGGAGGTGATGGAGGCTGTGGAGGGGGGCTAGGTGGTGAAGGAGGTGGTGGAGGCGAGGGAGGTGATGGAGGCTGTGGAGGGGGGCTAGGTGGTGAAGGAGGTGGGGGAGGCGAGGGAGGTGATGGAGGCTGTGGAGGGGGGCTAGGTGGTGAAGGAGGTGGTGGAGGCGAGGGAGGTGATGGAGGCTGTGGTGGGGAGCCAGGTGGTGTAGGAGGTGGTGGAGGCGAGGGCGGCGATGGAGGCTGTGGAGGGGGGCTAGGTGGTGAAGGAGGTGGGGGAGGCGAGGGAGGTGATGGAGGCTGTGGAGGGGGGCTAGGTGGTGAAGGAGGTGGGGGAGGCGAGGGAGGTGATGGAGGCTGTGGAGGGGGGCTAGGTGGTGAAGGAGGTGGGGGAGGCGAGGGAGGTGATGGAGGCTGTGGAGGGGGGCTAGGTGGTGAAGGAGGTGGGGGAGGCGAGGGAGGTGATGGAGGCTGTGGTGGGGGGCTAGGTGGTGTAGGTGGTGGTGGAGGCGAGGGCGGCGATGGAGGCTGTGGTGGGGAGCCAGGTGGTGTAGGAGGTGGTGGAGGCGAGGGCGGCGATGGAGGCTGTGGTGGGGAGCCAGGTGGTGTAGGAGGTGGTGGAGGCGAGGGCGGCGATGGAGGCTGTGGAGGGGGGCTAGGTGGTGTAGGAGGTGGGGGAAGCGAGGGAGGTGATGGAGGCTGTGGAGAAGGGCTAGGTGGTGAAGGAGGTGGGGGAGGCGAGGGAGGTGATGGAGGCTGTGGCGGGGGGCTAGGTGGTGTAGGAGGTGGGGGAGGCGAGGGAGGTGATGGAGGCTGTGGAGGGGGGCTAGGTGGTGAAGGAGGTGGTGGAGGCGAGGGAGGTGATGGAGGCTGTGGAGGGGGGGTAGGTGGTGAAGGAGGTGGGGGAGGCGAGGGAGGTGATGGAGGCTGTGGCGGGGGGCTAGGTGGTGTAGGAGGTGGGGGAGGCGAGGGCGGCGATTGAGGCTGTGGAGGGGGGCTAGGTGGTGTAGGAGGTGGGGGAGGCGAGGGCGGCGATGGAGGCTGTGGTGGGGAGCCAGGTGGTGTAGGAGGTGGGGGAGGCGAGGGAGGTGATGGAGGCTGTGGTGGGGGGCTAGGTAGTGAAGGAGGTGGGGGAGGCGAGGGAGGTGATGGAGGCTGTGGAGGGGGGCTAGGTGGTGAAGGAGGTGGTGGAGGCGAGGGAGGTGATGGAAGCTGTGGTGTGGGGCTAGGTGGTGAAGGAGGTGGTGGAGGCGAGGGAGGTGATGGAGGCTGTGGAGGGGGGCTAGGTGGTGAAGGAGGTGGGGGAGGCGAGGGAGGTGATGGAGGCTGTGGAGGGGGGCTAGGTGGTGAAGGAGGTGGGGGAGGCGAGGGAGGTGATGGAGGCTGTGGAGGGGGGCTAGGTGGTGAAGGAGGTGGGGGAGGCGAGGGAGGTGATGGAGGCTGTGGTGGGGGGCTAGGTGGTGTAGGTGGTGGTGGAGGCGAGGGCGGCGATGGAGGCTGTGGTGGGGAGCCAGGTGGTGTAGGAGGTGGTGGAGGCGAGGGCGGCGATGGAGGCTGTGGTGGGGAGCCAGGTGGTGTAGGAGGTGGTGGAGGCGAGGGCGGCGATGGAGGCTGTGGAGGGGGGCTAGGTGGTGTAGGAGGTGGGGGAAGCGAGGGAGGTGATGGAGGCTGTGGAGGGGGGCTAGGTGGTGAAGGAGGTGGTGGAGGCGAGGGAGGTGATGGAGGCTGTGGAGAAGGGCTAGGTGGTGAAGGAGGTGGGGGAGGCGAGGGAGGTGATGGAGGCTGTGGCGGGGGGCTAGGTGGTGTAGGAGGTGGGGGAGGCGAGGGAGGTGATGGAGGCTGTGGAGGGGGGCTAGGTGGTGAAGGAGGTGGTGGAGGCGAGGGAGGTGATGGAGGCTGTGGAGGGGGGGTAGGTGGTGAAGGAGGTGGGGGAGGCGAGGGAGGTGATGGAGGCTGTGGCGGGGGGCTAGGTGGTGTAGGAGGTGGGGGAGGCGAGGGCGGCGATTGAGGCTGTGGAGGGGGGCTAGGTGGTGTAGGAGGTGGGGGAGGCGAGGGCGGCGATGGAGGCTGTGGTGGGGAGCCAGGTGGTGTAGGAGGTGGGGGAGGCGAGGGAGGTGATGGAGGCTGTGGTGGGGGGCTAGGTAGTGAAGGAGGTGGGGGAGGCGAGGGAGGTGATGGAGGCTGTGGAGGGGGGCTAGGTGGTGAAGGAGGTGGTGGAGGCGAGGGAGGTGATGGAAGCTGTGGTGTGGGGCTAGGTGGTGAAGGAGGTGGTGGAGGCGAGGGAGGTGATGGAGGCTGTGGAGGGGGGCTAGGTGGTGAAGGAGGTGGTGGAGGCGAGGGAGGTGATGGAAGCTGTGGTGGGGGGCTAGGTGGTGAAGGAGGTGGTGGAGGCGAGGGAGGTGATGGAGGCTGTGGTGGGGGGCTAGGTGATGTAGGAGGTGGGGGAGGCGAGGGCGGCGATGGAGGCTGTGGAGGGGGGCTAGGTGGTGTAGGAGGTGGGGGAGGCGAGGGCGGCGATGGAGGCTGTGGTGGGGAGCCAGGTGGTGTAGGAGGTGGGGGAGGCGAGGGAGGTGATGGAGGCTGTGGAGGGGGGCTAGGTGGTGAAGGAGGTGGTGGAGGCGAGGGAGGTGATGGAGGCTGTGGTGTGGGGCTAGGTGGTGAAGGAGGTGGGGGAGGCGAGGGAGGTGATGGAGGCTGTGGAGGGGGGCTAGGTGGTGAAGGAGGTGGTGGAGGCGAGGGAGGTGATGGAGGCTGTGGAGGGGGGCTAGGTGGTGAAGGAGGTGGTGGAGGCGAGGGAGGTGATGGAGGCTGTGGTGGGGGGCTAGGTGGTGTAGGTGGTGGTGGAGGCGAGGGCGGCGATGGAGGCTGTGGTGGGGAGCCAGGTGGTGTAGGAAGTGGTGGAGGCGAGGGCGGCGATGGAGGCTGTGGTGGGGAGCCAGGTGGTGTAGGAGGTGGTGGAGGCGAGGGCGGCGATGGAGGCTGTGGAGGGGGGCTAGGTGGTGTAGGAGGTGGTGGAGGCGAGGGAGGTGATGGAGGCTGTGGTGGGGGGCTAGGTGGTGTAGGAGGTGGGGGAGGCGAGGGAGGTGATGGAGGCTGTGGTGGGGAGCCAGGTGGTGTAGGAGGTGGTGGAGGCGAGGGAGGTGATGGAGGCTGTGGAGGGGGGCTAGGTGGTGTAGGAGGTGGGGGAGGCGAGGGAGGTGATGGAGGCTGTGGAGGGGGGCTAGGTAGTGAAGGAGGTGGGGGAGGCGAGGGAGGTGATGGAGGCTGTGGAGGGGGGCTAGGTGGTGTAGGAGGTGGGGGAGGCGAGAGAGATGATGGAAGCTGTGGTGGGGGGCTAGATGGTGAAGGAGGTGGTGGAGGCGAGGGAGGTGATGGAGGCTGTGGTGGGGGGCTAGGTGGTGTAGGTGGTGGGGGAGGTGATGAAGGCTGTGGCGGGGGGCTGGGTGGTGTAGGAGGTGAGGGAAGCGAGGGAGGTGATGGAGGCTGTGGCGGGGGGCTAGGTGGTGAAGGAGGTGGGGGCGTTGGGCTGGGAGGCAAGGGTTCAGGAGATGGTGGTCGCGGTGATTCGGGACCTACCAGTGAGACAGCTACGTGCCCTCCAAATAATTGTGATGTGCTATTACAAACTACGCCTAGAACCGCTACTGATGCAAGTTCATAGCGCTGGATGGTGTAAGACACGGTTGCATTGATGACCTGCTGGTTGCAACCACTTGCGTCAACACCCGTTAAGTTGACCTGTGTCATGGTGGCAAACGTGTTATGTGTCTGGTTATTGTTGAGGAACATAATTACACGCATTCCGTAGGAATGATGTGAGCAAGTTCTAAATATAGTATTGGTGCAGAGGCGACTGTACACTTCAGGCTTGTGTCCTACGTACCTGGAAGGATAGGCAAGTTGCCTTCAGGTTGTACATTACACTTGAGGTGAGTTGCTGGGACTTGCCGTATTGAACCGTCAAGTTCACTTGGCCCGCTGAAGGCAAGGGAAGGGCCTCAATGGTCCCTCAAGAGGATGCCCTAGCAGTACAAAAGCTGACGTGGCCAGGTATCCTAGTTACGCATGCACGCACCCTAGCAGAGTTTCGTTAACACTAGCAAACATATAGGCAAGATGGACACCCAAGGAGAAACAGCGCCTAGTTGAATTGCACTTCAAAAGGCACTGACCTGAGCTACAATAGGCGGATGGTTAATGTTTTCACGGTAACCGCTGAAACCAACGTGTCCGAAGAACGTGTCCGCTTCAATCATACTCAGCTCCTGCCTCAAAGCTTCGTCACCGCTTGTGTTTGCCGCACCCCTGTTACCACTGCTTGCGTCTTGGCAGGTCAGCACGCCTTCGTCCCACAATAGGCTGTCGGTGGCATTGCTCTGCAAGATTCGACTAACATCGCAGCTGGATATAACGCGTTTTAACGCTGACAGCAGCACGTAACCGCTTGCGGAGGCAGCAGCACTGACATGGGTCGCTTCCTGGCCTGTCGCGTTCAGGAATGCGGCTGCATAATCGGCTGCAGTGCCGAAAAAGGGATCGGAGTACGGCAGATCAGGCAACCACTGGACGGTGGTTAGGGCGTACTCAGCATTGCTGCCCAGCAGGGTTGGGAGGTCGTGGGTGTGATCACCGGCGAATAGCCAGACGGAGGAGAGGTGATGGTCCAAGGTGTTAAGGGCCCGTAGCAGTTGGGAAGTGTGATCTGGCTGGTCGCAGGCTATCAGCGCGTCGGCATTTACACGTGCAACTTGGTTACCTGAGCAAAAAGGAACAAAAGTAAGACGAATTCCAGTCTACATGTCATTCATTCATGTAGGACGAAGCGAGCAGCTGAAAGCAGTATGCAAGCATTCATAACTTCAGCTTTATCCGCTTCCAAGTTACACGGCTTCTTCCCATTCATCGGCAACCCCTACACCAACCTGCGGCTTGCCAGAATCCCTTAGCCTCCACCTCAGCTGCTGTGTAGTTTAGCACGACCACACTTCCAAAGCCGGGCTTCACCCCACCAAGCTGTGTCAGCTGCTGGAGTGCTCCCAGACAAAGCTGTGCGTGCGTTGCCAGTTCACCGGGGAAAACAACCGCGATTCGCTTGATGCCACGAAGCGCCATGGTTCGGAGCACCGGCGGTAAGTACGTGCTGGAAGGAGTAAGGAGGCCAAACACGTACGGCAGGCCGCGCTTGTATACGAAGTCATCTGCCGTACAGCAATGCAGCAGCAGGCGGGACGCGGTGTTGGCCTGTATACCGTCTTGAAGGGCGTTGATGCTATTGCCGCCCAAGAGCACGTGGACAGGCGGGTTTCCAGGCGCACCAGTTTTGGAATCGGGTGGCATGCCGTTGATCAGTGATTGCATGGCTGAGGCGGCACCCGATTCAGTGCAGTCGTGCGAGGCCAGCCAGAGCCTTAGCTGTATAGTAACCTGATGGCCGCTTGCGTCATTTAGCAGCATGACCGGCTGCCTTTCAAGCTGGTTAAAAAAGTACCGATACCCTAAGACGGTCTGATTGAACAGGGGCGCGCAAGGACCTGCACATGGCAGCAGCAGCGGTTAACTGTTATTTAGAAAGCCCCGTGTTTGCGTTATGAAGGGATGACACGTGCCCAACTCTTGCACATGCCGATCAGGAAAAACTACGAGCAAGCGCAACGTACACGATTTGTGAACTAGGGCGAAACGGCATGCATACAGCCTTGCACCCCAACCTAGGCAAAAGCACATGGCCCCATGTTGCTGCCGTGAAGTTATAGATTTGATAACGATTGTTACCTAACACTGCGCATCCAAAATGACCCGAATTCGCAGCGTTGTGTAAAGAGCGAACGCTGGCATGCATGTACCGGTACAATACCTACCATCACGCCCAACCGTCGCTCCAACATTGACGACGAGCGCCAGGCCCAACGAGGATGGAAGCATACAAAGACAAAGCAAAGCGACCGAGATGACTTGTGACGCTGCCATGATAGCGCCACTTTCCTGTCCGAGGCTGCCAAGATGAGAATGTTACGTTAGGTAACTCGCGGAGGGTTATGCACAAGGCCTAGATTCGTTTAGCTTGTTGAAGTTATAGGATTAGCGATGAGGGCCATGTCGCACGACGATGGCCACTGCAGACTTCAACAGACAACCTGTGGTATGTATGGGATAATGCTATATTACAAAGTATACTAGAAACAGAAAAATACGAAGTACAGCGGGATCCCAGACACCTGGTCCCGGACCAATACGGTAATCGGAAAGAGCTCAAAACACTGTCAAAAGTGCACGCGCCGCTCATATGTCCGTATCCTGAAGTTTATCCAAATGCATTGAAGGCAATGCGTGTTACTTGCCGGACTCTGGCTAGTGTACGTCAGCCGCCGAACCGTTCCTTGTCTAGCGAACGGCCTTTTGCTCTTAACAAAAGCCGGCTTCTACCGCTGTGGCATAGAAGTAACTGCTCGTAGCCATTGAACTCCTAGAACGTGAAAGTCCCTCCCGGTCTGAATGAACGTTCGTAATCTTTAGTACACCGACGACTCTTAAGCACTAATGAATTCAGATGTCCTGATTCCCAAGGTCTCGCACATTAGCTAGCCAGTGGTTCTGGACTTTCTTTATTAGTCATGAGCTGACCATTCGGGCGGGGTTGGCGGGTAAAAGGCAATCTATTCTGCTGCGTAGTTTACCGAGCAACACGTTACGGACAAGCAGTGCTGGGACTCAATTCATCTACCCCCGAAATCTGTGGGGCTGGCGAACAGACGTACGAGTCCGGACACCAAGCGGACCCTACCGCGCACTGGCGGCATACCATCCTGCGGCATAAAAAGTGTACATACCAAAACGCGTTTTCTCAACGATTATGAATACCGTTTATCTTCTGAAGCCAACAGCGAAAATCCGGTGACCTCTTGTGGACAATTCGCGGAGATAGGAAGCGAGGATTACACTGGAGGACCAACCAGGAAGGAGTCCGGACTGGCCAATCGTTAGACGTACATTCCAACAGAGCGTTGACCGCCCTACCCCAGGGGGCATACGAGGCCCGACAGAAAGGCCGCAAACCACCTGCACCAAGCACGGTCAGCCGAAATACCAAGTAGCCTGATTGCCGTACCGACGGGCTGCTTTACCGAAGCCCTGCTCCTTGGCGATCCCGGAAGCTGATAAATGACTAATTGTTTATCCTTTGGTAGCCTGTAGCTGCTTTGAACAGGAAAGGCCGTAACAAGTCCCAACCCGATGCGCATTGCGTGCAAAGTGGATGCCAACGTGTGCTTTTTACGCTAGCCAGGACTTCTACGACGCCCACAATAGCCTCTGGGATACGATTGTTTGGTATTGTGATAAGCATCTTGCGTACCGGTACCTGCGAACGCAAAGTTGCCATTGCACAGCCGGAGCGCTCCAGTCCTCCTCCTCCTCCTGATGTTGGGCTTTTAAACGGAGATAAGGCAGCAGCAGCCAGTGTAGCAGAGCGCCTCGAGGGCTTCGGCAATCTCGCAGTGTTACCTTGCGGTCCAGCAAGTGCCGGCTCCCCGCGTTGTACCTACCCGTCTCCCCATGCCCTCCCTATGCGGCTGTCCTTACCCGCGCGGCGCGCCGTTGCACCCCCTGCCCTTCCCCGCTTTGCGTGCCCCCCCTGCCTCCCATGCCCTTGGCTGGCATTGGCGTCCGCACTTGGGCAGGCAGGAATGCTTGCGTACATCACAGCGGTTAGTGGGCAGGGTGGGTGTGCGTATAAAGTTGATCCGTAGGCCGGACTTACCCGTTGGTAGGGTACCGGTACATGGCATGGCCGCCGGTAGCGGAGGGAGGGTAGGGTCAAAGGGGAGCCAAATCAAGTGAGGGGCAGGGCGGGGTCCAAGATACCAGCACCCCACGGGCCTGAGCCCCGTGTTGGGAGCTGGCAGGGCGCCCTGTGGCTAGGCGGGCACCCGTGCGGCACACGAGAGGGAGTGAACGGTCCATGCCTGCCTGCCTACCTCGTTTCACCATTCCCATTCATCCTCGTATCCCTAAGCCATATGCCCACATGCAAACCCCCCCGATCGCCCACCCTCCCGCAGCGTGCGCCAGGTGGCCGGCAGCAGGTAGTTATGCATGTAGTCATCAGTGCCGGTTTATGGGCTGGGAGGTATTGCCGGGGCGGCATGCACTAATGGGCCAGTGCGGGGACTGCATGGGCACGCCGTGCTCGGCCCTGTCTGGGAGCTGGGTATTGACTGTGGGGTTGGGGGGTTGCTGGTTGCAGCAGACACCCGTGGCCACCCACTTAAATTGAGACAGCAAGCTGTTACTTGCGGCCATAGTTTCGAAGGGGGTTGCCTAGCCCTGCCCTGCCCGAACCTGGACACCTGGCAAGAGTCCCGTTCGCAGCAGCTGAGCGAAGGCACAACACACCCCGTCCATGAGAATGGCCTTTTGCCCGTACTGCCCACAAACCGTGTCATCTGGGTTTGCTGCCACGGCCTTGTGTTGCTGGGATCCGCAAGCGAGGACACCGTCTGAGCCAATTCCCTCCTCCCCGACCCGCGGACCGCAGTGAAGCGCGGCACGACCGAGATCGCCGAAGCCCTCTAGCCGCTCCGCAACACTGGCTGCGGCTGCTCTATCCCTACCTATTGGTCCAGCTGCTGCGCTTTGCTGTGCTTGGGCAGGAAAAAGACTCGAGAGTTCTGGCTGTGCAATGGCAACTCTGTGTTCGCAGGTTTGCAGAAAACCAATCAAATGCTAAGTAACCTTATCGTAAAGGCCATTGTGGCTGCCGTAGTAGTCCTGGCTAGCGTAAGGGGCACGATTGGCATCCTTTCCGCGCGCAATGTGCATCGGGTTGGGACTTCCTTCGACCTTCCTCGTCAGTAGCAGTTCCAGGTTACGCATGACTTAACGTTTGTCATTTATCAGCTTCCGGGATCGCCAAGAAGCAGGGCTTGGGTAAAGCAGCCTGTCGGTACGGCAATCAGGCTATCTCCGCGAATTTTCCACAAGAGGTCACCGGATTTTCGCTATTGGCTTCAGGAAGATAAACGGTATCCTGAATCGTTGAGAAAACGCGTTTTGGTATGTACACTTTTTATGCCGCAGGATGGTATGCCGCCAGTGCCGCAGTCCCAAACCTTTCAAACACAGCACTATTCAAGCACATTTTACATGCCTCTTTCTTTCTCGTGTCCGCCGCCTCCGGCCCTATCCCTTTCACACCTATTGTGGCAACTCCTCCGGATACATAGCAAAGGCTATTCAGCGGCCCCCGTGCACCCTGCCTGCCTGCCGGCATACCGAGCCCAGGTCATGAATGAAGGAATGGCGGTTACAGTGCCTCCCTAAAAGAGAACACGGGTGTTGAGAACCCTACACTGCAATAGAAGCGCAACACGCCCGAAAGGACAACACAACATGGTCGCAATCAACGCTATGGCGGGAATAGGTGCCTCGATGCACGAGCCGATACGCTGGGTGGAGCAGATGTACACACGGATGAGCGGTACGGCAGCTGGAGGGGAAGCGGCAGTAACTAGGGTGCTTAAGGTGCTGCAGCTCTCGAGCTCGTGAAGAGCACAAATGTTCCGACTAGAAACCGTTGCTTCCTGCGGACTTGCTGTGCGGCTCCTGCCCCCGTGGCTGCTACGACTGATGCTGCTATTGATTGAAACCCCAACAATAGAAGCAATGTTACCGGAAGCGGTTTGGTGTTGCTGGTGATGGCGGTGGTGTGCTAGGAGCGGTGCCTGTGGTGCAACCAATCACCAACAAAGGCGCCCAAATATGCTTAGACGTGAGGAACTGCCGTACAATCCTTCATGGGGCTGGGTGTGCGATGATGAGAGGGCGGGGAATGGATGCAAAGAAGGCACGGGATGGAAGGGGTCAACCGCTTTCCGGCGCCATTGCTCGTCTTGTCTGGAGCAGTGCACCCCAGTCCTCATCGCATCCTTCCGTGTATACTTCAAGCACAAATGTATTAAACAACTGTTCCGCCCCTCCCATGCCATCCATGAGTTCTGAAGGACCACTCCACGGGATTCCCACCTACCGCTGCAGTTTGGAAACGTACCGCAGCAGCCGCCTTCACAGATAGTCACGTCCTGTTACTGACTTGCTGGCTATCCTGGACGCGTAGTAGTGGAGGTTGCTCAGAGCGGTGATCTTACACCGTTTCATACGGACGGACGGACGGACGGACACGGACGTGGGCAATCCTAAGGGGCATCGCCTCCTCGAATTCGCTGCTGCGGCGGGGGCTCCGCCCAAAAATTCCAGCGCGGCAACCGGCAAGCTCAGGGCCAAGTGCAGGGGTTGCAGATCCCCAGGGCGTCCCGCCGCCACACCTTATGCTGGGGTGCCGCCCATGTTTGCAATGCCTCGCATGTTGCGGATGATGTACCTGCACGCCTGGCAGGCAAGCCCATGGAATGCTGCTAGGAGTTTCAACCGGTGAGGGTTGGACGTGACGGGCTGGCTTGGGGGGTCGTGTTGAGGGGCCAGGTCCGGGTGATCCGGTGTAGTGCCGGTGTTTTTGGTAGTTCCGTTTTGGGAGATATCGGTAGTTCAGTACTGGGGCATCAGGGGTCAGCAGAAGTTAGGGTGCTGTCCATGGGTCGCCTTGACGATGGCCATTGCAACCATGCACTGCTTCTCCTTGCAAGGATAGATCTACATGACAGCCACTTCAGGTGTCGCACTCAGTAGAGACCCCTTGTTGCCCATTAAAGTTATATGGAAGCGTTCTCGTGAGCGCTTGCAGCGTTTTCCCTGGACATTTCTTCATGGAAGGTAGGGTACAGGTAGCACGCGAAGAGGGACCGGATGGAAAGACAGGTATACAGTTTGATGCAGGTGATAAAGCAAGCACCCGTCTCCATATTGCAAGCAAGATGGCGTGATCTAGGATTACGTCAATGACTAAGAGGGTCCCAGCGCTGGCCCTGTCGTGTTTCGTGGCGTTCAAACTATTGCACTCTCGCACCTATACGTCAACTATTGGTTTACCGGAGCTTTCATCTTCGCACGTGGCATTTTGGCGAAGCAACAACGGTACTGCGGACTATGCATGAAGCCTTCCTACTTATACCTAGCATGTGGACGTCATCTTTGAGGCGAAATATCAATAGCAATTCCAGTGTGTACGACAGTTCTCGTAACCTTGCCTCTTTCTTCATAACGGACAAAGCTTAGTCAGTAGATTTGCTTCTTACATTTGCTTAAAGTTTATAAGCAGGCTAATGACAAAAGTTGATGTCTGCGCTTCTTTAGTCATACATTGAAGGTTGCGGTGGGTACCTGATAATTCTGCGGGAAAGCTCTTATTACCACCACCCCGCATACCTGGGTGCGTTCAGTGATACTGGGTTGTGTCGATCAGGCCGTTAAAATAGCTGAAGGCCACTATGCTAGCGTCAGTAACTTTTGTCGTCAGCCTGTTATCCTTGCTAACGCCTTCAGCCTGGTCGGTTCGTACGCTTGTCCTCAATGTCGGGGCAGCGGTTGGACGTGACGGTGGGTGCATTTTAAGCTTGCGCTGCTAATGCATCGCTGTGCCTGGACAGGACTGAGATGGCATCCACGCTAGCTCTGTGGTGCTAACAGCCTTATATTACTTCCATGGCTTTATAATGCACTTACCTGGGCCCTAGCTATCGCGTAATAGTTGCGTCAAATACTTTACGAAAGCGACTCTACGCTTGTTGAGCATAGGTTGTAATTGGAACTTGCCATTAACATACTTCATAAATAGCTTGGCTGGGAGAGGGGTATATGCCCTACTCCCGAGCCTCCTCCTGCTAACTTCGCGCATTACTAATTTGCAAACATGTTCGCGCAGGGCTTTGTGCATCCATATATGATGATATCGTTCTGGGATATCAGTACGTTTTCAATAAGCTGGATCATCAGCCTACCATCCTGCTTAACGACGCCAGCGGTCGTCAAATCTCTTTGCAGTTGAAGCTCTGGCTGGCCTCGCATGACTGCACTGACTCCGGTGCTGCCTCTGCTTTGCAATCACTTGTTAACGGCAAGCCGCTGGACCCTATTGCCGGCGTACCTGGCAACCCTCCTGTTCACGTGCTTTTGGGCGGCAATGGCATCAACGCCGTGCAAGATGCCCTTCAGGCCAACGCCGCGTCTCGCCTGCTGCTGCAATGCTGTACGGCAGACGACATAGTGTCAAAACAGAGCCTGCCGTACGTGTTTAGCCTTCTCACTCCTACCAGCATGTCCTTACCGCCCGTGCTACGAACCATGGCACTTCGCGGCATCAAGCGTATTGCGGTTGTTTACCCAGGTGAACTAGCATCACATGCGCAGATTTGTCTGGGAGCACTCCAGCAGCTTACACAGCTTGGTGGGGTGAGGCCAGGCTTTGGAAGCGTGGTCGTGCTAAACTACACAGCAGCCGAGGCGGAGGCGACGGAATTCTGGCAAGCCGCAGGTGGGTACTGTTGGCGTTAGGAGCTAAGGACTGGAAAACATAACCACATGCTGCCAGCAATCCTTCACGTCCATGTCACCGTGTGTGCATTACGTACCCATAGATCTGTAGCTCCTGCTGACATGTCGGCCTTGTTGTTTTTAGACCTAAATGTGTTTCTTTACCTTTTCAGGAAGTCGCATCTTTGAGGCCAACGCCGACGCGCTAATTGTCTGTGACGAACAGCAGCGTGCCTCCGAATTGACGGCAGCACTGGACACTTTGGGCCATCACCTTTCCGCCGTCTGGCTATCCGCCGGTGATCACATCCACGACCTCCCGACCGTGCTGAGCAGCAACTCTAAGTACGCCCTAACCACCGTCCAGTGGTTGCCTGAACTGCCGTACTCTGATCCCCTTTTCGGCACTGCAGCGGACTATGCAGCTGCATTCCTCAACGTGACGGGACAGGAAGCGACTCAAACAAGCGCCGCTGCCTCCGCCAGCGGATATGTGCTGCTGTCGGCGCTAGAACAAGTCATATCAACCTGCGATCTTGGCCTTATCTCAGAAGTCAATCTTTCTGACAGTTTTATGTGGGACAAGGGCATGCTAGCCTGCCCAGATCCCAACAATGTGGGTGCAGTCATCAAAACCAATGGTCAAGCAGCGCTGCGAGACACGCTGAACACCATGACCCTGGACACCTTCTTTGGACGTGTCGGTTTTGACGCCCACCATGTTAATGTACACCACCAGCCGATTGTAGCACAGGTGAGAATGCATGGGTGTGTGGTTCTTGTGAAGAGGTGTCGGTGTGAGACGGCAATACCATGATTAAGTCTTCATAGCATCGTTGGGAAGGTGTTGCATGCCGCTGGTCGTTTGTACATGCATGTGCACAAGTAGTCACGATCGGCGTAGTGCATACTCCTTCACTTGGGCAAATCTGACAGTAGTTGCAAGGAAACGATGCTTTAGTTGCATGAGCAAATTTCGCATTGGCAGCAGCGCCATGAAGCGGTGGATAGATGCTTCTGCATGGTACCACATGTGTGCCATAAGTAATAGTCCTGCTGTTACTGAGCCTGCTGTTGAGCAGTGCACTGCCCGATGGAAGCGTGCAACCGATCTGAAACCGCAAACAACAACATTAGCCGTAAGCAGTGACCCCTAAATCACGGTAGAAAGTAGTACCACAGGGCGCGGGATGAAGGGGTACTGTAGGAGGAAGGGCCGGTGCGCGGGAACGACGGTGGAAGGGGTACTGTAGCTCCGCTACCATGCCGCCGCCACGCCGCAACCATCCATAGTTGCCTTGAGCACGCGCCGTCCCTTTGTACCTGGTTGCAGGTCGTGAATGGAAAGCTGGTGGCAGTTTTGCCATCCGACATTGCAGAGGTCCCTTTGGTCATGCCCATTCCCCGTTCCGGCGGCCACCACAAGAAGACCGCCACCTTCATTGTCATCGTGACGCTGTCCTGCTGTCTGAGCCTCGTGGTGGCGTGCCTGGTTGTGGCGCTGCTGCTGCGCCTGCCGAGGCGGAGCTCGGTAGCTGCTGGGACTGAAATAGAATATGAGGGCATCAAGGTAGGTGATGCGTACCAATGTTCATGCTTCGTGATGCGTACCCTGAAATAATGCTTCGTGTGCCTTGCCTGGCATCATGTGCCAGCCATGGGTGGATGGCTCAAGTGTTCCTGCTTTCACTGCCTTCTATCCAGACTGGATGGTGAGTCGATGTCTCTGTATGTGTGGTCCCTTCTTTGCCACGTACTTGCCCTTTACTGCCACGTGTTCAGGTGGACATCCAGCCGGTGCTCTACAAGGACGGTACCTCAGAGCCGGGTGAAGGTGTCTACAGGGGATCCCGGGTGACACTTGTGGTAGCCACGGAGCTGCTGCAGCAGCTGGTGAGTTAGTGCCGAGGCTATCGGTTGAATTAGCATTTGGACTACTCAAATCCGCACCGGCTCCTGTTGTTGCTCCTGGCGGCTAAAGTGTAGTGTGCAGTGCAGTGCCCTGCACTTGGTATCTGTTGTCTGCAGTATCTTTGCAGCCGCTTCCGCGCTCTGCTTTCCCTGATCATAACTCTTGTAGACATTGCCCTGCGCAGGCCACGGCTCAGGATACGGCAGTTGAAGACAGGTTCGTTCGTTGTGCTGCGAAAGCATCCAGTGTTGTGGGAGCAGCATGCATTGCGCAGCCCTTGCATTCCTGTTGTCCCTTACTGCGTGCTCGTTTCTTTAAGAGTCTGGAGTCACATCACGGAGTAATTTATTCACTCATTGCATGCCCTTACTTGCACGACTGACGCCCTGCCTCTTCTTTTCCATGCGCACCTGGTTTCACACGTACTGGCTTCCAAGTCTCGCTGTCTAGCCGGGTGCATCATCACCGCAGGCCTGCACCCAAACTAACTGCATGCAGGGAGGCCAGAACCCGGGTGCCCCCCATACCACCAGCCGCAAACAGCCCTACCACAAGAGCGACATGCCTTGACGTGATGGCTCGCACTACCGAAAACGTGGCGCCTGCTGGACCACTGTCTGCTGCAATGCAGCAGCATCACGTGCTGACCATGCCTGAGACAACGGCGGGTAGTCCAGCATCCTCAGTTAACCCAGTGCTGGGTTTCTTGAGCAGGCGCAGGAAGAAGGAGATTTCTGGTATGCATGTCAAAACAAAACGTGTTACTATTGAGTGCTCTTGCTTGTTGGTTAGGCTAGTAGGGTAGTTGGTCAAGGTGCTCGGGGCATACAACATGTGCTTATTACCGGTATTGCAGACCACGATTTTTTTTGTGTTCCGTCCGTTCCCCGCAGCCGCTTTGTGGCGCGCCATGCGCCTGCAGCACCCCTACATCTGTCCTATCCTAGGCATCGTGTGGGAGTGGCCAGGGCTGCTTGAAGGGGGCGGGTCAGCGCCGGTCATTGTACGACAGTGGTATGAATTCGGCAGCCTGAATCGCCTGCTGGAGAACAAGACTGTGCCGCTGTCCCTTGGGACCAAAGCCAAAATCGTGCAGGGTGTCGTGGAGACCTTGATGTACCTGCAAGCCCAGGTCAGCAGGGTTGGAACTTGGGGTGGCTCGTGGATTTGTGTGCTGCGTTGTTACCCTCATCACAACTCATAACTGGGTGGTTTGCCAACATGGCGATTCCCATAATGCCGTGCGCATCCTGTCCTGCTGGGTATTGCTTCACGGGTCATCCCCTAAACACATCCTGGCTTTCCTCCTGTCCTTGTACAGTGATTAAGTCCACTGCTTGGTAATTACTTGTGAACGCCTCTTCTTTATCTGCACCTCACAGGAGCCGCCTGTCATGCTGGGTTCCATCCACGCCTCGAACATCATTGTGGACAAGGACTTCAACCCGCACCTGTACCTGCGCGTGACCGACCTGGACCCTGAGTGCGCACCTGAGGTGGTCCAACCTCCGCCTGCACGAGCAAGGTCGCGCAGGGCAAGCCTCTTCATGCCCCAAAGCTCCGGCCCATCCCAGCAAGGCAGCCGCCATCTGGCCCACCCGCAAATCCAACCCCTACAAGGGCTACAACAAGCCAAGCTACAGCCCTCTCAGTCTTCGTTAATGGACCTGAGCACCCAGAACACAACAGCAACCATTGGGGCCCTTCCGCTTCAGTCCAGCCTGATCCACACCAGTAGCGGAAACGTTGCTGCTGTCCCGCTGCATGCCATGATCCGTCGTAGCAGTACTGTTGACTTCAACTCGAAGGAGGCATCCACGTTCTTGGAGCAGCACCTGCTGCCAAAGGAGCAGCAGTCCATCATCACCTTTGGGCTGCTGCTGTGCCGCATCTTTGCAGTGGCCGCCTTCACAGGCAAGGATCCCTGGCTCAAACAGCAGGCGAAGTCGGATTTCCTGTTGACTAGTGATATCGACAAACTTGTAACCGCAGCCCAGGGCGAAGTGCCTACAGTGCTGGAGGAGGCGGTTGTCGAGTTGACGCACGTATGTGGCGCATTGGGGGAGCTCGCACGGTCTTGCATAACGTGTGCAGGGCAGCTTGCGTTTAGTGACATCCTAAGGACGCTTGAGGAGCAGGTTTTCCCCGCGCTCACGGCTACCTCCAGAAAGTCACAGCAGCAGTCCAGCAGTCAGCAGGCTCTACCTTCTGCTGCATCCATGAGTGCTTCGGAGCAGTCGAAGCTTGGCAAGCTGCTCACTGCTATGGCAAGCATGCGACTGGGTCGGCAGCAGCACTACTCGGTGACAGGTGAGGAGGACTTTGGCAAGCGAAAGCGGTTGGGGAGCTCTGGTGGGCGCACGGCGGCGGGTAAGCATCCAAGTCCAGCACCGCCGGTGGAGGCCAGGCAGCTGTCGGTACCCCGATGGAGGTGAGACAGCAGTTAGGCATGGTGGGAGACTGACAAAGGGGCGCTAGGGATTGGATTTGACGCTTAGTTGGATGACAGTGACACCAGCAGATAGAGCTTGGGGTATGGGCCAGATGGGTGCGTTCTTTTGGCTGTAGCCTGCTGTCGCCTGGTCCTAATCCCTGCCCGGTGTTTAATGCCTGCATGTACCACTGTGGAGCAATCGGCCTCCCTAAACCCCCATGCACACCTTCCTACTCTTTCGACTCTGCTAGGACCTACACTTGTTGCCCCTTTCTGTGATGCAGCAAGCTCGGAAGGACTAACCATGTCACACGGGATGACCTCCTCTTCGACATCTTTCCCCCCAAGGTTAGTTTGCTATTCCATGGTTAAGCAGAGCTGGTGTTGGTGTGAGACTGCTAAAGGTCAGCGTTTGCAGCATTTATGACAGCACCCCTCACATGAGCTCTACTGCTTAGCGCATGTTCAGCGGTGAAAGATAATAACGCTCACTGACGAGGTGCATGGCAATATCCTGCTGCAGGTTGCCAGCGCGCTGCAGGCGGGAGAGGCGGTTCAACCAGAGCGCTACGAATGTGTCTCCATCTTCTTCTCAGATGTGGTAAGACTGTTTGGACTAAAGTCACCGTTCTGTCTACTGCTTACGAACGAAGGACTGACCATAGATACGTTTAAACCCAGCCTGTACCACTCTTAACCAGCACGTCTCATCATGCAAGCTTCTGCTTATTCAACGAGATTGGCAACTGATGACCCATGGGTCCGGATCTCCTGCAGGTTGGCTACACGGACCTGTGCAGCCAGCTGCAGCCCAACGAGGTCATGGAGCTGATGCACCGCCTGTACTCGCGGTTCGACGATATCATTCGCGAGCTGGATCTGTTTAAGGTTTGTTGCAAGGAGTGAAACCCAACCCTTGGTTTAGGCCTTGCAGAAGGTGGCCAGGGTTGATTGCTAGGGTAGGAGAAATACCTTCAGCAATTATGTATGAGAGGGCATGGGGAGAATCGTATCGTGTGTTGGTTGGGTTGTTAACGCTCTGACGATACCGCTAGCAGCAAAGCCCCTTTACCCCCTGCATGGCTTGACAGCCTCATCGTGCCTCCAACATGCCAGGTGGAGACGGTGGGAGACGCCTACCTCGCGGTCGGCAACCTGCGCTACCCGCAGCCCGACACCCACGCGCGCCTCATCACTCGCTTTGCCTTCGCCGCCGTGGCCGCTGCCAACTCCCTGCCCATCCACCCGGGCCGCCCCGAGCTGGGCTGCGTGCACATCCGCGTGGGGCTGCACTGCGGGCCTGTGGTGGGCAGCGTGGTGGGCACCCTCAACCGGCGCTACTGCCTGTTCGGGGACGCGGTCAACACCGCAGCACGCATGGAACACAACAGCGAGGCCGACCGGGTGCACTGCAGCGCGGCGTTTGCGGGGCTGCTGCAGGAGCAGTGGCCGGAGGGGGCGCTGGTCGACAGTCGGGGTGTCCGGCAGATCAAGGGCAAGGGGTAGGTGTGTTGTGGCGGTGATGCGTGGCGGGGTGTATGTCTCTGTTAGCCCGCTGATGACAAAGGGAGCCAGCCCTCCGGCTGTAAGCAGTGTCGCGCGTTCGCTGGTACCGGTACTGTTAGCATGCTCCCTGCTGATAGGGTCTGTCTGCCTGCCTGCCCTCAACCCATCATCAGGCCCATGGAAACCTTTTGGGTGGAGGAGAGGCCGCCAGTCAGCGGGGGTGAAATAGCGGCGGAGGGTGATGCCGACCCAGATATTGCGACGGCTGGAGAGGGCTGCTACACAGCGGCTACTGACCGTTCCGGTGGCATCAATGCCCTTTACGATACCTTTATGGTGTAAGGCCAGGTGCCAGGTAAGTGGACTGTTCTTTCTCTTGCATGTACAAAATGCCTCCGAACAAAATGTGGTTGCGCATACAGTGCCGGTAGCCGGTTGTTGTAGCCGCACCGAATGCGATTTTGGAGGCCCAGTTACTGCTAGTTGGTGCATGCCACATGTGTCCTCCTCTCTTCTTGCCCTCTGCTACAGGCTCGCTGTATTGTGCATAATTTGGCAAAGCCCTCACCTGCCGGGCACATGCATGCCACAGCATCGTAAGGCCACATGCATGCCCCAGCATGTCATTGCATCGTAAGGGCACATGCGGGGCACGCGCCACAGCATGTCATGTCATGGTGTGCCATGGCACTTCCATGGCGACAATTAGTTGCTGCAATACACTTGACTGCTGCCCGCGTGCCTGCTCCCTTGCTGCCCTCAGCCCTCAGGCCCATGGAATGAAACCTTCTGAGTTAAGGAGAAGCTGCCGGCCACCAGTGGTGAACGGGAGAAATTACAGAATTAAGGAGAGGATTCGTTACAGCAGAGGGCAGCGCAGTGGCAACCTACCCTGCTGCCGGCTGTAACACCAGCTCCGTGGGGTTGGAAGGTTAGACGCACCGTACAACAACCTTCTGGTTATGGTGTGGTCCCGCGAGCCAACTAACCGACTTAATTCACCCAGACTGTGAGAGATTGACTGCGTTGCATGTCACAGTGCTGTTGACGTGTATGGGGCTAGCCATTGCTCGCTGGATACCTTTATTGCCGTACGCAGATCGCTCGACAATTCGATTTGCCTTTGAAATTGACAGCATCTCTCCCTTTCATAGATGTAGCCTACTCTGTGTACTATGTACTTGGTTGCCAGTGTCATACCTGGATGCCATGTGACGGCGTTCAGCAGGCTATAACAGCCACTACCATGCGGTCTTGCGTACTATGCCATGACCATTATTACGCAACTCGGATGACGGTAGCTAGGCGCGCCAGGAAGCGGAGACGAAGTAAGGAAACTGCAATCTTCAACTGCCTTGTTGCGCTCTTGCTTGTCATCACACATCTACTAGACTCATCATCATCACCGGGTTTACATGCTCATGCATGGGCCAGACGGCTGGCATGTCCTATGCATGGTTACATTCATCCTTCGCAGGGTAATTCACAAAGGGTCCATTTCTTTATGTCACAGAAATATGTGTGCGATAACGCCTTATTATGGATACTGGGTGCGTGGGATCCGCACCTGCTATGCGCTGCATGTCAGTACTTGCATAGCTCTTGCAGTACGTTCGGTGGATAACGCGGGGGACTTCTTTTGCCTGGATGAACGGCAATGTGGGTTTAGCAGTCTGGGGCTCCCACTGTTCATGTGTGTTGTGCCGATCGGAAGATTGCGGGATCACCTGGCAGGTGTCGAACTACCGGCATCACGTAACTCTCCGGGCATGCCAGTAATGCCTGTTTTTAAAATTGAAAAATATTACTCTATCTGGTTTGAATCTGCTGGCCACTCCTGGCATGCAGTTGTGGGCACAGCAGTAGTAGCTAGGGGCTTGGCGCTACAGACTGCATGTGGGGCAGTTTGTGGCGTTAGTTGCCTCGGGTTGGGGCAGGTATGAGTATGGGTGGCTGGGATGGGCGGACCTGCCTTGTGTGTTGCAAGATGAGGGTAACAGAGCGAGAGAACATTATTCAGCCCCCTGCTGCTGCCTGCAGCGGAATCATCGCATACTGGGTATCCTATGCAAGGCATTACTTTAGTGTCTGGTATCCGACTTTGAGTGTTGCATTCTATCTCCCTTTGCCTTGTGCATGTATGTAACATCCAATTGACTTATCGTCATACACTGCGGATTTAAGTATGTACGGCGGATGACTAAGTGGATCTTAACAGCGGGTCTTTTGTTCAAGCAAATTGCAGTTCACGCTGTACACAACTTTAAAGGCAATTGTTATAAGACGTCATGTCCAGGCGGGTGGCGGTTAAACCTCTTAAAGGTGGAAGGTTTTCAGTATGGCTGGGATGAATGGACGTATTATTGCTGGATGACTTTGGAAAGGAAAATCTTTTAAATCCTCCGCCGGAGGCACTGTGTGAAACGTTGCTTGATTGCTGCTTCGGGGGTCTGGATCGTTGCGCCTTCTTGGGCACTCATGGGTCACATACCGTCGACCTGGTTAGAGCAGCAGGGCATGCAAGTGCTGCCCAGGGCAAGATCGTAGCTCTGCTCCTGTCTTATGTATGTTACAAAACTGTATGCGGCTAATGGCCGCCGCGCGCCAACCGTAGGTGTGCATGTACGTGTGCAACGGTTGACGTCCTTGGTATTGGATCTCGGCGCGCGGCGGGTTAATCGAAAACGGTAATCTTGCAAATTACATGCAAATAAAAGGCGCTGTTAAGGATTGCTACGTGCGCATCCAATGCGTGCCTATTCTAGCAGTAGCCTGCGCGCGTGTGTTCCAAGCGGTTTGTGTGGGTAATTCACACCGCTGCTCGCCCTAGGTGTCGACTTCTTGTATGGTATTATGCCGGTACACACTGCGCCTCTGTCTAGCGCGCAAATCTTGCAGTCATAGTACGTTGCCTGTTGCAAGTTACTGTCAGGGTCCATACTGGCTTTGCTTTGGTCTTTGTATTGTTTGTGGTCTGGAAAAGCAGTGTGCACGGTATGCGTCGTTGGGGTATGCCTTAAACGTCCCATGGGTCGTTCCTGTTGGCTTTCCTGTTCGGACAGGCGGTTTGCTGTGGGTTTGTTAGCCCAGCGACTCCGAGGGCGTGCCGGGTTGGGGGTCAGCGAGCCGTATCAATTAAGCTTAATAGACGGTATCCGACGGTAACGGTTGTTCGAATCCGTTCGGGGGTGCATGGAAAGCCCTCATTAATGGAGCTATTACTCATCAGTGGAAGCAGTGTGACTGTACGGTACATTGCGCTTGTTATTGGCATAAGGCGCTGTTGTTTTGGCTTCTCCCTGGGGCCAGGGGGCCTGGAAGCTACCTAGGAGTCAGGGCCCACGTCTATCTAGCGTCTGTGTGTAAAATAAACTTGTATAAGGACGAGCGCGCAAAAAAGATCCATACACACAAAAGCCGCGGATGGGGCCTATGTTACATATACGTATGTATGTATACGGTCAGCAAGCGGCAATCATGTGGCCAAGGCTCGCAGGATAGTTGAGCGAAACATAGCATAAACACTCGCGACTCCACAGACCGAAACTTAAGCCCAGTCGGTGGTGATGACACCAACTGCCAGCAGTGGAAAATCCGTTGTCAACCACCCAAAATACCAACCGCCACCAGCAACCGCCCGGCGGCAGCACTTCCTCACCCGTACCCGGTGGCCATTAATAAAGTATGCGCAGAACCACGGGTCCGTCTACAGACATCCACAACTGTACCGACCCTCCTTGCATGCCGGTACGCCAGTATGCCTGCCTGTTAGTATCTAAGCATCGTGAGAGCTGCCCTACTGATGTACCTTGCTATTCCACCATGGGTTGCATGTCACGGGGCCGTAATGCCCGTCACAGCGACACCACAACACATACCTCATCAACACCAGCCCCGCTCACCCACCGCTGCCGTACCGCACGAGTGGGCAGCCCAGTCAGCCGGGGGCACCGTGAAGTAGGCGTTCTGGAGCGCCTGAGGGCAGGGGAAGAATGACCACGAGGGAGAAGTAGGAAGGATGGGTTTCGGAGGCATGAGATGAACGGAGGCCAAAGCATGCAGCCCTAGAGCCAATGACAAGCACGGATAAAGCCAAGGCAGTCTGGTTGTGGTGCCGTACGGGTAGCTGCCTTTCGTCGTGTATGTATGGGCGAAGTCGGCCAAGTCCCTTTCCCTGCTGCTTCGCACAGCGTTCTGCCGACGCCTTCGTGATATGAGCTGTTGGTGCCTTGAGAAGGGCACAGCCTGATACGAAGGTGTAAACGACCCTACCAACACCAACGCCAGCACACCACACCCTCTCCTCGGCCTCCTTCTCGTCCTCCTCCTCGTGCTCCTTGTCGTACCCACCCACCCACCCACCCACCCACCTGCGCCGCGGAGGGCCTGCTGGCCGGCTCCCAGTGCAGCAGCCGCAGCAGCAGCCGAAGCGCCATAGGGCCCTCCAGACCCAGACCTGTGCAGGAGGCAGGCAGGCACATGAGGCAGGCAGGCACATAGGGCGGGCAGTTACCGGTAATCAGGCAGGCATAGCGGTGTAAGGGCGAGGCATCGGATAGCGGCGGCAGCGACAGCGGACAGCTCTTTCTTGCCTGCACTTGTTGCCTAGTGCTGTCGTACCCCCCTCCCCCCCTGGACATTATCATGGTGCACATATCCGGTGCACGCAGGTACGTGTCTTCTCTTGTGTCGGTCACTGTATTACGTGCTCGTCTTGTGCTGTTCCTGTTGTTTGTTTGTGCCCGACGGCGCGGTGGGTCTCCAGCTCACCTTCAGCCGCGTCCACGCACGCCCACGACTATGGGAAGGTTGCTCCGTAATTGGTAAGTTTGGTAAGTTTAGCTCGCAACGCTTCAGTCACCAGTTCGGCTCGACTCACGGATTTTCCATCAGGGCTTGTCAGCTAGTTTACCACTATCATCACGCCACACATTGGATATTCTCCCCCCCCAGGTAGGTAGGTGCTCGCATCTCACCCGTGGGGTCCCTGCTCCTGGCCAGGCGCAGCAGGGCCTCCTCCGTGCAGCTCCAAGACATGAGCGGTGTGGAGGAGGAGGCGGAGGAGGTGGAGGTGGGGGAGGAGGTGGAGGTGGGGGAGGAGGTGGAGGTGGGGGAGGAGGCTTGTGGGTGCTTCCGTTGCTGCTCCTCCTGTGTCCGCCGCTGTTGTTCTTCCTCATGTGTCCGCCGCTGTTGCTGCTCCCGGTGCCCCTGCTGCTGCCCCTCCGGTTGATGCTGCCCCTCCCGTTGCTGCCGCCCCTGGGGTGCAGCGTGCGAGCGCTGGGGTCTGCCAACGCCGGTGAGGGGACCCGTGGCGGGATGAGAGGGGGCTGACGAGGTGGTGGGGGCCTGGTGGCGGTTGGTGGGAACGTAAGGGAAGTAACATGACAGCCGAGGGGAAAGGGTCAGCCAAGGCTAAGCGCCCGCGGCTCCAGCAGCCCCGCACAGCCCCTCTCACTCTGCCGCCAGCCCCTCCCCTCCCCCCACCTGCGGCGGGTAGATGCACCACTCCATAAGCCCCCTCAGCAGGAACACCGGGTGCTGCTCCGCCTCGGGTCGCCCCCGCAGCGCCAGTCGGGTGGACAGCAGCGCGGTGGTGGCGGCGGGCAGCTGCCACACCTGGGGGGAGGAGGTGGTGGGGTGGGGTGAGTTGAATAGGAAACCAGCTATGGTGACTAATGAGTTTGGTGGTGGTGGTGCTGATGGAGGTGTGGGGGTGGATGGTGGTGGTGACGGTGGTGGTAAAGTGTGGAGGAGTACCGTATAAAGGGTGTTTGAGCCGGGGGTTGGGGCCTGGTTGGACCCGGGCACCGGTTCAGGTTATGTGTGTGTTAGCATGATTGCATGATACAGCGCGTTTCCGTATTAGTCAGGATTCTCCCAACCTCCTGCTGACCTACCACCCCGCCCCGCGCCCACCGCCCCCATCACACCTGCGGAGTCGCCATCAGCAGCTGCAGCCACACCACCCCCACACCCCACATGTCGTACGCCCAGGAGCGGGGGCGCATGGCGGCCATACCCTCCCAGCAGCTGGGGCGGGGGGAGGGAGCAGGGGGGCATGCGGTACAGGGGGCGGCGGCAGGAGCAGCAGCAGGGGCAACAGCAGGGGTAGCAGCAACGGGCTAGAATATACACCTTGCACCCTGCTACCGCCATTGCTGCCAAGCAGTGATGAACGAGCATCCTTATAATCATCATCAGCAGCAGCAGCAGCAGCAGCCTGCTGTCCTTGTCCTTGTTGCCCTTGCTGCGGCAGGCACAGCAGGGCGGGGCTGTTGCCCACGCTGGCCACCCACAACCTACCGAGCGGCACCCCTCCTGCAGCGCCCTCCCCTGCCGGCCCTGCTGCCGCCTCCCATGCCGCCCCTGCTGCCGACTCCCCTGCTGCCGCCTCCCCTGCGGCCCCTGCCGCCTCTGACGTCCAGTCCACCACAGCTACAACTGCGGTGGAGCCCGCATCCCAGGCTGCCGCCGCGGCTGCTTCAGCCAGCGCCCGCAGCAGCCCCACACCGTCCTCGGCACCGCAGCTGGCGGGACCAGCACTTCCCGTTTCCCACACCGTCCCTGTTGATGCCGGCGTCTGCGGGCTCCGCCTTCACATCTGCGGCGGCCGGGATTGGAGCTACCGGAGTGCACCCCGTCTTCCCAGTTTCCTTTGAGGGGGTTGCGTCGAAGGGCTTGCTGCGGTGGAGCGCTGGAGATCCGCATCAGCCGCTGCCAAAGCCGCCAAAAGCGCAGACCGCACTTCTTGTTGTTGTTGGTGGTGGTGGTGGCGGTCGGGATGGCCGTGGTAGCCAGCAGCCTCATGACCCGCCTCCTCCTCCTTTCCCTCGCTCACGTCCCTCTCAGCCGCCGCTACCTCCTCTAACCCTGCCTCCTGCTGCTGCCGCTGCTGCGGGTGCTGCTGCTGTTCTGGAAAGGGAGGTGGGAGGTCGTCCTGGTCCTGTTCTTGGTCGCGGGCTCTAGGAGGCGGCAGCAGCGGCAGGTCGCACAGGCGGCTGCGCAGGTGGCGGTGCAGTGCGGCGTGCAGGTAGGAGCTGACGGCGGAGGAGCCGTGGCCGTCGAACACAGCCCATATGCTGGCGGAAAAGAGGTATAGAAGAAGAGGTGATAGAAGGGATGCGGAACGGATGGAAAGAAGAAGGAGGAGAGGGAGGAAAGGAGGAGTTTGACTGGCTGGATGAAAGCTGCAAGTGATATTGCGTACGGCAACTAGGCAAATGACTATATAGTTTACTGTGAGGTGATCAGGTGAAGTTGTTATACATATGCATGAGGAGGTACCTGAAATCCGATGAATTAAAAGTTCGCAGCTCGCCATGTCTAGAGTCACACTTCACATCCCAAGCTCCAACCCTGTCTTCCATCTACAGGGAGGACGGCAGGCCATCGAAGAGCGCAACTTGTACACGTATATGGAATGTATTGCTAGTCAGCGCACTGCTATCTTACGCTTATTCGCCTGCCCCTGCGTGTCGCTGCGCCGGTGCGGCAAGGAAAACCATTGAGGTGCGTGGAACATTGTTGGTCTGGCAAAGCTTGAGACGTTATATTAATCACGCATATCGATAGTAAAAACACTGCAACTACCGGTAGTCATATCAGTTACAGGGTGTTTCCACTTGGCGGCCCGGTAACTTGTCTTGCTAATTCCTAACAAGCCGTTAACAAGCCCTTAGCGTACGTCCGTTTCCACTAGGCCAGCGCCGAGACCACTTTTGACCACAAAAGTTGCCTGAACAACTACTTCCTTTTTATATTGGTGCACTGCCATCTGTGAAATTGCACGTAGCAGTCTGTGGTAAGTTCATGGCGACTTCCAGTAGAAGGCCATTGACAATGTGAAGGTGCTACTGTGCGATTTGAGCACCGATGCGATGCTGCTCGGCCCGTATTATGAAAAGCTAATCAATATCAATAGCAATGGTAAAAGAGCTGTGCGAAACCTCAGAGCTGGGTGCAGACGTGTCTAGTTGAGACGTCCGGTCAACGAACGGCTTGTGCCTAGCACTGAGGAGGTAACAGTAGTGCCCTAGGACAAAGAAAATAGCGAAAAGAGGATGTTCTAGGTTCCCGCCTTTTGGTTACCGGAATTGTTAAGGGTTAGGGGCTGGTCAAGGGCAGGGGATAACTAGCGGAAGGTTAGCGTGCGCTTACCGGGCCTCCCGTTTCCACTTGGGCCTACCGGGCCGCCGATTCCTGGCCTTTTCCTTCTTTCTTTTTCCACAATAACTATTTGTTAGTGTCCCCATAATTAATAGAGCTTATAGCGCAAGGAAAGGCGCGACGACGGCCGAGAAAGTTCAAACCCGCTGCCTAGTGGAAACACCCTGTTAGCATGGAGCTGGGGTTAGGTACCCTAAAAGCCAAGTTCCCCGCCGCAACCACTCGAAGGTATGACCCGAATAATATTATCTACACAGATGGTAGCCGAATCAATTGCGAGCTAACCGATGGAACACCAGTCGTACGGATGGGAGCGTCGGTCCATGATCCGAAAGGAACTACACTGCATATTGATCCCAATGGCTACGGTGTGACAAATACAATTCAGCGTGCAGAGCTAGCGGCCATTCGTGCCGCCCTCGAGGCCCACAAAGACCGCGACCAACTGCACATCGCGACCGACTCTCAAGTGTCAATTCATTTGATCAGAAGAGCAATAACTGATCCGGGAAAACTCCACGTCTCTAAACATGTAGCGCTCCTTGTCAATATTGCGAATCTCCTAGTCGACAGGGCCCGAAGGGGTAAACGAACACATATTCTCAAGGTGAAGTCGCACATAGGCATCCAGGGTAATGAGGCGGCGGACCGCGCCGCAACGGCGATGGCACGGGGGGAAACACCAGCGGATGCGACCGAAGCATCGGACAACAACCCATACAATAAAATTTGGTGGCTACAGGATAGAGCGCGTAGCCACCACATCTCTGACCTAAACAGGGGGATTATGAAAGCACTGCCGGCCACATCTCACAACGGGTACACTAACGATACACTCTATACCCGGCTTTGGGAGGAAAAGGGAAAGGACCTCTGCCCAAAGGCCAGCAATGCAAGCTTCCATCAGGGCAATGCCCACAAGCATATGAAACGGGCACTGGATGCCCGCTGGGGGCAGCTGTTCCACGAAGGCCTGCGCCGCCTGTATAAACTCCCACCGAGGAAACCCGCCACGTGGCACCCAGACCTGCCGCCTGAGGCCCGCGTTGGCTGCGCTCCATGCCCAATCTGCCGCAAAGCCTGTGACTCGGGCGGGCACATCCTGGGAGGCTGCACAGACCCACGCATGCACGGCACGTACTGTGAGCGACATGATGGTGCTGTTCGCATAATCGGGGACACACTATCGGGAGGGAAACATGGGGGGGACTACATGGTTATGGATGCCGGAAAGGAGGCTGACCTCCCGGCCTACGCAGATGGAAAGCGCCTACCTGACTGGCTGCGGCCCCCGTCAATTAGCACCGAGGAATGGAAGAAATTGCGGCCAGACATCCTCCTAGTGAAGGGCCTGCAAGCCCACAAAGCACACACTGCTGGCCAAAAACGCCCCCAAGATCGAAATGGCTACACTATATATATCCTTGGAATAGGCTACACTGGAGACCTCCGGCACGCGGAGAAACAACACCAAAAGGCAGCGCAGCACCACAGGCTTGCGGCCCTCCTCCGCCAGGACGGATGGCTTGTCCAGTACTCGCCACAGGAGGCTATCAGCCTGGGATTCGCCGGCACCATCCGCTCCGACCTGAGGAAATCCCTAATGGCCATGGGGGTGGCCCCCAGACACGCCTCCTCATGCTGCGATACCCTGCACCACCATGCCATCCACCACCTTAACAGGATTGTCCTATGCCGTCGTGTCCTGGAACGGGGCACAAACCCCCCTGCTATAGGGGACGGGTAATCCCTACCTACACCACCTAACCCCGCCGGTGGTGCTGGCATACAAGGGATAATACCCTTCAGTGCCTCGCCCCCATAACACACGCCAGGGCTACGCCCGGCGTAACCATTATTATTATTATTATTGCAAGGACTGACATGCAGCGCATAGCTGGCAAATGCGGATTCCCCGCGCCCAGTATCCGTAATAAGGCGTTATCGCACACCTCACGTCTATGACATAAATGGACCCGTTGTGAATTACCCTGCGATGGATGAATGTAACCATGCATAGAACATGCCAGCAGTCCAGCCCATGCATGAGCATGTCAACCCTGTGATGATGAGTCTAGACGTGTGACAAACAAGAGTGCAACAAGGCACTTGAAAATTGTAGTTTCCTTACTTCGTCCCCGCTTCCTCGTGCGCCTAGCTACCGTCATCCGAGTTGCGTAACAATGGTCATAACAACATAAAACGCAAGGCCGCATGGTAATGGCTGTCATGGCCTGAACACCGTCACATGGCATCCAGTAAGACACTCGCAACCAAGTACACAGTACACGTTGTAGGCTACAACTATGAAAGGGAGAGATGCTGCCAACTCCAAAGGTAATCGAATTGTTGAGCGATCTGCGTACGACAATAGTATTAGCGGCTACCGCATGTGAAGTAGGAAAGCCTGCGGGACTACCGGTACCTAGGTATCAAACGCGAAAATGCTAGTCCGATACACGTCAACAACACTGTGACATGCATTGCAGCCAATCGCTCATACTCTGGGTGAAATTGTTTTTGTTAGTTGGCTCCCGTACCACACCATAACAAGAAGGTTGTTGTACGGTGCGCCGCCCAACCATACACATACATAACACATACACGGAGCTGGTATTGCAGCCGGCAGCAGCAGGGTAGGTGGTCACTGTGCTGCCCTCTGTAGCGATTCCTTTCCTTATTTTTGTAACTTTGACCAGTCGCCACCGCTGGCCCTCGGCCTCTCCTCACTACCGGTAAGAAGGTTTGATTGCAAAGGCCTGAGGGGCGGGTGAGGGCAGCCAGGGAGCAGGCATGCGGGCAGCAGTCAAAGGTAATGCAGCAACTAAGTGTCGCCATGCACATGCCATGGATCACCATGACTTGATGTGCTGTGGCACGTGACCAGCATGTGCTCTTACGTTGCCATGGCGTGCTGTCGCGTGCATGTGCCCGGCTTTGCCAAAGTATGCGCTGAATAGCGTGCATTATGTGCGGGCAAGAAGAGAGGAGGACATTCTCATGACAACGGTCTCGCAGTCCCATAAAATTGCATGCCTGCTGACTTGGGGTACGGCTACAACCACCGGCTACCAGCATGCGTTGTGCACCCTATGCGCAACCCCCTTTTTTGTTCAGGTGCTTGATACAATGCAAGGAAAAACAGTCCACTTACCGTGCACCTGACCTTACACCATAAAGGTATCGTAGAGGGCATCTGCGCTTTCGGGGAAGCGGGTGTTGACGCCACCGGAACGGTAAGTAGCCGCTGTGTAGCAGCCCTCTCCAGCCGTCACAATCTCTGGATCGGCATCACCCTCCGCCACAACTTCACACCCGCTGACCGGCGGCCTCTCCTCCACCCAAAAGGTTTCCATGGGCCTGATGAGGGGTTGAGGGCAGGCAGGCAGACAGACCCTATCAGCAGAGAGCATGCTGGCTAAAGCATTTATTGAGGACCACTACATACAGCCGGAGTGCTCTCTGAATGAATTACCATTACATTGGTTCCCTAAGAAGGTAAGGTTAAAGGCATATAAAACACACACTTCCCGCCACCAACACCGCCGCAACACACTTACCCCTTGCCCTTGATCTGCCGGACACCCCGGCTGTCCACCAGCGCCCCCTCCGGCCACTGCTCCTGCAGCAGTGCCGCAAACGCCGCGCTGCAGTGCACCCGGTCCGCCTCGCTGTTATGCTCCATGCGCGCTGCGGTGTTGACCGCGTCCCCGAACAGGCAGTAGCGCCGGTTGAGGGTGCCCACCACGCTGCCCACCACGGGCCCGCAGTGCAGCCCCACGCGGATGTGCACGCAGCCCAGCTCGGGGCGGCCCGGGTGGATGGGCAGGGAGTTGGCAGCGGCCACGGCGGCGAAGGCAAAGCGAGTGATGAGGCGCGCGTGGGTGTCGGGCTGCGGGTAGCGCAGGTTGCCGACCGCGAGGTAGGCGTCGCCCACCGTCTCCACCTGGCATGTTGGAGGCACGATGAGGCAGTCAAGCCATGCAGGGGGTAAAGGGGCTTAGCTGCTAGCGGTATTGTCACAGCATTAACAACCCAACATCGCACGATACGCGTCTCCCCATGCCCTCTCCTATTTGCCCAAGGCCTTTCTCCTACCCTAGCAACCCTGGCCACCTTCTGCAAGGTGTTAGGTTTCACCCCTTGCAACATACCTTAAACAGGTCCAGCTCGCGAATGATATCGTCGAACCGCGAGTAGAGGCGATGCATCAGCTCCATGACCTCGTTGGGCTGCAGCTGGCTGCACAGGTCCGTGTAGCCCACCTGCAGCAGGAGATAGACCCATGGGTCATCAGTTGCCAATCTCGAATAAGTAGAAACTTGCATGATGACACGTGCTGGTTAGAGTGGTACAGGCTGGGTTTAAACGTATCTGTGGTCAGGCCTTCGTTCGTAAGCAGTAAACAGAACGGTGACTTTAGTCCAAAGAGTCTTACCACGTCTGAGAAGAAGATGGAGACACATTCGTAGCGCTCTGGTTGCACCGCCTCTCCCGCCTGCAGCGCGCTGGCAACCTGCAGCAGGATATTGCCATGCACCTCGTTAGTGAGCGTTATTAGCACTCACCATTGGTGATCCACTAGAATTGCGCTGAACATGCGCTAGGCAGTAGAGCTCATGTGAGGGGTGCTGCCATATATACTGCAAACGTTGACCTTTAGCAGTCCCACACCAATCAACACCAGCTCCGCCTTATCATGGAATAGCAAACTAACCTTGGGAGGAAAGATGTCGAAGAGGAGGTCATCCCGTGTGACATGGTTAGTCCTTCCAAGCTTGCTGCATCACAGAAAGGGGCAACAAGTGTAGGTCCTAGCAAAGTCGAAAGAGTGGGAAGGTGTACATGGGGGTTTAGGGAGGCCGATTGCTCCACAGTGCATGCAGGCAATAAACACCGGGCAGGGATTCGAACCAGGCGACAACCGGCTACAGCCACAAGAACTAACGCACCCATCTGGCCCATCCCCCAAGCTCTATCTGCTGGTGTCATCATCATCCAACTAAGCGTCAAATCCAATTCCTAGCGCCCCTTTGTCAGTCTCCCACCATGCCTAACTGCTGTCCCACCTCCATCGGGGTACTGACAGCTGCCTGGCCTCCACCGGCGGTGCTGGACTTGGATGCTTGGCCGCCGCCGCCGTGCGCCCACCAGAGCTCCCCGGCCGCTTTCGCTTGCCAAAGTCCTCCTCACCTGTCATCGAGTACTGCTGCTGCCGACCCAGTCGCACGCTTGCCAAAGCAGTTAGAAGCTTGCCAAGCTTCGACTGCTCCGAAGCAGAAAGCAGAGCCTGCTGACTGCTGGACTGCTGTGACTTTCTGTTGGTAGCCGTGAGCGCGGGGAAAACCTGCTCCTCAAGCGTCCTTAGGATGTCACTGAACGTAAGCTGCCCTGCACGCGTTATGCACGACCGTGCGAGCTCCCCCAAAGCACCACATACGTGCGTCAACTCGACAACCGCCTCCTCCAGCACTGTAGGCACTTCGCCCTGGGCTGCGGTTACAAGTTTGTCGATATCACTAGTCAACAGGAAATCCGTCTTCGCCTGCTGTTTAAGCCCGGGCTCTTTGCCTGTGAAGGCGGCCACTGCAAAGATGCGGCACAGCAGCAGCCCAAAGGTGATGATGGACTGCTGCTCCTTTGGCAGCAGGTGCTGCTCCAAGAACGTGGTAGCACCGAACGCTGACGTGGATGCCTCCTTTGTGCTGAAGTCAGCAGTGCTGCTACGACGGATCATGGCATGCAGCGGGACAGCAGCAACGTTTCCGCTACTGGTGTGGATCAGGCTGGACTGAAGCGGAAGGGCCCCAATGGTTGCTGTTGTGTTCTGGGTGCTCAGGTCCATTAACGAAGACTGAGAGGGCTGTAGCTTGGCTTGTTGTAGGAGTTGGACCGGATGGCGGCTGCCTTGCTGGGATGGGCCGGAGCTTTGGGGCATGAAGAGGCTTGCCCTGCGCGACCTTGCTCGTGCAGGCGGAGGTTGGACCACCTCGGGTGCGCACTCAGGGTCCAGGTCGGTCACGCGCAGGTACAGGTGCGGGTTGAAGTCCTTGTCCACAATGATGTTTGAGGCGTGGATGGAACCCAGCATGACAGGCGGCTCCTGTGAGGTGCAGATAAAGAAGAGGCGTTCACAAGTAATTACCAAGCAGTGGACTTAATCACTGTACAAGGACAGGAGAAAAGCCAGGATGTGTTTAGGGGATGACCTGTGAAGCAATACCCAGCAGGACAGGATGCGTACGGCATTATGGGAATCGCCATATTGGCAAATCCTCCAGTTATGAGCTGTGATGAGGATAACACGCAGCACACATATCCACGAGCCACCCCAATTCCAACCCTGACCTGGGCTTGCAGGTACATCAACGTCTCCACGACACCCTGCGCGATTTTGGCTTTGGTCCCAAGGGACAGCGGCACCGTCTCGTTCTCCAGCAGGCGATTTAGGCTGCCGAATTCATACCACTGTCGTACGATGACCGGCGCTGACCCGCCCCCTTCTAGCAGCCCCGGCCACTCCCACACGATGCCGAGGATGGGGCAGATGCGCGGGTGCTGCAGGCGCATGGCGCGCCACAAAGCGGCTGCAAGGGACGGACGGAACACAAAAAAGCCGTGGTCTGCAATAAGCACATGTTGTATGCCCCGAGCACCTTGGCCAACAACCCTACTAGCCTAACCAACAAGCAAGAGCAAGCAATAGTACCAATCTCCTTGCATACCAGAAATCTCCTTCTTCCTGCGCCTGCTCAAGAAACCCAGCACTGGGTTAACTGAGGATGCTGAACTGCCCGCCGTTGTCTCAGGCATGGTCAGCACGTGATGCTGCTGCATTGCAGCAGACAGTGGTCCAGCAGGCGCCACGTTTTCGGTAGTGCGAGCCATCACGTCAAGGCCTGTGGCTCTTGTGGTAGGGCTGTTTGTGGCTGGTGGTATGGGGGGCACCCGGGTTCTGGCATCCCTGCATGCAGTTCGTTTGGGTGCAGGCCTGCGGTGATGATGTACCCAGCTAGACGGTGAGACTAAGGGGCCAGTACGTGTGAAACCAGGTGCGCATGGAAAAGAAGAGGCAGGGCATCAGTCGTGCAAGTAAGGGCATGTAATGAGTGAATGGATTACAGATGTGACTCCAGACTCAAAGACTTAAAGAAACGAGCACGCAGGAAGGGACGATAGGAATGCAAGGGCTGCGCAACGCATGCTGCTCTTACAACACTGGGTGCTTCCGCAGCACAACGAACGAACCTGTCTTCAACTGCCGTATCCTGAGCCGTGGCCTGTGCAGGGCAATGTCCACAAGAGTTATCATCAGGGAAAGCAGAGTGCGGAAGCGGCTGCAAAGATACTGCAGACAACCGATACCAAATGCACTGCACTGCACTGCACACTACACTATAGGCGCCAGGAGTAACAACAGGGGCCGAGGCGGATTTGAGTAGTACAAAGCTAATTCTATCAATAGCACCGGCACTAACTCACCAGCTGCTGCAGCAGCTCCGTGGCTACCACAAGTGTCACCCGGGATCCCCTGTAGACACCTTCACCCGGCTCTGAGGTACCGTCCTTGTAGAGCACCGGCTGGATGTCAACCTGCACACGTGGCAGTAATGGGAAAGTACGTGGCAAAGGAGGGACCACACATGCAGAGACATCGACTCAACCATCCAGTCTAGATAGAAGGCAGTGAAAGCAGGGACACTTGAGCCATCCACCCATGGCTGGCACATAATTCCAGGCAAGGCACACGAAGCGTAATTTCAGGGTACGCATTACGAAGCATAAACATTGGTACACATCACCTACCTTGATGCCCTCATAGTCTATGTCAGTCCCAGCAGCTACCGAGCTCCGCCTCGGCAGGCGCAGCAGCAGCGCCACAACCAGGCACGCCACCACGAGGCTCAGGCAGCAGGACAGTGTCACGATGACAATGAAGGTGGCGGTCTTCTTGCGGTGGCCGCCGGAACGGGGAATAGGCATGACCAAAGGGACGTCTGCGATGTCGGATGGCAAAACTGCCACCAGCTTTCCATTCACGACCTGCAAACAGGTACAGAGGGACGGCGCGTGCTCAAGGCAACGACGGATGGTTGCGACGTGGCGGAGGCATGGTAGAGGAGCTACAGTACCCCTTCCACCGTCGTTCCCACGCACTGGCCCTTCCTCCTACAGTACCCTTCATCCCGCACTTCGTCGTGCTATTTTCTCCCGTAATTGAGGGGTCACTGCATATGGCTAGTGTTGTTGTTTGCGGTTTCAGCTCGGTTGCAAGCTTCCATCGGGCCAGTGTACTGCTCAGCAGCAGGCTCAGTAACAGCAGGGCTATTACTTGCGGCACACATGTGGTAGCATGCAGGGGCATGCCCAGAGGCATCGGTTCATGGCGCTGCCGATGCCAAGTTGCTCATGCAACTATAACACATGAAAGCATCGTTTCCTTGCAACTACTGTCAGACTGCTCAAGTGAAGAATAATGCGCTACGCTGATCGTGACTACCGGTACTTGTGCACATGCATGTACGAACGACCAGCGGCACGCTACACATTCCCCAGCGCTGCTATAAAGGCTTAATCATGGTGGAGGCGCTTCACACAGTGGTGTCGGTGTGAAGCGCCTCCACCACTGAACAAGAACCACACACCCCCGCACTCTCACCTGTGCTACAATCGGCTGGTGGTGCACATTAACATGGTGGGCGTCAAAACCGACACGTCCAAAGAAGGTGTCCAGGGTCAGGGTGTTCAGCGTGTCTCGCAGCGCTGCTTGACCATTGGTTTTGACGACTGCACCCACATTGTTGGAATCTGGGCAGCCTAGCACGCCGTTGTCCCACATAAAACTGTCAGAAAGATTGGTTTCTGGGATGAGGCCAAGATCGCAGGTGGATATGACTTGTTCCAGCGCCGACAGCAGCACATATACGCTGGCGGAGGCAGCAGCGCTGATTTGGGTCGCTTCCTGTCCCGTCGCATTTAAGGATGCTGCATAATCGGCTGCAGTGCCGAAAAAGGGATCCGAGTACGGCAGATCAGGCAACCACTGAACGGTGGTTAGGGCGTACTCAGCATTGCTGCTCAGCAGGGTTGGGAGGTCGTGGATGTGATCACCGGCGGATAGCCAGACGGCGGAAAGGTGATGGCCCAAAGTGTCCAGCGCAGCCGTTAATTGGGAGGCACGCTGCTGCTCGTCACAGACAATTAGCGCGTCGGCGTTGGCCTCAGAAATGCGGCTTCCTGAAAAGGTAAAGAAACGCAATTAGGTCGACAATGAAACAAGGCCGACATGTCAGCAGGAGCTACAGATCTAAGGGTACCTAACGGTCATTCATTCATTCTAATGGAGACACGGGTGACATGGACATGAAGAATTGCTGGCAGCATGTGGTCATGTTTTCCCAGTCCTTAGCTCCTCTAACGCCAACAGTACCCACCTGCGGCTTGCCAGAATCCCGTCGCCTCCGCCTCAGCTGCTGTGTAGTTTAGCACGACCACACTTCCAAAGCCGGGCCTCACCCCACCAAGCTGTGTCAGCTGCTGGAGTGCTCCCAGACAAAGCTGTGCGTGCGTTGCCAGTTCGCCAGGGAAAGCAACCGCAATACGCTTGATGCCGTTTAGTGCCATGGTTCGTAGCACCGGCGGTAGGGACATGCTGGTAGGAGAAAGAAGGCTAAACACGTACGGCAGGCTTTGTTTCAACACCAAGTCGTCCGCCGTACAGCAGTGCAGCAACAGGCGAGACGTGGCGTTGGACTGTATAGCATCTTGCATGGCGTTGATGCCGTTGCCGCCCAAAAGCACGTGAACAGGAGGGTTGCCAGGTACGCCGTTAAGAGGATCCGGCGGCTTGCCGTTAATAAGTGATTGCATAGCAGAGGCAGCACCAGAGTCAGTGCAGTCATGCGAGGCCAGCCAGAGCTTCAACTGCAAAGAGATTTGACGACCGCTGACGTCGTTAAGCAGGATGGTTGGCTGATCCTCCAGCCTATTGAAAACGTACTGATATCCCAGAACGATGTCATCATATATGGATGCACAGAGCTCTGCGCAAACATGTTTGCAAATTAGTAAAGCGCGAAGTTAGCCGGAGGAGGCTCGGGAGTAGGGCATATACCCCATCCCAGCCAAGCTATTAATGGAAATATGTTGAACGGCAACTTCCAACGATGCAACCTATGCACAACAAGCGTAGAGTCGCTTTCGCAAAGTAATTGAAGCAACTATTAGTCGATAGCTAGCGCCCAGCTAAGTGCAATATGAAACCATTGAAGTAATATAGGGCTGTTAGCACCAAAGCGGTAGCGTGGATGCCATCTCAGTCCTGTCCAGGCACAGCGATGCATTAGCAGCGCAAGCTTAGTATGCACCCACCGTCACGTCCAACCGTTGCCCCGACATTGAGTACAAGCGTACGAGCCGACCAGGCTGGCGGCGTTAGCAAGGATAATAGGGCGACGACAAAAGTTACTGACGCTATCATAGTGGTCTTCAGCTATTGAACGGCCTGATCGACGCAACCAGTACCACTGAACGTGTTCAGTTATGCGGGATGGAGTTAATAAGAGCTTTCCCGCAGAGCTATCAGGCGCCCACCGCAACCTTCATTGTATGACTAAAAAAGCGCATACATCAATAATGGCCATCAGCGTGCTGACAATTTTAAGCCAATGTAATAAGCAAATGCACAGACTAAGCTTTGCCCCATAAAAAGAAAGAAGCTAAGGTTACGAGAAGTGTCGTACACACTGGAATTGCTATTGATGTATAGCCTCAGAATTGTCTTCCACACGCTAGGTAACAACTAGGAAGACTTCATGCATAGTCCGCAGCGCCTTTGATGTTTCGCCAAAATGCCTCGGGTGAACATGAAAGCTCCAGTAAAACAATACGTGAAGTATAGGTGCGAGAGTGGAATAGTTTAGACACCACAGAACGCGACAGGGCCAGCGCTGGACCCCTCTTAGTCACTGACGGAGGAATCGTAATCCGAGACCACGTCAAGTTGCTTGCAATATGGAGTCGTCTGCTTGCTCTTTCATCAGCATCAAAACTGTGTACCTGTCTTTCAATCTTGTCTCTCTTCGCGTGCTACCTGTAGCCTGCCATGACAGGAATGTCCAGGGAAAACGCTGCAAGCGCTCACGAGAACGCTTCCACATGACTTCAATGGGCAACAAGATGTCTCATGGGCGATTCATGGATAGCACCCTAACTCCTACTGATCCCTGATGCATGAGCCTGGGCTCAAAGCCGTTCTTTCCTTGAATAGTCGTGTAGCTTGAAGCCAGCACAGCCCAGACGCAAACCCACCTGTGCATGATTGATTTGCCGTTACTATGCCGGCTGGCTCACGGTTAACCAGGGCTGCCACCGCCCAATCCAAGCCATCCTTTCCTCCTCCTGTATTCCAATGTTGCAAATCCCTTCGCCATTGCCCGCCCCGGCCCTGCCCAAAACGCTGCCAGCACTCTTATGCAGGTATCCAGAAGGGACAACCTCGTCTGTTGGGAGGCGTGACTGAATCCCTGAGGCCGGTGCAGCAGATAGCGATAGTCGAAGGGAGGCGAAGGAGAGCTCCTGGTTGGCTGGGGTGGAGGAGGTGGGGGGCGTCAGCGCACTGCTACAGACGAGACGAGCATTGGCGCTGGAAAGCGATTGACCCGTTTCCCTTTCCATCCTGTCCCTTGTTTGCATCCACTCCCCACCACCTCATGATCGCACACCCAGCCGCATGGAATATTTTACAGCAGTTCCTCACGTCTGAGCGTATTGGGGCGCCCTTGTTGGTGATTGGTGACCAGCACTGTTCCTAGCACACCACCGCCATCACCAGCAGCACCAAACCGCTGCCAGCAACATTGCTCTTATCTTTGGGGCTTCGTTTAATAGCAGCAGCAGTAGTAGCAGCCACGGCGGCAGGAGCCGCACAGCAAGTCCGCAGGAGGCAACAGTTTCGGTGGGAACAGTTGTGCTCTTCACCAGCTCGACAGCTGCAGCACCTATAGCACCTTCGTTACTTCCGCTTCCCCTGCAGCTGCCGTACCGCTAATCCGTGTGTACATCTGCTCCACCCAACGCATCGGCTCGTGCATCGAGGCACCTAGCCCCGCCAGAGTGTTGATTGCAACCATGTTGTGTTGTCTTTCCGGCGTGTTGCGCTTCTATTGCAGTGTAGGGTTTTCATCACCCGTGTTTCCTTTTTGGCCTGCCCTTGATTCTAGGCGCTCCGATAGGCCGCGCCGTGGAAGCAAGGGAAAAGCCTTAGGGAACACCCCGGACTTAAGGTCCAAGGTAAATTTCCTGTTTGCTTGCAGAGCAATGCCACCGACAGCCTAATGTGGGACGAAGGCGTGCTGACCTGCCAAGACGCAAGCAGTGGTAACAGGGGTGCGGCAAACACAAGCGGTGACGAAGCTTTGAGGCACGAGCTGAGTATGATTGACGCAGACACGTTCTTCGGACACGTCGGTTTCAGCGGTTACCGTGAAAACATTAACCATCCGCCTATTGTGGCTCAGGTCAGTGCCTTTTAAAGCGCAATTCAACTAGGCGCTGTTTCTCCTTGGGTGTCCATATTGCTTGTAAGTTATTCATGTTAGTGTTAGGCGCTATGGATGGCAAAGATAGGGCAGTTTACTCTTACACGTAGAGTTACGTTGTTACGGTTCTGTCTGTCTGATATCTACCATGTGTTATTCTTCTTGTTCTTATTTCTATCGCTCCTTTGGTCAGTAAGCATGGCACTCAACCAGTGCCGTACAAACACAGCACACATATCCAAATGCCTGGACGTTCCTATCCATCAATACTCCCCCGCGGACAGGCATTTCCTAAACTACGGGTAAATAACGAAATATACCCAAACCAGAACGTAGCAGCTTAAAAACTGCTGTACTTCTCCATACCTCCTCTCTACGTGATTCCCATCATCTGCCGGAACTTCACAAACTTGCTCTCAACTACCGGCTTCGTCAACACATCCGCAACCATCGAATCAGTCGGACAGTACTTGAACTTAACCTCCTCACGCGCCATGCGCTCCTGCGTAAGCGTTAGCTCCCGCATGCTGCGGTTGCGCCGGATCTCCATGCCTAGATAGTACGAGGCCTCGCCCAGGTCCCGCACATCAAAGCACTGCCCAATCTCCAGCTTAACCTGTTTCATAGTGGTCACGTTCGGAGCGGCAAGTAGCAGGTCATCAACGTGCATAAGCAGGTCGATTTCGCCGCCCATGTCGTCCCTCAGGAAGAGCGCCGGATCTGCCGCTGACTGCTTGAAGCCCAGCTTCTCCAGCTCTGACTTCAGCTTGTCGTGCCATGCCAGCGGCGCCTGCTTCAGCCCGTACAGCGCCTTAAGCAGGCGGCACTTCATACTGTCATCGCCGTTGCTGTACCCCTGCGGCTGATCCACATAGACGGTTTCTGCCAACTCGCCATTCAGGAAAGCCGTACACACGTCCAGCTGATGTAGCTCCAAGTCCTCAGCCGCTGCTCGTGACAGCAGCACACGAAGCGTGACCATCCTACCAGTTGGTGCGTACACCTCCGTGTAGTCGATGCCCTCACGCTGGCTGTACCCCTTGGCCACCAGACGAGCCTTGTAGCGCTCAATGCTGCCGTTAGCGTTGTACTTGCGCTTGTAGACCCACCTGACACCAATAGGAGTGATGTGCGACGGCGGCTTCTCCAGTCGCATGGTTCCGTTGGCAGCTAACGATGCCATCTCCTCATTCATGGCCTGTATCCACTCCGTCGCATCGGGAGCCACTATCGCCTGCTCATACGTGGTAGGGTCCGCAGACCCGACCTTCCTTGCTGCTATACTCTTGGCGGCCTCCACTGCTGCTGCTGCTGCCAACTGATTTATGTGGTCATACCAGATGGGTCGAGCCACTCTAAAGGGTGGCGGGGAATACCGCTTAGGTGCCACTCCGCGGTTTCGTCTTGACGCAGGATCTAGCAGCTCCACCTGCTCACCATCACCGGCATCCGGCATTTCTGCCGCCGCCGGTTCAGCTGCCTCCTGAAGTTCCGCCGGCTCCTCGTCCTCCCCCGCAATCCCTGCTTGCTGCTCGCCCATTTCATGCACCTCCGGAGCCTCCCCCGGATCCGCTGCTGGCTGCTCTACCTGTTGCTGCTGCACCTCAACAGGCTGCGGCGGGAGTTCTGCCGCTGCCTCAAAGTCACGCAGCATGATGCCAGCTCCATGCAGCGTTGCATCTTCCTCCGCAATGCCGTTCTGCTGCAGCGCCGCCGGCCCCCTCTTGCGCTCGTTGAACGTCACATTGCGGCTAACCACAATGCGACCATCCACTAGCACTCGCCAAGCATCGCTGCCACGTTCGTACCCCACGAACGTGCCCTTGCGGCTCACCGGCTCCAGCTTGTTGCGCTGCTGCGACGGGACGTGTACGAACGCTTCGCACCCAAAGACGCGGAACATGGAGACATCCGGTTTGATACCGTAGAACAGCTCGCGCGGCGTCTTGTTACGCCCTGCCACCGGTGCTGCATTCCGAAGCGCGTTAGCCATTACCAGCGCCTCAGGCCAGTACTTCGCCGGCATGCCGCTGTCCTGCAGCAATGCCCTCGTGCTCTCCAGTAACGTCCGATTAAGCCGCTCCGCTGAACCATTCTGCTGCGGGCTGTACGGTGCAGACTTGTACGGCATGATGCCACGGCGTCGCAGGTAACATACAACCTCCTGTGAAATGTACTCGCCGCCGCGGTCACTCTGCAGACCTTTCACCTTGCCTCCATCGGGATGCTGGTTCTCCAACAGCTCAATGATGCCCACCAGCTCCTCAGCTACGTTCCACTTGTTGGAAATGATGCGTACCACTGACAGCGCTGTTGCCTCGTCAAATACTGTCAGCACGTAGCGGCCTCCGCCGAATCCTTCAACCGGCAGCGGGCCGCACACGTCGGTATGCAGTAGCTCCAGCGCGTTCTTGACCTTCTCGCCTCCAGCTGGGTAAGGGAACCGAGGCTGCTTGGCGGTCACGCATGTCTCACAGAAGCTGCCGCGCTGCGCTGCCTCGAACTCCTCCTGTGACGCATCCATCCCCTTCACCATTCCATGCCTGGCCATGTCGGACATGGCCCGAAAGCCACGGTGGCCATAGCGCCAATGCCAGAGAAGGGCGCTGCCTAGGCTACCGCTGCTTGCGCTGTTGCTACCGTAGGCACACTTGCCAAGATCATAATCCAAGCTGCTCCATGCACCGCCGCTGATGCCTGCGGCGTACCCCCTGCTGCTGCAGCTGCTGCACGCAACCTGCAGCTGTGCATCAGCAATTATAGCCCGACACTGCTTCGATCCAGTCAGAAGCACGTCGCCGTTGTAGGAAATCTCTACATTCCCATTGGCAAAGTGCAACTCCGCCCCTGCGTCCATTACTTGGATCACTGACAGCAGCGTAAGGCTGGAATCCGGCACGTACAGAGTGTTCTCAAGGTGTACGATGTAGCCGGTGCTGCTCTCAAGCCGCAGTGTTCCTATGCCCTTGACTGGGCTCCGGGCGCCGTTGCCCCACTCGATGCTGGCTACGCTTGAAGAGCTGCTGAAGTCGTGTAACAGCTCTCGCTGTGAGGTAAGATGGCAAAAGCAACCAGAGTCGATGATGACCACATCTGGGTAGGAATCACTGCTGTTCCAGTTAGCTACAGCCACGCACTCGCTGAACACGGGCTGCGCTACCAGCACGGCTTGTTTACCCGGACGTTGGTTGCCGCTACCGCCACCTTTCCCACCACCCCTGAAGCCGAACCAACCCCTGCCACCGCGGCGTCCCCCGCCGCGACTGCCACTGCTGCCGTAGCCACCGCTGTATCCTCCTCCATAACTGCCGCCACCACCGGAACTGCTGCTTCCGCCGCCGCTTCCGCCGCCGCCTCCACCGTGCCAACCACCGCCGCTGCTTCCGCCGCCGCCGCTCGAGGACGAGCTGGCAGGCTGGCGAATGTTGCGGCGATAGATGCCGGCTTGCTCGTCTGAGATCCGCACGCCACAGTCCTTCTTGATGTGGCCGTGCGTGAAGCAGTAGAAGCACTCGACACCACTTGCAGCTGATCCGTGCTGCTGAGCGCCCACCACAGCGCCAGTGAATGCCGAGCTGTCCAATAGCATGTCGTGACGGTTGGTGTGCTCCTGCTCTAGCAACAGTTGCTCCATCTTGTTGAGATCCTTCTCATCGCTCTTAAGCAGAAGTGCTCGCGTTAGCTGAAACTCACGCGGAAGTCCCATGAGGATGGCGCGGCGAAACTGTCCCTCATCGAAGGTACCTCCTGCAGCTCTGAGCTCATCCCTCGTCTGATAACAGCGCGCAAAGAAGTCCGCAATTGACTCGCTGTCCTTCTTGCGCAGGTCGCGGATCTGCAGGTCCAGCTCATAAAGCCGGGTCTCCGTGTTAGGCCGGATTAGCTTCTCCATAGCGCTCCAGACCTCGTTTGCCCTCTCATATTTGGTAAGCTGCAGCCGGAACTTGTACGCCACAGAGTTCCTGATGTATGCTGCTGCTTTCTTGTGCATCTCGGGAACTGCCGTGTCCGGATTCTCTAGCGCTACATTTACGCCGTGAAGCGTCAAAAAATCTTTCATGGACATTGACCATATTGCCCAATTCTTCTCATCGAGCCACAGATTACTTTCAAGCCCTAGATCGATGCCCATCCTTAAGGCTGTCACTATAAATGCTGCACCCGCATTATAGTCCTTGAGCCAACACCTAACCTACTATGGCAGCTTTCCCAGCATGCCGGGGCTCATAACCTGTTAGTGTTAGGCGCTATGGATGGCAAAGATAGGGCAGTTTACTCTTACACGTAGAGTCACGTTGTTACGGTTCCGTCTGTCTGATATCTACCATGTGTTATTCTTCTTGTTCTTATTTCTATCGCTCCTTTGGTCAGTAAGCATGGCACTCAACCAGTGCCGTACAAACACAGCACATATATCCAAATGCCTGGACGTTCCTATCCATCAATATTAGTCACATGTCGACGAATATGCTTATTGGATTGGTACCGTGTACAGGTCTTATCAGGAAAGCTGGTGGCAGTTTTGCCAACGGACTTGGCAGTGCAGCCCCTAGTCATGCCCACTCCGCGGCCCGGCGGCCACCACAAGAAGGCCACCATCATAGTCATCGTGTTAACCTGCTGCTTAGGTCTCATGGTAGCCTGCCTGGCTGGTAGGAGAAATGCCTTGGGCAAATAGGAGAGGGCATGGGGAGAAGAGTATCGTGTGATGTTGGGTTGTTAATGCTGTGACAATATCGCTAGCAGTGAAGCCCCTTTAGCCTTTACCCCCTGCATGGCTTGACTGCCTCATCGTGCCTCCAACATGCCAGGTGGAGACGGTGGGAGACGCCTACCTCGCGGTCGGCAACCTGCGCTACCCGCAGCCCGACACCCACGCGCGCCTCATCACTCGCTTTGCCTTCGCCGCCGTGGCCGCTGCCAACTCCCTGCCCATCCACCCGGGCCGCCCCGAGCTGGGCTGCGTGCACATCCGCGTGGGGCTGCACTGCGGGCCCGTGGTGGGCAGCGTGGTGGGCACCCTCAACCGGCGCTACTGCCTGTTCGGGGACGCGGTCAACACCGCAGCGCGCATGGAACACAACAGCGAGGCCGACCGGGTGCACTGCAGTGCGGCGTTTGCGGGGCTGCTGCAGGAGCAATGGCCGGAGGGGGTGCTGGTCGACAGCCGGGGTGTCCGGCAGATCAAGGGCAAGGGGTAGGTGTGTTGTGGCGGTGATGCGTGGCGGGGTGTGTGTCTCTGTTAGCCCGCTGATGACAAAGGGAGCCAGCCCTCCGGCTGTAAGCAGTGTCGCGCGTTCGCTGGTACCGGTACTGTGGTCCTCAATAAATGCTGTAGCCAGCATGCTCCCTGCTGATAGAGTCTGCTTGCCTGCCTGCCCTCAACCCCTCATCAGGCCCATGGAAACCTTTTGGGTGGAGGAGAGGCCGCCGGTCAGCGGTGTCGAAGTAGTGGTGGAGGGTGATGCCGACCCAGATATTGCGACGGCTGGAGGGGGCTGCTACACAGCGGCTACTTACCGTTCCGGTGGCGTCAACTCCCGCTTCCCCGAAAGCGCAGATGCCCTCTACGATAACTTTATGGTGTAAGGCCAGGTGCCAGGTAAGTGGACTGTTCTTTTCCTTGCATGTACAAAATGCCTCCGAACAACATGTGGTTGCGCATACAGTGCCGGTAGCCGGTTGTTGAAGCCGCACCGAATGCGATTTTGGAGGCCCAGTTGCTGCTAGTTGGTGCATGCCACAAGTGTCCTCCTCTCTTCTTGTCCGTACTTCATGCTCGCTATACTGTGTGTTACTTGGCAAAGCCCTCACCTGTCGGGCACATGCATGCCACAGCATGTCATGGCATCGTAAGGGCACATGCGGGGCACGTGCCACAGCATATCAAGTCATGACGTGCCAGGGCATGTGCATGGCGACACTTAGTTACTGCATTACACTTGACTGCTGCCCGCGTGCCTGCTTCCTGGCTGCCCTCACCCGCCCCTCAGGCCTTTGCAAACTAACCTTCTTAGTTGAGGAGAGGCTTAGGGCCAGCGGTGGCGACTGGTCAAAACTACAAAAACATGGAAAGGATTCGTGACAGCAGAGGGCAGCACAGTGGCAATCTACCCTGCTGCTGCCGGCTGCCATACCAGCTCCGTGTGGTTGGAAGGTTGGGCGGCGCACCGTACAACAACCTTCTTGTTATGGTGTGGTACAGGAGCCAACTAACGAAACCAATTTCACCTGGAAGTATGAGAATATTGCCTGCGTTGCATGTCACAGTGCTGTTGACGTGTATGGGGCTAGCCATTGCTCGCTGGATACCTTTTATTGCCGTACGCAGATACGCTCGACAATTCAATTTCCCTTTGGAGTTGGCAGCATCTCTCCCTTTCATAGATGTAGCCTACTCTGTATACTACGTACTTGGTTGCGAGTGTCTTACCTGGATGCCATGTGACGGCGTTTCAGGCCATGACAGCCGTTGCCATGTTGTTATGACCATTATTACGCAACTCGGATGACGGTAGCTAGGCGCGCCAGGAAGTGGAGACGAAGTAAGGAAACTGCAATGTACAAGTGCTGGTGCACTCTTGTTTGTCATCACACATCTATCTAGACTCATCATCACCGGGTTTACATGCTCGTGCATGGGCCAGACTGCTGGCATGTCCTATGCATGGTCACATTCATCCATCGCAGGGTAATTCACAACGGGTCCATTAATGTCACAGAAATGAGATGAGCGAAAACGCCTTATTACGGCTTCTGGATGAGTGGAATCCGCATTTGCCTGCTATGCGATGCATGTCAGTCCTTGCATAGCTGTTGCAGTGCGTTCGCCGGGTTAATGCGGGGCGTTTCTTTGACCTGCATGAACGGCAATAAAGCGGGTTTAGCAGTCTGGCTTCTTCTGTTTATGTGTGTTGTGCCGATTCAGAAGATTGGGCGCGGGGGATCACCTGGCAGGTGTCGAAATACCGGCATCTCGTAACTCTCGGGCGTACCAATAATGGCCGGCTGCTTTCTCGAAAGGATATTGCTTTGCTTCGAATCTGCTGGCCACTGCCTGGCTTGCAGCTGTGGGCACAGCAGCGAAAATAACTAGGGATTTGGCGCTACGAACTTTACGTGGGGCTGTTTGTGGCGTTAGATGTCTCGATTTGGGGCTGATGTTAGTCTGTGCACGGTATGCGTCGTTGGGGTATGCCTTAAACGACCCATGGGTCGTTCCTGTTGGCTTTCCTGTTCGGCCAAGCGGTCTGCTGTTTACAACCAGTTGAAATGGGGCTCAGCGGGGTAACCGTTGGGGTTTGTTAGCCCAGCTATTCCGAGAGCGTGCCGGGTGAGGGTCAGCGAGCCGTACAATCCCAGCTTAGTTAAGGTATTCGACGGTAACGGTTGTTGGAGTTCATACATGGGGACATGGAAAGCCCTGATTATTTGGGCTATTATTTCGCTAGTGGAATCAATGGGGTTGTACGGTACACTGCATTTGCTAATGGCGTTAGGGGTTAGCGCTGTTGCCTTGGCTTATACCTGTCGAAGCACCGGAGCCAATGCGCCTTTACCAGGGGCAAACACTGGGGCCTCTTTCTCTGACGTGTGTTAAGGCCACCAGGCCACAAGCGTTAAGGTCACCATACAGACGTCTGCTCTAACTTGTACGGGGCCAGGGGGCCTAGAAGCTGCCTAGGAACTGGGGCCCACGTCTATTTAGCACCTATGTGTAAAATTAATGCGAGGACGAGCGCACAAAAAAGATGTGAACAAACAGAAAAACAGCCTGCATCGTTAGCTGCTCTGCTAATGCACCTGCTGCTGGTGTTATTCTACCGTAATAAAGGCATGTCACGAAGCCGTAACGCACTTCACAGCGACAGCACAACACAAACACCAGCCCTGTTAGTACGGTATCAACATTTAGCAGGGAAACCAATACAAACACACAGGACTCCCCCAGTCGTGAATTCCCGTGGTTGCACACCTCCCGCCGCTGCCCTGCCTGTGCATAACCCCATCCCCAGAAATTACGTGCGTCGCTGTTGCAGTAGCACTTCCCCGTACCCTCAGCTCTCACCCCTCATTCTCTCGCATCATTTAACCTGACAACGCCTTCAAGCATACCGCATGCTTCAGCAGTTCAGCACCAGCCCCGCTCACCCACCGCTGCCGTACCGCACGAGTGGGCAGCCCAGTCAGCCGGGGGCACCGCGAAGTAGGCGTGCTGGAGCGCCTGGTGGGGTGGGGAGCAAATGATAATGAGGGTGAGATAGGAACAACGAGTAACGATGGCATGAGATGAACGGAGGCCAAAGCATGCAGCCCTATAGCCAACCTTAATACGGATGAAACCCAGGCAGTCTGGTTACGGTGCCGTACGAGCAGCTGCCTTGTCGTGTATGGGCGAAGTCGGCCAAGTCCCCTCCCCCTTCTGCTTTGGACCTGGAACGCGTTCTGCTGACGCTCTCGTCTTAATGAGCTGTTGGTCACTCAAGAAGAGCACAGGCTGGAACGATGGTGTAAACGACGCCTACCGACACCAACACCTCCACACCACACCCCCTCCTCGTCCTCGTGCTCCTTGTCGTACCCACCCACCCACCCACCCGCCCACCCACCTGCGCCGCGGAGGGCCTGCTGGCCGGCTCCCAGTGCAGCAGCCGCAGCAGCAGCCGCAGCGCCATGGGGCCCTCCAGACCCAGACCTGTGCAGCAGGCAGGCAGGCACATGGGGCGGCGGGGAAGTAGGCAAACAGGCAGGCAGGCATGGAGGCAGGCACAGCGATGTAAGGGTGAGGCATCAGTGCCCAGCAGACAGCGGACAGCAGCAGCCCCGCTCTTTCTTCGTATGTTGCCTGCGCACTTGTTGCCTAGTGCTGCTGTAACCCCCCGCCCAGGTTGGTGGGTGTTTGTCTCTCACCCGTGGGGTCCCTGCTCCTGGCCAGGCGCAGCAGGGCCTCCTCCGTGCAGCTCCAAGACATGAGCGGTGTGGAGGAGGAGGCGGAGGAGGTGGAGGTGGGGGAGGAGGTGGGGGAGGAGGTGGGGGAGGAGGTAGAGGCTTGTGGGTGCTCCCGTTGCTGCTCCTCCTGTGTCCGCTGCTGTTGTTCTTCCTCCTGTGTCCGCCGCTGTTGCTGCTCCCGGTGCCCCTGCTGCTGCCCCTCCGGTTGCTGCTGCCCCTGGGGTCTGCCGGTGCCGGTGAGGGGAACCCCGGAGGGCTGGGAGGGGGCTGACGAGGTGGAGGGGGCCTGCGGGGCGGTGGGGGGGGGGGGTAAAGAGGAAACAACTAACTGACTGAGGGATAAGGGGGGTGGGGGGGGGGTAAGGGAAACAACAAGGCAGCCGAGGGGAAAGGGTCAGCCATGGCTACTAAACCTCCACGGCTCCAGCAGCCCCGCACAGCCCCTCTCACTCTACCGTACATACACACACGCGCATGCCTTACATCCGCATCATACGGTACATTGTACGGCTGCTGCACCGTGCCGTACGTCGCCTTTCGCCTCCCTTCCCTGTGCACCCCTCAGCCCCTCCCCGCCAGCCCCTCCCTCTCCCTTAACGAACCCACTGGGCCTTCTCCTTTCCCTCCCTAGCCAGCCCCCTCCCCCTACCTGCGGCGGGTAGATGCACCACTCCATGAGCCCCCTCAGCAGGAACACCGGGTGCCGCTCCGCCTCGGGTCGCCCCCGCAGCGCCAGTCGGGCGGACAGCAGCGCGGTGGTGGCGGCAGGCAGCTGCCACACCTGGGGGGAGGAGGTGGTGGGGTGGGGGGAGGTGCGGGAGGGGGAGGGGGGGGGTATTGTGGGGTTGGGAGGTGGGGTTGGGGGAGTGGCATAGGAAGCCTAAAGCGATGCTGGCTATGGGTGGATGGTGGTGGTGACGATAGTGGCAAAGGGTGAAGCAGTACACCAGTAAAGGGTGTTTGAGCTGGAGGTTGGGATACTCTTGGGGTCTGGTTTCAACCGGGCACCGGTTCAGGATATGTACGGTAGTATGGTTGCACGGTGTAGCGCGTTTCCGCACCCTGGATCCTCCCTACCTCTCGCTGACCTACCCTACCCTGGCCACCAGCCGCATGGGCCGCTGCCACCCCACCCCGCCCCGCGCCCACCGACCCCATCACACCTGCGGAGTCGCCATCAGCAGCTCCAGCCACACCACCCCCACACCCCACATGTCGTACGCCCAAGAGCGGGGGCGCATGGCGGCCATGCCTTCCCAGTAGCTGGGGAACAGGGAGGGGGAACAGGGAGGGGGAACAGGGAGGGGGAACAGGGAGGGGGAACAGGGACGGGGAACAGGGAGGGGGAACAGGGGGACACGCGTCACGCGGAACAGGAGGCGACGGGAGTAGCAGCAGCATAGGGGGGCAGCAGCAGCAACGATTATGAGTACTGGCTTGTATTATAGGCGCAGATGTGTATTGGCTTGAAGTATAGATAGAAAGGTGGTATGTGGTAAAGATGTGAGTACGGACACGACACAACGCCGAGCGTTTACCCTGCAGTGCCAGCAATGCTAGCCGTCCGAGGCGTCCAGCTGCCCTAGTCCGATTCCGGCTGCATGCACCGCCCCAGTGCAAGCGCCCTCTCTCCACTTACCGCCGGTAACCAAAATGCAAGCAATGGTGGAGCCTTGCCACACAGCTGTACTACACAACTATCATACGACTTCTTTTCTTTGCCTCCACTTACCGGCCAAACAGCGCCTCCGGCGGCGCATACTCCAGGGTCAACTGATCAGACGTAGGGCCCTCATTGCCGTACAAGTGCCGCAAACTGTAACCGTCAACTGCCGACCCGAAGTCAATCAGCCGAAGCCACATGGGCGACACAACCGAATCGTTGGCTTGGTCCTCTTGTTGCTCCTCCTGTTGCAGCTGCTGCTGCTGCTGCCGTCGACGGCGATGCTTGCCGCCGTTACCTTCATCTGGTGACGCCGCCGTTGCCCTTGTTGCATGGTTATTACTAATCGACTGCTGGACTCGACTTCGGCCGGTGCTAGTGTCATGGACTGACCCACGGGTCGCTTTGGCTGACGCTGTCTTGGGCTTTTGGATGGGCGAGAGCATCATGTTCTCTGGTTTGACGTCCCGGTGTGTGATGTTGGCCTCGTGCACCACCTGCGGGGTAGGTGGTGCGGGGTAGGTGGTGGCGTGGGGTAGGGGGTGTGGCTTTGGGTAGGTGGTGGCGTGGGGTAGGGGGGGCACCAAACAACAAGTGGCTGGATTGAGGGCAGACATGTGGACATGTTGAGTTAACCGATACTAGCATAACATGCGGTTGGTCTCTACCGGTACCTGCTGCAGCATAACTGTCACCACTTCAGTTAGGCTGCTCGCCATGGCTGTTGAAACACGTTGCGTTGATGCCGTTTTCACCGTACTGATTTCCTTCCCACCCTCAGGGATTGTGCTGGGCTGGTAGCCACACACCTAACCTCCCCCCCACCCACGCGCCCTCCGACCCCCCACCCACCCACCCTCAGTCCGCTCAGCAGCTGTCGCAGCAGCTCCCTCACAAATTCGTTACCCTCCGGGTGCCGCCGCAGTGCATGCCACCAGGGGCTCGGACCCAGAACCTGGAATGCTGGAGCGGAGGAGGAAGCGGAGGAGGTGGAGCTTCCATCCTCGCCCTCACCCTCATCCGCATTCGGTTCCCGGCGCTGCTCCTCCTGACCTTCCTCCTCCTCTCCGTTCGGCTGCTGAGGTTGCTGCTTCTGCTGAGGCTGCTGAGGCTGCTGCTGCTGCTGCCCCAGGGCCGCGTAAAGGAGATCGTGCAGGGAGCGACCCGCATCTCCAAACACCAGCCACAGGTCCGGAGCAGCAGGCGGAGGGACGGAGGATGATGATGAGGAGGTGGAAGCAGCCGTCGTAGGGTCGCCATCGCGGCCGTCCTCGTCAGGCCCGAGGCCCCTATCGGGTCCGCCGCCTCCCCCTGGCAGGGGACCGTCCCCCGGGGCGGCTGAGTCGTCCGAGGCGCCGTCCTTGCTGCGGCTGTCAGGTAGCACCTCGAAGGACTCGATGAAGTCAACCTGCATTCGGTACACAAGCGTACCATGTATTGGATGTATATCGTACCGGTAGCAGAAGGAGACGTCAGGTTTAGCTGGCGCATGAGCTCATCATGCGCGTGTGTCAACACTGCCAAGCAGTATAAAGCTGTACATCATCGCATCACCCACCAGGTGGTCGTATCCCTGCAGTTCCCCGCCTTCTTCCTCTCCTTCCTCCGCTCCTGCTGCTCCTCCTTCTTCCTGCCTGAGCCTGCCACTGGCACTGCCGCCGGGCCCCACCACCGCCGCCTCTTTGGTATCTCTCAGCCTCCGCAGTCGCCCGCCAAAGTATGCCTCCCTCAACCCACTCAGCAACACACCCTCGCCGCCATCTCCACGCAGACGCTTTAAAACGTACGGCATGCCGCTGCTAGCACTGTCGTACGCTGCATTTGCACCTGCAGCTGCAGTACGGCGGCGAGTCTTAGGTGCCTCTGGCTTAGGTGGCGGCTTCCCGTGCCGCCTCTGCCCATGCGATGGCGGCGGTTGCTGCGGTTGAGGCCGCCGGCCGGTGCCTTCTGCGCCGCTGGCGGTTGCGGCGGCAGCGGCGGCGGGTACAGATCCGTCGCCGCCAAGACGCCATGCCCGCCATACCTCCCCAAAGTGCCCCTGACCGAATCGCTCCCGGAGTCTGTAGCTACTGCCCCCGGCGGCGGCGGCGGCGGCGGCGGTGGAGACGGCTGCGGCATCAACGGGGGCATCCTTAACCAGATCCAAAGCACCATCCGCTTGCCGTACACCGTGCGCCCTGGCTGTCAGCTGTAGCGGCGGCCCAATCACTGCAGCAGCGCCGTTGTCGCCGCCGCCGCCGCCGCCGCCAACGGAAGGGGAAACCGTCGCTGCAGCGGCGTGTTTGCTATTACCACCGCTGCTGACGCCGCCGCCGCCGCTGACAAGTCTTACCACATCCACAACGCCAGCGCCGTCAACGCAACCGCTGGGCGGGCATGCCGTCAACGTGTCATCCACATCCGTCAGCCTTACAGCCGCATCCGTTCTGTCCAGAACCACAGAAGACGCCTTGGGCCTGGCGCTGGTAGAGCCCTCTTGCCGTACATCGCCTCCGCCGCTGATGCCGACGCCGCCGCCAACGACGCCGCTACCGCCGTCAAGCGACACCGCTCCTTTCTTCGACGGCACCGCCGCCGCCACTCTTTCTGCCGCGGCCGTCGTCTCTCCCGCCGGATCTCCTCCCGGATCCCTCTGCAGCGGTGCCTCGTCCCTAAGCTCTCTCAACAACGACCGCCCGCGGCGACCCGCCACTCCAAACATGCCTCCTCCGCCGCCGCCAATCGAACCTAAGCCACCGAGTCCGATGCCACTCCAAGAAACTGCCTCGGCTGTCAGGCTCGGGCCAAGCTCTTGCTGCGGCTCTTGCCATACAGACGCCTCTTCCTTGAATGTCAAAGTCAAACCAGATCGTACCGGTACGCGGGGCACCTCATCAATGAAACCACTGTCACCATTGCCGCCGCCACTGCCACCGCCGCCGCCACTGCTGCCGCGGACACTGACACCGATGTCATCACTGTCGTACAGACTGAGCTGAAGCGGTACGGCAGCTATCTCCAGCAAGAAGGAATGCGTGCTGCCGTACATTGCCAATGCATGGCTACTGCTGCTACTGCTGCTGCTAGTGCCGTCGATGCTACTGCCCGCAGCAGGAGCCAGCAAGCCTCCAACCCGACGTCCCTGCTGCAGGGGGAATTGGATACGGTAGAGACGTTGGTATTTTACTCGCTGCTTGCAGCCCTAACCTCGGAATCCCCGTCAGGCACAGTTCGGAACTCGCAGTCAGCTAAGGATGACATGGCAGGATGAAGAACAAAAGGTGCGCGCACGACAGCTGCCATCGACATGTGCCCTCGAGGGCGCGTAAAACACCCACTACAACCCACTGGTCCCACTCTAGCACCAGAACCAGCCCACTAATCCCACCCTGGTATCAGCCCCATGTGCCTACCCTAGCACGAAACACACACCTGCTGGCCTTCCACTCTGCATTCAGCACCGCCGCTGCCGCCGCCACTCAAGTCACTGCCTGGCAGTGCAGCAGTCGCGACCACAGGAACCACACCGGTATTTACTCTGAGCTCCGAGGAAGCCAAGGAAGCAGCAGCAGCAGCAGCAGGGGCAGCAACAGCAGCCCCTCCTGCTCCGCCTCCAGGGGTGTTGGTAGCAATTGACCTTCCCATGTTGTACAACTGTCGGGAGTTGGAGTTGTGATTGTAGTACGAATGCAACCGCTCCAGCAGGCAGCCATGGGTGCTGGCGGGGGCAGGTGGTGCGGAGGCGGAGGTGGAGGTGGAGGTGCCGGGGGTGTCGGCGGTACGGCCGGGCAGGAGGAACGTGGCGGCGCTGTGAGGGCGGATAGACAAGGGGCAGATACAAAAAGGGCAGATACACAAGGGAATCAGGTAGGCTGCAGGGAGGCATTCCGTGTCGTCACTAGAGCGTGCTGGACGGCGTAATGGAGTCGAGTGTCAAGCTGTAGCCTACAGGTGCATCATCATCCTAAAGCCTATAGCCTTCTCTTGCTCCCAACCCCGCCTGGGTGATTCTACTTCTGTCACCCCATCTGGCGAAACCCGACGCCCAAATCTACCAACCCATGGGCCCCCACCCCACCCCACCACCCGACACCCCACCCCACCACCCGACCCCACCTGGAGAAGTCGCTCAGCCTCCAAGGCGGCATCGGATCCCCGCCCGGCACCGCAGCATGCAGGTGGTACGACAGGGAAGGTACGGCAGTGATTCGCTCAGACAACTGGTACCCAAAACCACTACTGGTATCATCCATGCCATGACCGTCATGATCGCAGTTGTTGCTGTTCTGGTTGCTGTTACAATCGTCGTCGCAATCCACGAAAGAGACGCGCGGCGAGCAGAACCCTTGGTTGCCCGCGCCGTCGCTGCCACCAAGACCGTGTACTTCACCACTGAAAGTAGCATCGTTAGCACTGCAATCCGTTTCAAAAGTTGTGGTATCTCCCTCGACGCCACCTGCTGCTGGGGTGGCTGCACCATGTTGCAGAGGGCTGCAGATCAGAACGATCGCGCCACCGCCTGATTCGCTGCTGCTGCTGTCGCTGCCACTGTTGCCTCTGTTACTAACGCTGCCTCTGTTACCGCCGCTACTGCTAGAAAGGATCCCTCCCGCAGCGATAGCAGGAACAACGACAGCAGTGGCGCCTGCAGCATGATCAGCTGCATGCCGGCTGGGGAGTCCAATTAAGGAAGTGAGACCGCTTTCCCTACCGCCGCCACTGCCACCACCGCTGCTGCTGCTCGGAAGCAACGTCAAGAGGACTTGCTTTAGGAGGACAATTACATAGGATGCGCACGACAGTAAGCTGCTAACGATGCTGCTCAGGAGTGTTCTCCGTCGTTCCTTCAGCGCCGAGGGCTGCCCCTCCTGGGGCGGTAGCGGCGTCACTAACGAAGATGAGGGAGACGAGGAGGTGCCGGTTGCAGTGTCGGTCGAAGCAATAAGCAGCGCATTCTGCTGCTGCTGCTGCTGTGCGGTTACTACGGCCCGGCATCTCCTGTGCTGTAGGGTTGGGACTTCCTCCCGCATGTGCCCGATCAGCTGCGGCCACCATGTTTGCATTTCACCACCTCTGCCTCCGCCGCCGCCGCTGGCAGGGGCGGCCTTGCCTCCACCTCTGACATTATGATCACCATTCCCTGCCCCCGTTGTCGCCACTGCTGTTGCTGCTGTTCCGCCTGCAGGAAGCGATGGCACCAGCGCTGCAGCCCTCTTGACAGCAGCAGCAGCAGCAGCAGCAGTAGTGGTAGTCGTGGAGGCAGCAGCAGCATTGCCATTGCCATTGCTACCCTTTTCCGACGACAGCGGCAGCGCAGGAGCAGCCGTCGCAGCTGACGCCGAAGATGCCGCCGGCGCAGCGCCAAGCGCCGCCGCCGCTGCGCCGGCGGCAGGTCCGTGGATTGCTACCGGATCAACGCCACTTGTTGAAGAGGCCTCCGCCTCCGCCCCTGCCACCACAGCCGATACGCCGGAGGGTGGTGCGTTCCCCGCTGTCGAGGTAAGGGGCGGGATGACCCGCCCTGGAAGCTAAGAAAGGGAGGGAAGACGAGGCATGGCGAGGCAATAGATGAGCGCGTTAGGCGAATGAACACGGGCGACCAAGACAGTGCGCGTAAGAATGGGTCTTACGACCTAACCACCCCTCCCCCTTCTCACTCGCACCACCAACGCTCCTTGTTCGGCTCAAAATACCCAGCACCTTCAGAGAAACGATTTCAGCCCCCCATACAGCCCTCCAACACACACCGAACACGTGGACAGCTGTGTTGATTCGCTGACACACGCTCACCCACCTGCACCACCACCACCACCACCCAGTTTTCTTAACACACGCCCACCCACCTGCACCACCACCGCGCCCACGTTGTCCATGGAGCCCCGCCGCACCGCCTCCTGCACCAGCCGGGCGGCAGCGGAGGCGGGGGTGCGGAGGGCGGGGCGGCGGGAGGAGCGGCCGGAGAGTGCCTGCATGCGGCGGAGAGGAGAGGACTACTGGTGAGAGGAGCTCAAAGGAGGTAAACCGTAGCAGATAATGCAAAGCAGTCGCTACCCTAAACCCACCCTGCGGTCCCCGCCTCCGCGGCTCACCTGGCCAGCGCAGGGCCCCTCACTGTCTCCTGCCGCCGCCGCCGCCGCAGCCATCGCCACAGCATCGCAATCGCAACACCCCGCCAAGCCAACACCCTCCAACGCCTCCATGTCCATTCCCGCCCCGGGACCAGCGCCTGACGATGTCCCCCCGGGCCCAGCGCCTGCCACTGCGGCTGCCGTTGGTTCCGCCGCTGCCGCTGTTGGTGTCGCCGCCGCTGCTGCTGCAGGTGCCGCACCCGCCGCTGCGGCCCCAGCGGCTGCCGCTGCCATTGTCTCAACCGCGGCTGCTTCTGCATGTGTTCCCTCAGCAGCAGCCTGCAGCCCCCCCACGGGTCCCAGTGCAATGGCGGGTGGCGGCGGAGGGGTGAGGGGCGGGTGGGGGGCGCCGGAGAGCTGCGCTGCCGCGTGGTCGCACAGGTCCTGTCCAGGTGGGTGGGAGGTGGGGGTGGGTGGGAAGGGAGCGGGTGGGGGTGAGAGGTGTGTGCGGGAGGGGAATGTAGGGATGCCGCCTAGCGCCATGCCCCTCTGCTGGCCTTTGCCTGTTTGTTGCACGCATCCCATTGCACAGTCGTCTTGCTTCTAGACAACGCTACCGTCAGCTTGCTTTTAGACAACGCTACTTCTCAGTGCGGTTCAGCTGACCGCTGCAGCCCCAGCTCAGCGCCTGCTCGACCACTCACGCCGGTTGTGTTGTTTTGTTTACTGCATTTTGCATTCATCCTGTCTTGTGCTTGCTTTTCGTCCTGTCTCGCATGCCATCCTGTTTTGCCGTAAATGTTGCACTTAGATATAGGTTCATTTTGTCTCTAACTCTGTCCCCTTTTCCTCGCTCTGGTTCATGTTTCTACGCATGGCACTCGCATTACTGCGGCTGCTGGTCCTGGTGCTGACTGCGGCGTCTTTGCTCGCAGGTACGCCATGCGCGTTTGCACGCACGCACGCACAGCATTGTGGTGTCTCGTCCGCGTGACCAGAGCGGGGGCTCCCGGCGTCGAGTTTGGTCAGCGGGCTTTAGTTCTCGGTAGCATTTTAGTTTTTCCGACACCATCAGCATCACCGACATGTGTCGTCACTCGTCACCTGCCACTCTTCTTACATCCAGCAACAGCCATTTAAGCAGTTTCTTGAATTATGTTTCAGGTTCGGTCACCTCTGTTTTGTCTGTTTTGCCTGTACTCGCGGTTCACATGCGAACCTCTCCCAATTGCTTGCTCTTGTCCTACTCAACTACACACACACATGACGCAGGGACACATGCGGTACGGAAAAAAACACATGCGGTACGGCGAACACACATGCGGTACGGCAAACGCACATGCGGTACGGCAAACGCACATGCGGTACGGCAAATACACACATGGTACTGCACACCACCTCACCTGGGGGCTCATGACCTCCAGCAGTCCGTCCGACGCCAGCAGCAACAGTGGGGTTGGGAACGCGGCCAGCGGTTGTTGCAGCAGCGATTCGGGTGTAGGGGCGGCCGGCGCTCCTTGTTCCTCGTTGGCGGATACCGGCACCGGTACCGGTAGTGGCGGTAGCAGGGTCCAGGGTCCGGTGATGTCCGGGTGCGCGGAGAGACCCACGGGTCGGTACTGCAGGTCGCCGAAAGCCCTGGACACCTCCAGGTCGCCCTGCAGCCGCCGCTTGCCGCCTGGCTTGGGTAGGAAGTGGGGAGAAAGTGGGGTAGGGAGTGGAGGGCAGGGTACAATCATGCTGCGGAAGACGCAGCCAAGAATGTGGTGGGGTGTTATAAAACGGTGTGGTGTAATAACACGCCAGTGAGGCTGTAGGGGTGCAAGAGGCTAGGGGACGAACGTTACGGTAGTCGCTCCTATGGAGGGCGAGCAGGAAGATTGGCCGAAGGCGAGGCACCACATGCCAAGAAGCTAATGAAGCCATGCAAGCAAGCAGGGCACACACATGTAGTTACTACCGTACAATGCCGTACACAAGACCCCCTGCGTCCCCTGCCCTACCCTCTTCCCGTCCCCCAACCCCACCTGGCCTCGACGGTTCCTCCACCCTCCCGCCCGCCGCCTCCACTCGCCGTCTCTCCCCCTCATCGTCCAATTCATGAATCCGGCTGAGCACGTTAGCCACCAGTCGGCCTGCTGCGCCGCTGCCGCTGCTGATGCAGCTACCACTGTCCGTGCTTTTGCCGGTGCTGCTGCGACCCTCTTGCGCCCTGCTCCCTCCGGCCCTGCTGCCGCCATTGCTACCAGCCAATGATAAACGAGCATCATCATTATCAGCAGCAGCAGAAGCCTGCTGTCCTTGTCCTTGTTGTCCGTGTTGCGGCAGGCACAGCAGGGCGGGGCTGTTACCCACGCTGGCCACCCACAACCTACCGAGCGGCACCCCTCCTGCATCAGCAGCCTGCCCTGCGTCTCTTGCTGCAGCCGCCTCCCCTGCCGCCGCCGCCCCTGCCGCCCCTGCCGCTACCTCTGACGTCCAGTCCACCACAGCTACAACTGCGGTGGAGCCCGCTTCCCATGCTGCCGCCGCAGCTGCTTCAGCCAGCGCCCCCAGCAGCCCCACACCGTCCCCGGCACCGCAGCGGGCGGTCCCAGCACTGTCCCCGTTTCCCACACTGCCCCTGTTGAAACCGGCGACACTGTCCCTGTTGTTGCCGTCGTCTGCGGGTTCCGCCTTCACATCTGCGGTGGCTTGAACTGGGGTGCAGCCTGCCGTACCAGGTTCGTCAAAGGGTTTTGCTGCGGCGGAGCGCTGGAGATCTGCATCAGCCGCTGCTAGAGCCGCCACCAGTGCCGACTGCACTTGTTGCTGGTGGTGGCGGTGGTGGTGGTGGTGGCGGTCGGGTTGGCCGTGGTGGCCAGCAGCCTCATGACCCGCTTCCCCCTTCCTTCCCTCGCTCACGTCTCTCTCCGCCTCCTCTTCCTCCTTTAGCCCTGCCTCCTGCTGCTGCCGCTGCTGCGGGTGCTGCTGATGTTCTGGAAGGGGAGGTGGGTGGTCGTCCTGGCCCCGTTCTTGGTCGCGGGCGCCAGGAGGCGGCAGCAGCGGCAGGTCGCACAGGCGGCTGCGCAGGTGGCGGTGCAGCGCGGCGTGCAGGTAGGAGCTGACGGCGGAGGAGCCGTGGCCGTCGAACACAGCCCATATGCTGGCGAGGTATAGAGATATAGAAGAAGAGGTGATAGAAAAGATGGGAAAGGATGGAAACAAGAATGTGGAGAGGGAGGAAAGGAGGAGTTTGACTGGCTGGATGAAAGCTGCAAGTGATGCCGCGTACGGCAACTAGGCAAATGACTATATTGTTTACCGCGAGGTGAAGTTGTTATACATATGCATGAGGAGGTACCTGAAATCCGGTGAATCCGAAGTTCGCAGCTCGCCATGTCTAGGGTCACACTTCACATCCCAAGCTCCAACCCTGTCTTCCATCTACAGGGAGGACGGCAGACCATCGCAGAGCTTAACGCGTACACGTATATGTAGAGTATTGCTAGTCAGCGCACTGCTATCTTACGCTTATTCGCCTGCCTCTGCGTGTCGCTGCGCCGGTGCGGCAAGGAAAAGCATTGAGGTGCGAACATTGTTGGTCTGGCAAAGCTTCAGACGTTAAAGTAATCACGCATATCGATAGTAAAAGCACTGAAACTCGTCCATGACATATCATCGTAGGGAGTCAAGCTAGATCACCATTTCGTTGACCTAAACGATATGTCAACCTGCAAGATGGAAGTAACAATTGTGTGCAGGAGACGACGAGGAGTTGCAAGAAAGACTCCGTGTCGAGCCGTACGCATAGGTCGCGACCGGAAGTTGGTGGGCCGTGCTGGGTGTCCCTTGCACCTTCTGCCCTACTACTGTCAGCATCTGCAGCTCCGTTTTACATGTACCTCCTATCCTTTATTTACTGAGGTAAGCCACCGTTTACAGTGCCCGAAACCCAGCACCAAAGGGCGCTTCTCTCAGCGCCAGAACGCGCACAGAAACCACGAAATGTGACGTTTTAAGCACTGAGTTTTCTAGCCGCACCGCTGATCAGTCATGGACGCAGCCTGTCAGGTCTGCTGGGCTATCCTAGAACGATTATTTGCCTACCGGTACCACTCCCACCTTCCCTCGCCCCATCGCCGGTACCAACACCTTCCAACTTACTTTCAACGTGCCATACTTCAATCATCTTCCTTCATCCACTATACACACTAGCTGCAATTTGCTCCGCGCACGCTTGCAGGCCCCACACGCCGCCATGCGTTCCATACCTTTCTCAGCTGCCCGCGCTTGCTTACGCCGTACATACGTCAAACACGTTATACCACTCATCAGCCCCTAGCTGCGGCAGGCGCCCCATCCTTGCGCGGATCCGATACCGCCGTCGCCGTGATGACAGGTGCTGCAGTTGCCGTACCGCTAGCTGCCGTACCATTACTTGCCGTACCATTCAAAATGCTGCTACCTCCCTCCTGCTCCAGCAAGATGGCTTGTACGTCACCCAACTGGTCATTGTACGACGCCATGACGTTACCCTGTCGTACGGCAAGGGAGGCGAGGCAAGGGTGCCGTACATTAGACAACACATTTAAGATTTGTACCAATGGGCAACCGGCACTCATGGCGGGTAGGGGGAACAGGTTTAAAGCCTGCTCGTAAGATCTATGCCCATGTGACAGGGGGGCCGACTCGTGCCCCCTCACGGCATAGTCTAAGTTCCCTCTCCCTCCCCCTCACCCTGGCCGCCAGCCCCGCCACCAGCGCCCCCTCCTCTCGAAAGCTGACTCCGTTGAGTGTGAAGTTCTCGAACAGGCAGAGCTGCGGCAGCCACTGGTGGTGCAGGCGAGGGGCGGACACGGCAGCTAGCGGGTCCATGCCCTGGAACAACACCCTGTGCAGGCGGGTGTGCGTGCGTGGGGGGTAAAGGGGTGAAGAAACCTACCGGTAAGTTTTCAATAGAGGGTGAAAGACCATACCAACCCATAGGGGTTGGGGGTAGATTGTGGTAGAGGCGGAAGAAACAGAAAGAGGGGGCGAGGGAAGTGGTGAGCGGCAGCAGGCCCATCCCATACACACACGCACACGTGAGGCCACGTACCTGAGCACGGTCTGCATGATTCCCGTGAGGATGCGCGGACCGTTACTGGCGCCAACCACCAACCGCAACCGTTGCTGCTGCTGCTGCCCGTCATTTGTTTTCGCTGCCGAAGACCCATTCCCCACTGCAGAAGACCCATTGCCCGTTGGTAAGGAGCCATTTCCCACCGCTGCTGTGGAGGAGCCATTTCCCACCGCTGCTGTGGAGGAGCCATTCCCCACCGCTGCTGTCGTTGTGAGCAGCAGCATGGAGGGGGACATGGAGGAGAGAGGCCGCTTGCCGGGGGCGATGAAGTTGGCCTCTGGGTTGGGGTGTGGTTTAGGGTTGTTGCGTGTGAGGGGGCTAAGAGAAAACGAACCAACAAACCATTGCGGCATGGGGGTGCACCGACAGAGGGACCAAGCTCCCGAGTTGGCTTTGGGAGCAGGTGGAAAGATGAGGCACGACGGCTTGGGCTTTGAGGAACCCAGCTGAAGGAACCCATCGCGAACCCCAACTCTCCACTTCTTACAATACCCCCTCACCCACCTGCGGGTACCAGGTGGTATGCGTTGGGTGCTCCGGGGCGGCTGAAGTCGTCCATCTGGTTATTGAACAGGATGCCGGTGGACCTGGACGGGGGGCGGGGGAACGGCGAAGGGGAGGAGGGGTTGGGAGACAGCTGGAGCACTCACTCCTCCGCACCGCCCCCATCCAAGTTGTTTCCAGATTCACTTTTTCCCCCATCACACCGCACCTGGACATGACGTTGGAGCCGAACGCGGTGTTGACGGAGGAGGTGAGCGACACCGCGTTGCCCTCGCCGTCCACCACCGCCATGTGGCTGGTGCCCGAGTCGGCTGGGACCACACCCGTGAGCTGGGGGCGGAGAGGGAGAGAAGGAGGATGGGTGAATGGGTGGGGAGGGCGAAGGGATAGGCGGGGGGGTTTGGTGGTGTATGGAGAGAAGGGTAGCTTAGGAGTACAGGGAGTGCTGGCAAGGGTATGAGGACGGATGAGTGTTATGTTGTACAAGGTAAGTAATTGATAGGGTTCGATTGACCGGATATATGTTAGTAAAGTTGTGGTAAGCATCGTGCAGAGCGGACATGTTTTGGGTCAGCTTGTCATGCAAACACTTTCGTCGTTTGCTTGTCATGCATGTGCGACATTGTTCAGTGGCACTGTGCCAGCGTGTTCGACAAATCTTAGCCATTCCTGTACTATATCTGCTGATAAGCACAGTTAGAGCGTGTAGCGTCTTGGTGTTGACGTTCTGATAAGGCTCGTCGCTTAGTGTGCATTGACTCATAAAAGGTTTGGACTGCTACCGTATATTGCCGGGGGCAAGCACAACCATAAAGGTTCACTAAAGGTTCAATAAGAATGCTTGCAAAGGTAAAATTATACATAGCTAGCTGGACAGCTGCAAGTGGCATGAACCATGCCGGCGAAGCACGCTAGTGCGGACCAAAAGGCTCTGGGAGCGGCAAGGAACTGTCTTCGTGCTCTCATATAATTATAATTATGCCAAAACGTCAACAGAAGGGTTGCTTTCGGGGGTATGGAAGGCAGACATCAGCATGTCAACATGTTGTGCGGTGGTGGCCCCTCCCCCTACCTCAGGGTTCCACCTGCCGCCATACTGTGATAGCGGTAGAATGCTCGAGTCATTGATGCGGGACCTGCGGAGGGTTAGGAAGTGTGTTGGTAACTGTTAGATTGGGGCGTCGGGTTTGGGCAACCGCTCAAAATTTGTTATGCATCCCGACGACTTTACAAGCCGTCAACAAGGACCCTACATACGCAGAGTGGGGTCGCCGCCACCGTGTCAGTGGTCTGTAAGGCAAAAACAAAAGAAGGTCCGAGAAATAACACAATAGGTCCTGCCGAGATTTGAACTCGGGTTAGCAGATTAACTCTCAGCCGTACATGTACGGCAGACTGTATCAGAGTCTGCTGTCCTAACCACTAGACCACAGGACCACATGACAAAAATGGATTTCTAAGGCATATAAAGGTGATAAGTACCACAACCGACGCAGCTCCTCCCCTTGATTTTTCTAATCCACCCTTCTTGAAAACGGCAGAAACGGCATTGTCTTTATCCCTACTTCTCAGTCACATGCCCAACCCATGCACCATCCCTAACTAATCCTTTCCTTCACCCACCCACCAAACCCTTCCCCCTTCCCTTCCCTCCCCTCCCCCCAACCCACCTGAGTTGTTCCACAAAGGCAGGGTCGCCGATGTCTGACAGCACGGGGGCCACATCCGCCCAGGGGGCCACTGGGGGCTGGCGAAGTGGTGATGGAGGCGGGGAAGGTGTGTGGGGCAGGGATTGGGTATGCGGGGTCAGGGGTAAGCAGGGTGTCCGTGTGGGGGACGAAAGAGAGTAATGAAAAGTTCATGGATGAACGGAGGATAGGTGAGTATTGCATACGTGACACTTATGCGTGTGTGTTTTAGCCGAGTGTCTAGCCAGGCCCCCGAGACCTTTACGGCTGCTAGGACAGGGCACAAGGTCCTGGGGTTGTTCAGGAAAGAAAGCTTTCAAGCGGCGCCCGTGTGCCCTCTGCTGCTCCTTACGCGCCATTTCCTACATCCCTACACCCTCTCCTCCCCGCCTGCCCCCACCCCTTCCCCACCTGCCCCGCCTCCCCCCACCCCTTCCCCACCTGCCCCGCCTCCCCCGGGTCCCCCAGCGCATTGCGTACGGCGAAGGCGTGCTTCATGGACTCCACCTGGGGGGGGGCCCGGGGAACGGGTGGGTGGGTGAGAGGAAGAGCGCGTGGGAGGAGGGGGTGGGTGGCTTGGGTAAAGAGGAAGGAACCAAACGAACATGGGTGGGTGGGTGGGGAAACAGGCGAGCCTGTCAAGTCACCTGACGCACAGACCCCAGTCGTGGTACAAACACACACAGAAAACACACAGAGCAGTACACATACATGGTAAAATACATGGAGAAATACGACTGCCTCTTAACGCCGTACGCACCATGCGGTGTGCTGCCAGCTGCGGATCCATGCGCTCCAGGGGAGTGTCGTACCCGAGCAACAGCGACAGCGCTAGCGCCAGTACGGCACCGCTGGAGGGGGGCGGCGGTACGAGCAACTCGTAATGGTCGTATGACAATGTAGCGTTGATGCCGGTTTCCGATCCGGATCCTGTTTTGGATCCTGTGGCAGTCCCAGCAGACCCTTCTGCGCCTGCTCCCGACGTCAGAGGTAGGGTGAAGCGAAGAGGGGTCTCGATGCGGGGTTGTGCGGTCTGGGGGTTTGGGTAGGGGTTGCGGATGCGAGGGGGACGGTGGGGGGTCAAAGACTCTACTAAACCATAGGAAGCCACAGGTTAGGGCAAAACCTGGAAGCGGAATGCGCAAGAAGACTTGGAAAGGACGAGGCGACTAGGAGTCGTGAACTCCAAACAATGCCGACTCCGTTGTTAGAGCGCCCATTGCCCCCTGCACACCGTACCGGTATACCCTCATCACACCAGAAGCATGACTCCCTTCTACTACCCCACCACCCCACCATGATATCCTCCGCCGTCACCACGCCTCCCGCCGCCCGTATCTCCGCCGCCAGCGCCGTAGCTCTTTCCTTGTCGTACAACCACTCGGCGCCGTACTGCGCTACAGCCTCCAGCGTGGCAGCTAGCACGGGCCGGCGGCAGCAGAGCTCGCCCACTCGTGGGGCGCGGTAGGAGCCGTTGACCCGTGGGTCGGGGATGAGGAAGGCGTCGCGGGTGAGTGGGTCGTTCTGGCAGTGGTGAGACGAGGACGACGTCCACGTCCAAGTTGTACACATGCATTAGGAAGGAAGGGGGAGCCGGGGACACGGTAAGGGTATGAGATTTGGGTTTCACCTTCCCTCTCAACCCCCTCCTCAACCCCCCTTCCTTCCAAGTCCAAACCCCCACCCCCATTGGATTACCGGTACCCCCAAATCTTCCCGCGCCATCCTCAAAGAGACTCACCCTCAGCCTGCCCAGTGTGAACCGCCCGCTCATGACGTACACCAAGTACGGATGCGCCGCAAAACCGTGTCGTGCGATCTCCGCCGCAGGGCCCACCAGTCGCGCCCAGGGCAGGCGGCCGTGTCGGCGCCAGGCGGCAGCGAGGCCGCGCAGCTCGAGTGGTACGGCAACTGCCAGGCCTCCGTCCAGGGAGGCGTTGGGGGGCTTGCCTTGGGGGGGGATGAGAGGTAAAGAAGAGAGATGAGGCCGTAACGTCGACGGCTTTACTCCAAGCAAGCTGTTACACGCAGGAACCCAAGCTTGTACGAGTGCCCCTGCCGGCTGCCCTCGGCGCCGGCTTTCCTTCCTTTCCCACTTTTATTGCCTCATAGACCTGACCCACGGGTCACTTCCCTCCTTTCAACCAGCCCACCCCCTTTCTCTACCCTCACCCTGACCCTCACCCTCACCCTGGTACATGTCCCTGCTGGCTGCCGCCGGCGCCGGCTCCCTGGCATTCACCACCTCCGCGCTACCATTGGCCAGGCGGATGAGAGCGAAGTGCCCGCCCCCCATGCCGCTTGCAAAGGGGTTGACCACCCCCTGACACAGCGCCACTGCAACCACCGCATCCACCGCGTGGCCGCCCTCCTGGAGTGGGGTGTCAGGGATATACCAAAACCACAGGAACGGGGGAGGCCGGGAAGAGAGGAAACATTGGAGGGAAAGCGCGATGGGGTTTCGATGGGGTTTCGAGGCTTGTAGGCACAAAGGGCAAAGCGAAACAAGGATAATGCAGGCGCCAGCAGGGCTGAACAGTGATGATTTAGAATGAACTCGACACGCAGGGTTTTGAGTCGTTGGCTTTTAACGGTGATCCCCATAGTCCAATAGATTTCAACGACCCATGGGTCACCAGTCCATGCGTACACCCTAGTTCCTATGCCCCCCCCCACACACACTCATTTGGCAAGGTCTTTGACCCCCCAACTCGCACCCACCTCCAGCACTCGGGCCCCTATGTCGGCACAACGGCTCTGATCCGCCGCCACCACTCCACGACTGCCGCTGACCTGCGGGGAGGGTCGGGTAGTGTTCATGAGGACATCACGGTATTGCTGTAAAAAGGATGTGGAAGTAAAGATGCTGGTTTTAAATGGGCTGCGCGCGGCATGGGGCAGCCATGGCATGCCGGAGGATCCGGGATCCATTGCTAGATCCATCTCCATCGCCTTCACGTGTGCCGTACATGGTACATCGCCTCCCCTGTCGTACATACCTTGCGCGGGTGGGCTCTGTAGTCCTGGTTGGGGCCCGGGTTGGGTCGTGCGATGAGGCATAGGGCCTCGGAGTCGTTACAACCCACCAGTGCACCTGCATGCATGCGTGCGTGCATGGGTTGTGTGTGGGGTTGCGGGGGCGGAATGGAGGAGGGGTGTCGGGGTCTTGGCTGTGCTACCTTGCCGAGTTGGGGCTGATACCTGCACGACCCTGAAACGACCTCACCCTCCTGCCTCACCCTCCCTCCTGCATCTCTCCTGGCGTCTGTCTCATCGTCGGTAAGCCGATACCCGCAGAAGTCCTCCGTACCCACCTTCTGGCACCGTAAAGTTGGGTTTCACACCAGCTGCTGCTGCTGCTGCTGCCGACCCCTGCTCGGTATCTGTTGCACGCCTCGCAGCAGCGCCCCAGCCGCCGTCGCTGCTGCCTCCGCCACCACCGCTGCCGCCACTTGTGAACACTGCCGCCATGACCACTAGGAAAACAAACAGGCTGCCTGCGAGGGCCGGCAATGAGAAACAAATACGTTATCCCGTACAGTCCCTTTTAGTAGTTTCAAAGTCATTATTATTTTGTGCAGTTTGCTGCGACGTGCGAGCCAAAGGCGCCGCAGATGCAACACCCAGCGCCGACGACGGTTGACAAATTTCGGCTCCCAGCTCGCCACCTCACCGAAGCAAATCCAAAGGCCCACATTACTTCGCGTCCAAATGCCCCTGCTATTGCGCGGCGGCCTGTGGGAGGCAGGCAAAGCAACGCGAGACGTCGCTCGGCGATAAGAGCAAAGCGGCGCGACAGATAAGAAGCCACAACTCCAAAAAGAAAACAACAACAGTGTTCGTTTGTATTAAAAAGGAAACTACCAACCGTATGAGGGGCTCCTGTTGCTCTAGGTCCAAAGCTGCCAGCGAAGTCGGTACACGCGGGGCACCTGCAGCCGCTGCTGCAGCACTGCCGCTGCTGCTTGCAGCAGCCATTTGTTCGGCCCTGATGAAGTGATGTTATGGCAAATTATTGTGGGGGCCAACTTGTATGCGGGCGTGAAGACCAGCAAGGAGAGCAACGGCTGATGTGACGTCTTGGGATCCAAACCGCCGGTTCCGGGGCCGACGTACGGCAGAAACGAGTACGGCATCGGAACATAAGCGGGCTACTGGGTAGCCTTAGCTGGTTTTCCGGTTGTCCATAACCGGGGGCTCAGCTGTCTTACAGTTGCGTCCGTTTGCAATCAGTTGCTTCGCAAGCTCCGCCGAAACCATGACGAAACCTGCCGACAGTTGCTGACATTCTTTTGTGGTTAATGGGGTTGGACTCCTGTCGGGCGCGGGCAGCAGCTGACAGTTCCCGTCAGCCATCGATCGCCATTCGTGGGATGTGCTCCCTGTCAGGTTGCTTTGAAGTATGTTACATGCCGTACATGCCGTACAGTACGGAACCGCCGCAACTCTCCTGCCAGGTACTACTATTGACGGAATCCCCACGTACTAGAGCTCTAACCGCACCCTACTGCCGGGCCCCATTGCCACAGTGAGGAAAGAAGCCGTAACATTGGCCTCCATTCCTCACTTCGACACGTACATCTGAGATAGAGCGTCTAACCAAGGGGAGATGTGCATTGTCTCTTACGATAGATGTAGCAGTAACCCCACTCCACAACCCCCGAGGCAAACCGCCTTGCATGCGCGGACAGCTAACCTAGATAAACCCAACTAACGTGCTACCTTGAAAGCAGAAACGAAGGTCCCTGTGAGCTGAAAGCACGTTTGCACATGCACGCCCAAGCACCCATGCGTGTCCTTCTAGCAACAACCTACCAACATGCATGCATGCATTAACCTACTTACTACAAGCAGCAACGCAGCAACGACGCAAACAACTAACACCCCCAGCATGCGCGTATCGGCTGCAGTGGCTACCGTGGCTATCGTGCAGCCGAGCCGGTGGCGGAGCTCCGCACAACCACCCCGTGTGGCCACTCCGACCGCGATCCTTCCTGCTCCTGCTCCTCATCTGCACCCCATTCCTAACACCGTTGTTCAGGTCCTCCACAGCAGCAAAGCAAACAGCAAAGCAAAACAAAAAGAATACCTGCGAATCACACACATCATAACCACCAAGTCGTCGAAACCCTATCACTGGAAAACCGAAGCCTGCCGGAAACTTGTAAACCTCCATGTAGGCATCCGCTGCGAAACCACGCGGATCATTCGCTTCACGGGGCCTTTCCGGCGGTGACCCATGGGTCCATCCACACATCAAAGGTGTGTGTGTGTGTGTTTGCGGACGTCAGCAAAGCGCCGCGGCTGACACTAGCAACCAACATACAGCAGCGAGATATATACCGGACCGCTCCTTAGGGAAGCACTGCCGCTACTAAGAAGCACATGGAGTAGCTTATTCTGGACATTTGTATCCATTCCATCGGTAACGCCACTATACCAACCACAACGACCCTCTTAAAAGCATAATCGTTGGCCACCTGACGGCCGAGGATAAGACCAGCAACGAACACCTTTATGCATCAAGCATCGCACAAACACCACGGATTCTATACATGCCGGCGGGCATCAGCAAGGCGGCAGCCACCACGTGTTTTGTAGCTATCTTTGCTGGCGCCATCCATTGGCTCCATGATATTGTACAAGATACGAACAGCCACTTCCAACGCGTTGATGGGCGTTGCGGCGCCATCCCTCCTCCATCTTCCCACTTTTTCGGCGGCAGTCGTACGACACAGGACACGCCGGACAAGCCGCCATGCACCACCTGCCAGCAGCGAAGGAGACTTCACCACGAAAAGGCGGGAAGACAGCCCCGGCCCCTAATATCACAACACAACCTGCACAATCATCTTATCCCAGTAAGTAACCACATTATTTGTTCAAATGACCCCCCAATGCAACATGTACCAACAAGCATTGCACTCAGCTGAGGTGTTTTCTTATACCGTAATCTAAACCACTGCAACGTTCATTTAATAGAAATAATAATCACAAGCCCAGTAGCCCGTGACAACCCAACAACTCCCGGCAACGCAACGTAGCGTGTGTCACCTCTTGATAACCCACACGTACTCCAGGAAATCCTACATTACGTCCCCAGTCACTGTTCCAAACCTTACAAGCGGGAAACATACAGCAATACACTGCTGCCCGCCCAACTAACGCATGATTCCGCTGTGTACTGGGCCGGTCGATGAGCGATGCCGCAAACCCACGCGCTGCGCGTCTCTGCTGTACAGCAGACAGGGGCCCTATTTCCCAATACGTGAATCGGCAACACATACAGTGCACAATTTTACCGCAGCACATAGACCTCCCTTGCCTCCTACATGTCCGACTTAAGATAAGACCAAAGCAAGCGACAGACTAGCCCCCCCCATTATTTCTTCCGCGCACCATCATTCCAGCACTTCGGTGCTCGCCTAGCAATCACGTACCAACAAGCACATACATAGGCAGGATACAACTCCCGCCTCCTGTGCACCTGCCAAATACCCCGTAAGCGAAAACAAACAGCGAGAGAGCTCGCCTTGGGCTCACCACCCTTCCTGTAATCTCCAACTATGACACAGCCATGGAGTAAGCCCACGCATTCAGTCAACCCTTGCGAAGTGATACGTTGACGGTTAAAATACGGCTAATCATTCCCGCAGACAGTATGCTAAGCGGACCCTCGTAAACATACATTCATACACGCTGGCCCCAGCTCTCCACCGTCCCATCGAGCTGCATCCCAGTAAGTACCCGCACCATGTAAACCTGCCATCGAGAAGTAAATGCATGCATGCATGATTGCGTTCCAAGCTAAACGCAGCAGCAGCAGCAGTAGTATAAACCGCCTTCGCGGCATTGTCATGAATGGTGTGTCACGTTGTTTGTCCATCAGTAACGGTTAACATGTTTAAAGGAACACCCACAGCAACACCGGTGTGTAACGGCAGCAGCAGTACGTAACGGCAGCAGCAACAACAACAAACAACCACCATGTGCATTCCTGCTACAGCACGTAACAACAAACGCCATCGGGAAAAAAAACATTTTTTGGGTGACAGTGCTCTGCTGTCGCCGTCGTCAGATCTTCAGGTACCCTATATGGCCACACAAACGTGACTCACGAACGTTCACACAAACGGATGGCGCTCCATCCCGGCGCCATTGCCTGCTATTTTACACAATTCCAACGCCTTTCGGATAGGGTACGATGAGCCTCATGTTCCATTATCCATCCTTCAACCATAAGCCTATAAACCTAACCCCGTACTTCTCACCAGCATCTATCCCACCTCACCATCAAGTGCAAACCTCTACCTTTGCTGCAAACTTCATGTTACTGCAACTCCTCATTCACCTGTTGCGCCGTCGCCTCAGCAGCCATCCAGCCCCTGCCAACACCACTGACGCCACACCCCACACGCAGCCGCATGCCAAGTGACCCATGGTTCGCAACGCCGCCGCGCAGCCGCCCCGCGCCCGCCCGGGCAGCCGCCCCAGCCCCAGCAGCAGCAGTGGCAGCGCCAGAGCCCCGGCAGATGCCTGGAGTGCAAGGGAGGACGCGCAACGCAGAGGCTGGTACAGCAACCTCTTGATGAGCTCGGTTAGAAGAGCGGAAGTGGGAACTGAGGCTAGCATTGACGATTCTGCCGCTTGTGTCTGCTGCTGCCCCTGCACTTGCTGCTGCTGCTGCCGTACTGCTGCTGCGGATTGTTGCGGTTGGCCAAGATCCACATCAAAAGTCGCGACATGCTGCTCCCATGAAGTGCCAATGAGGTCCAGCAGGGGATGGTTTACATGGCAATTGGTTTCACTGGGACGACCTGGCGTTACGCCGGCATCGTCAGGCGTTACGTCGCCGTCAGTCGACGCGGCAGTAGCATCCTCCTCCTCAGCAATGGCCTCAGCAGCAGCGGCTGCTGCAGCCGCCGCCATTGCGCGCATGTAGGCACCGCCATTGCCCCTGCGGCGACCCGTGGGACTGCATGCGGGCCAGCTGCTGCATCGACCCACGGGACACTGCGCGTCGTCACAATCGTCACTGGTGAGCGAGCCGGCGCGACATAAAACCGAGCCGCCGTCCGCGGCGCACTGACCGCTGCCAGTCGTCACTGGGGCGGCGACAAAGGCTGGTGCCACAGCCACACCAGAGGCAAGGCCTAGGCTACTGCTCCTGCTATTGCTGTTGTCGCTTCCACCGCGGGCGGAGGCAGCATCTCCTCGACCGTTTAGCTCCGGGCAGCTCCACAGCCGGCCAATACTGGCCGCGACACGGCTCTCATCATCAGTCGCGATACCCGATTTCTCCTCCCTAGCAATGCTGTTGCTGTTGCCAGCAGCTGCAGTAGCAGCCGACAAAGGTGCAAACGAGTCAACGCTGTAGCTTCTAGCTGTGGTACTTCCTGCAGTTGCCGCACCAGCGGCGGCGGCGGCGGCGGCGGTGGCAGCAGCGCAGCTAGCCTCTGCCCAGGACTCCAGGGAAGATGCGGACATCAGGTCAACCGTCCCAACCGCCGCAGCGGTCGTCGTACGCGCCTCTGCTACAGCCGTGATAGTGTCATAACTGACGTCACGTTGCTGCTGCCGACGGCTGCCACGGCGACGATACTCAAAGTCGTGACAAGACTGGTAAACGTCTTGACAAGCTGACACCTCTGCTGCTATTGCTGCTGTTCTGACACCCAATGCAGTGGCAGCAGTGGCACTAGCGGCGGAGGCGGTCACAGTAGCAACCGAAGCGCTGTTAGTTCTGCTGGCAATGCTACTGCTGAAGCTGCCGCCTGAATGCAGCCGCCGGCCGCCGTGAACGCACTCCTCCGTCAGCCCTGAATCTCCCCCGTACGGCTCATGAGATCCCAGATCCAGGCCGTGGTACTCTGGTTCCGGGGCCATATCCAGAGCCGTATACGTACTCACACCCCTGCCGTCGCTGAAAGCATCCAGGTAAAGGGATCCGCTGTGTACTCGTGCGAAGGGAGATACCATCGGCATCGCAATCGGCCCGGTGCTGCCGCCGGTACTGCTGCTCCGAGTAACGGCAGGCGAGGTGTCATTTACAGCAGCAGCCACCGTAGAGGTGGCAGCGGCCTCGGTGATTGACGCAGCCACGCCCATAGCAGTAGCATCAGTAGGGACAGGAGCACAGGCAGATTGTGCCGCTGTAAAGTAGGAATTGGAAGCACCAGCAGCAGCGGCAGCAAGGGAGTTGCTGCGCGCCAACGCCGGGGGGTGCACTATCACAATGGAGGCGATGTGGGGGGAGGATAGAGATGAGGATGCGATGCCAGCATGAGAAGGTACAGGGAAGAGAGGACTAGTAACACCGGTGGCAACAGCAGCACCGGTGGCGGCAACAGCGCCACTACTAGCTGTATTAGCCATGCAGCTAGAGGGCTGCTGCGCCGGCTGCACTTCGCAGCTGTTGCTGCAGTTGCCACTGCGACTGCCGGTGGAGGCGACAGCGGTTGCCGTGGCGGTTGTGGCGGCTGCGGGGGTGGCATCAGGGCGGTTGTTGAAGAGGGCTATGGCGGGGTGCAGCGGGGGCCGTTGCGCGGTGTGCTTGAAGACCATGGGAGGCGGGGCGGGCGTGCCTGTGATGTTGAACGAGGCAGTCGGAAGTACGACAAAGAGATGACAGGGCGTCAACCAGCTGTGAGGTTTTAAGACGATGAGAAACGCAGGCGGCTGAGACATGTGCAACAACAGGCAATCCCAAGCAATGTAGCGGTAGTGCAATCGCTTGTAAGCATGAGCGGGTCAGAGCCGTGCGTGTGACATACACCTCTTGCAGCTGACGACACACGCGCACATACCGCGGGAAAGCACAGTCCCAAGCGATGCGCGTGTGTCCAAGCAGCGAGAAGAAGAGCAGGTGGGCAAGGAATATATCAAGTCAGGCACCTCCGAATTAGGAAAATGCCACCCAACTTACATGCCGTATCTTGCCGAATCCCAGTAGGCTCCGAGGGCGTGGCGGAGGCTGCTGCGCTGGTAGTATAGGCCGGCGTATAAATGTTATTCTTTCTTGCACTAGGCTTTTTGCCATAATTATAATCCTGCCCCTGACACGATTTCAATGCGATGACACCATTGCCACCACGTCGCCTGCGCAGCTGCTGTTCCTCAGCAGAGTAGGAGTAGCATTCTGTTACTACGGGACGAGCCACTAAGGCCGTCAAGGGGGCTGCATCGTAAGAGTAGCGGACTCCAGTCCTTGGGTCCAATCCCAGCCAATCCGGATCGTCATTATCCGGGAAAGAGTTTGGATTAGAATCGCGTGGAAGATCCAAGGAGGGGTTCCGCAGGCGTGAAGTCAAGAGCGAAAGCGGCAAGTCGCGGCCGCGAGGCTGCTGCTGTTGGGGTGATGCAAGGCTTGCAAGGTCGCTGCCGCTGCCAGCTGCGCTGCTAGTGGTACTGCTGGTACTGTTGCTGGCATTTATAGATGATGTACTGTTGCTTTCGAAGCACTCGAGGGGAATTGCTGTCACTTCAGGCTTGCATGGGACGCTTGCGGGCTGAGTCATGCGGCAGAATTGCGGCTGCCCCACACAAGAGCCAATGCCATAGCCGCAGTTCATTGAAAGCCAAGCGTCGAATGAGCCAGGGGGCTGCATGCCTTTAAGGGTTGTGGTCACTTCGTCGCTGTCTGACAGCTCCGACCCATCGCTTCCGTTCCCACAAGCAACTGCAACCCCTAAAACGCAGCTGTGCCCTTGGACCGATGCTGGACTCCCACTGCTAGCGCGGCAGCGTGGTGCTGGCGCATCCGCGACGAGGACCGCCAAATCCTCGGGATTGAGAAGCCCATCTATGTAATCTCTACACCAATTTGCTGACATTTGGTTTGAAAAGACCCTTGCGATTACTCAAGCCCGAAATGCCCTGGCTAGCGTAAACATAAATTGGGTTTGCTGCCAGGCATTAGACCGACAGTGCACAGGAAAGCTACATTTAGGACAAATAAACTTACTGATAGCCCGGTATTAGGAACGGATTCAATCCTAACAAGCTTACGTAAATTGCTGTACAACCCTAGTTACATCTCGTAACGAAGGGCAACGGCACGTCCTGTAGTTGTTTTCGTTGTTACTGCTATACGGATACAGTGGCTAAGAGCTAGGCTGCCTGCATGCTTTTGCCTCTGACTGGAAATCCTAACCCGGACATTTGCCATATCATCCTCATGCGGAAGTTAGCAAAAGTCACTGGTTACACATCGGACGGCTTCCTTCAAAGCTCTCGGCCCGCGTATACGTTTGTTGAGCTGTAACATTGCACGTGGCTCATCCGCAATCCGAGTAACTACGGCACATAGTTCTTCTTCAGCCAAGACCATTTGTTACTAGATGAATAGGGGTCATTAACATCGAGCACTATGCCGCGTGTATGCTTTCTCCGCGCAACGTCGCTAGGTTTGTCATCGCCAGGGGCGCAGAGCAAGCGTGTCTCACCGCGTCACAGGTCATTGACCCGGAACAGTTAACTCAGTGTTGGGACTGAGCGAGCTCAAGCATGCCATACCTCCGGGCGAAAGAATGCAGTTATGGCACAAGCAACGATTGTGGCCATAGACTGCCTTGCAAAGGCCCGTTCCGTAACGGTCCACATCCCTATTCGCTAGTCGTTCCGTACATCTCATCATAGGCTATACCCCGCTCCAGCTGTACCGTTGTACGGGAAACGGTACCGCTACCGTACCTGCTGGCATGTACGACCTTTCTGCCCTGCCTGCATGAAGCAACCTGAGGAGCTTAGGGTTGGCTTTGGCCTGCCGTTGTAGAAGAAAAACCGAACCTAGGGAGCAGAGGAATACTTGCGGAAGGCGAAGTGGGCCTTGCTTTGACACTCGTCCGATGCACCACATGGCGCGACAGCGCACTTTTCAGCGAACTACAACATGGAATGCAATCATGGCGATGCTTTGACACTCGTCCGATGCACCACATGGTGCGACGGCGCACTTTTCAGCGAACTACAACATGGAATGCAATCATGGCGACAAGCACGGCGTGCCGATATGCGCCGGTGTCGACAAGAGAATTGAGGTCAGTGCACATATCCTCCTGTGCATGTGCTTGCAGTAGCACCACACATGCAGTAAGCTCCACCCCAAGCCTGTACGGCAAGCCTATGGTGCTTGGCTGACGCCACGAGACTTCTCAAGTTAGGCAGCAATTCCCACGACAAGCCAAAGGACATGGATGCCCGCTGCTTAGCAGCAAAAGCTCAGCTTATTCTCCAAACAACTTATACGCTGTCTTCCGCTATCAAGCCGCCGTTGTCAACGCTACAAGGGCAACGCAACGTGAGTGTGGCATGCAACAAGCAACCATTCACGACAACCAAAAGGTGGATATAAATGGTACGCATGCAGCTACCGGCCACTGCTAAACATACATCTTGATGAACCGCCAAGCAAGACAGCCTGCATCAGAGTATACTCCATCTACCCCACTGTTGTACCTATCCCTCGCCCAAACCGCCTCCTCCTTCCTCCTTTATGTGATACGTGTCCACACGAGTCCCCTGCTCCTAGTCCTCTTGCTCCTCAAGCCCCAACCCGCCTACCACCGCCCCTCTCACCGCACCCCACCATCTCCCGGATCTTCCCCATTGCCTCCTCCGCCTCCGCAACCGCCGACTGCATCGCACGACGAGACGCCGCCTGCGCATTCATCACCGCCGCCATCGACTCGCGCACTGCCTCAAGCTCCGCCTTCGTCTCTACCGCCGCCTGCTCCGCCGCTGTCTTCTCGTGCTCAAGAGCGCGAGACCGCGCCTCCGCTGCCGCAGCTCGCATCTCCGCCACCTCGGCACGTCGTACAGCCTGACTCAGCGCCGGACGAAGTCGGCCAACGGCGTCACTGGCGGCGGCGGCGGCGGCCTGCATGGCGGCGTTGAGTGCGGCAGCCCATGACGACTCGGAAAACTCGTCATGCGGAGGGGAGTTGGAGATGGCCTCGCCGGCAGCGGCTGCGGCGGCGGCGGTGGTAGCGGCGGCGGAGGCGGCGGCAGCGGCGCCAAGGGGCGGGTTTGAGGCCTGCGGATGTTCTGTGAAGAGCGTAGCACCGCCAGCATTACCAGCGGCGGCTGAGGGAGGCCGCGTGGCAAGGGATGCGGGCTGGTGCTGTCGGAGTGCCAGGAAGGGCGGCCGTGTCGCAGGCCGTGACAACGGAAGCGAACCCAACGGGTTCGGCATCCGCGGCAGCGGCAGTGGCTGCTGCTGCAGCGACAGGGATGGTATTGGTGCTACAGCACCACTCGCGGCGGCCTTCCTCACAACTTGCACCCATTCACCATTCTCGCTGCTGCTGCTGCTGTTGCTGCCGCTGCGGTCATAGAGGCGATGTTGCTGCTGCTGCTCCTGCTGCGGAGGGAAGGGGGCGGGAGCCGTGTGGGGCTTGTCCGCGGGGGCGCTTGCAGCGGCGGGGGCGGCGGCTGTAGTCTCAACGCCTAGGCGCGCCAGCACTGCCGGCTCCTGCTCAAGAGGATGAGGGAAGCAGGGAGGAGGTAGCATGGGGAGGTTGACGGCACGGTGAATTGGGGAGGCAGGTGGGGCGGCGCGGCAGTCTGAAAGTAAGGCTAGCACAGCGCGTGCGTAGTGAAGTTATGGTAACATTGGTAAGCCGGCAGGCTTGTTGGTAAATTGACACGGCCTAATTGAGGGTTGCACAGGTGCTTTACGAGTTACTACGGTAGATATGCAACCAATGCAAGCGCTGCTTGGATGTGGTATGTAATCCAACCCTAAAGCAGAAGGATTATTGCTTCTTTAGGCATCCAGACCTTACCTCCTCGACATCGCTGGGCATTCTACCGTCGTCATCCCCAATGCCATGATATTGGGCGAAGCGCGCCTTCATGTCTTTCTCGTCCTCCTTCGTAATGTCTTCAGAGGACGAGCCGGGCTGCTGGTCACTTAGTCGGAAGCGCCACTCCATCTTTGGTGTGTCCTTCCTGCTGTAGTTGCGGTTGTTGTGTCCCATCTCCGCTGCTTCCCTGTTATGCCGCCTCTTCATCTCCTTTCTATGACGCATTCTCCGCCTGGTCGCGACGAAGAAGGTAGGATACAAGGACTGCTCTTGGGTGCTAGCTAGGTGCTGCTGCTTCACTGTTGACGAGCACTCTGCTGCTTGTGCGTTTATCTAAATTATGGCGGGAAAGGTTTAATTATCCTTTGTTACAGTAGTGTTTGCTGCAAGGCTTGAAGTGACGCGATTCAGTAGTTGTCGCTCTCAAGGTTAAACGTGACCAGGAACGTGATCAGAGAGACGTGCCACCTCGTAACATAATACACGGGTTGATACCGAGCTTGCCACCGGCTAATCAATAGTTTCTATTTATAAGCCAAGTGTTAAGACCGATTTGTGATTGCTGCCAGGCAGGGAATGTTCTTTGCACCCGTAGCGCACCCGTACTGTACATCCGGCGACCTGAACGCGTTTCAGCTTGAAAATCAAGTTCGAAAAGATCTAAATTTCTACAACCCAGATGTTGTTGGGGAAAAGCTGCAGCTCATGTCTTCCGCACACAGTCACCGCAGTCATAGGCTCATGGGCGACCCATGGGTCACGAAACCCGCCAGATCATCACAATAGCACTTGCTGTGGGGCTATACCCATGACGGGGTCATACCGCTCTTGCAGACAACGGGTTTTACTGAAGGAGTCAGGCACACGCTTAGGAAAGTACATCTGGTTCGTGCTACACCCTCCTTCCGTTGGCGTCGGATCGTCATTGCCACATCCTATTACGAAATTCGTAACGCTTTACATGCGTCGGTGTCGCTCCACGCGCAGGCCGCCATACGCAGATGGGCATTCCCGGGTGCTAAAAGTATTGGGTGTCGTTATTGGTTGTCATGCATACACTCTCCTGCTGCACACGTGCATGCATTGGCATACATCACGCATGCATGCATTGAGAACACTGACAACTCACGCATGCAACGGCCGACCAATATACAAAGTGATGGTGTTGGTTGGCGAAGGGACGCCACAAAACATGGCAACAAAGCCTTACTTGCAAACGTCATGACGCTATGACAAGCCAAAGCACGCACATACCTCGAGATCTGTAACGCTGCTGAGCAGCACCTGCTCAGCCAGTCCAGCCCCATACAACCCCTTATGCTACGTACATTTAAAAATACCCTGCCTCTGCTATCCAGCCAGATCCATCCACCAAGCAAGGCTAGCTGCAAGGGCGCGCATGGTGCCCCTGGTGCGGCATGTGACAAGCAACCATCCGCAGCGTTAACTGCAATAACAAAAGAGGACATGGCAGCTTTCCGTGTGGCGCAACTGAAGAAACGTATATGCGCGCCCTGCCAACGGCAGAGTGCCCCGTCTGGCCACCCTGCCGCATCCATCATCCTTCGTCTCCTCCTTAACCGCAACACACCTCCTTCCGCAATCCGTGTCCCTTACCCTCATCGCGCATCTAGTTTCCCTTTCACTCCATCCGCCCCCGCCACCTCCCAGTAATGCCGCCTCCGGCCCCCCCCCTTCAGCATGCACCCCCCAGTGCCGCCACCGCATAACTACGACGACCGCACCACACTCCGCACCGCCACAGCCGCTGCCTCCGCATCCCGCAACATCTTGCGTAGAGCCGCCAGCTCAATCTCGGTCGCATCCGCTGCTTCCTGCGCCGCCTCCTTCTCGCGCTCAAGAGCATCCGTACTCAGCGCCGTACCAAGTCGGCCAACGGCGTCACTGTGGTGGCGGCGGCATGCTGCTGCGCGGCATCCGGTACGGAAGCCCATGAAGAGGAGTCGGACTGCTTAACAGAAGAGGCACTGATGGCGGCGTCAACGGCGGAGCCGCCGGCGGTAACAATGGCCCCAAGTGGCGTTTCGGGTGCCTGCAGATCGGACAATGGCGCAGTAAGGCCCGCACACACACGGGCAGCGTTTGGGACTCGAAGTCACATTGCTTGTGTAGGAATTCAGACCTGACCTGACCTGGTTTCGGTCACGGCGCACCGGCAAGGTATCTACATCATCCACGGAAAACCGTCTCAGCATGGCGTCCATTTCCTCATCATCGAACTCCAAGCGCCAGTCGGGCAGGTCAAATCTCTTCAAGCGCCATTCCTCCCTCGCTGCCGTCTGCATGCCGTCTGCTGCTGCTGTTGCTGCTGCTGCTGCAGCGTAGCAGTGCTGGCAAATGTAGCCAGAGATCTGCACTAGGATGCGTAGTGTTGCTTAAATAAGGGGACTGCCGTAAAGCACCTTGCAGCTTGGTGTAGGTGGGTGCAGCTTGACTGCTGGTTTTCCAATGGCGACGTTTTTAAGATCAGTCGTTAATGTACTGCTGTTGCATGGCTTCATTTGGCACTTGTGGTGTAGTTGCTCTCAAATCAGATTTCTTTCAGGCGTGCTGGAAGGTGGCGTGGGGTTCATTACCCGTGAACCACCCCAACGATCACTCAATGTCCCTCTTATCATGCATTGGAGGGCCTTGGACGTACGGCCTTCGACAGTTTCCATAAAACGAAAGACATCTTAAATGTAAGACGATTGATATTGCTCGCTGGTCTTGAATTTAACAGGTAATGCCTTGTGATGGCTGCGACGCGGTATTGCAACGAATATGCCGTGCATCTGTAGTGTCTGTTGCAGGTTTTAACCAACCCAACCGGCGATTTAACCGAGAGCGTACCAGCTTGGAAAGAAAGGTGTAAGACTCATAACTCGACAGCATGAATCGTTTCTCACAGTTCAGTGCCTAAGCCTAAGCCCCCAAGCATGCGACCCATGGTTCATATTACATTTTGCATGGAGACGAAAGGCGAATGCCGCCGAGCTCCACTAGCAGCCGATCGCTCATGCCTGCACCTGGAGCGCGTCCTGTCAACAGAACCTGCACTCCTTTCATGTCAGGCACGTTGGTAGTTCCCCCTACGCAGGTGCGCGCAGCACACAAACCCAAACCGGGAGGAACCCCACCATGGCTCAAAACCACATCGACCGTGCCGTGTTCCGCCAAGAGCCCCGCCGCTACACCCATCGCGCACACCGTTTGACCGTTCTCCTTCCCTTACCTTCCTTCCGCGCTAAATTACTGTAGCGTTACAGCAGCAGTAGTGGTACTGGTCTCCGGCCGAGCCCCATGTTTCCGTACCTGTTCCATGATGCTTTACATCATGAAGACGTCTACGAGGCATCCCGCACATATCACCGCCCCCCCCCGCCTTCGTCTGCGTCTATCCCACCCATCCCTCCCTTTGCTTCACACACTCCCGAACTCCCTCCTTTCCCCACCTCGTGCCTCACAGCGACATGCCATCCCAGCCCCCGCTGCCGCCACCACCAACACCCACGTCACCACCCGCTCCACCCAACACGCCAGTCCTCCCTAGTGCTGCTGCTAGGCTAGCGAGTGATGAAATGGCAATAGCTGCCGGCGGCGGTTGCTGCTGCTGCTGCTGCTCGGGTTGGGGCTGCTGCTCCTCCCACCCCGACCTGCCGCCACCGCCCTCACCAGTGCTTGCAGGGGGCTGCTGCTGATGGTGCTGGGGCGGTGCAGGAGGTTCCAGGAGGAGGGAGCGCAAGTCGGGAAGCGCCAACACCTGTGCGTGTGTGTATGTGGGGGGGGTCCGCCGTTGAAGGGGGGGAAGAAGATGAGGAGACGAGAGGGGCGTGAGGAAGCATGCAAGGGCATTGGGCGAGGTGAAGGGTTGACGGGGTTGACAAAAATGTGATATGAGGGGTTGAAGGAATGAGGCAAGCGCGCTGTTCCACCCCACCCCCCAGGTTCACTTCCCCCCCAGTTATTTTACACACACACCAGTTATTTTAACACACCGGTTTTCTTAACACACCTGCGGCTCATCCCTTCCCTTCAGTTCCCCTAGTAGCGCCCCCAGCTGCCGATAGAGCTGCGGGAGGGTGGGGTGGGGGCGGTGGAGGGGGTAAAGAGGAAACAACTAACTGACTGAGGGATAACCGACTGGGGGCGGTGGAGGGGGGGGGACCGGGTGAGGTAGCAGGCGGTGGAGGGGGCCGAGGGGCGGAATCCAACCCCACAAGTGAGAGGAGCGCAGCTAACGCAGGGTGGAACGTAACTAACCATGCGAATGCAAGCTCCACCTTGGTTTGCAATTAAGGGGTGGAGCGTGGAGGCCAAACCATAAGTGACCAAGAGGAGGGCAACACAACCAGCAGGGAAAGTAGAAGCGGCAGGGTGCCACACATGACAAGGGAGAGGGTACCAGCGGGGGCCCTCCTGCCGGGGCTAGCCCGGGTGAGGGCTCCGCACCTGGGTGAGGGGGGCGGTGGCGGGGCGGCCCCGGCAGCTCAGCATGGCGCCGTTGAGCTCCTCCGCGAGGGAGGTCTGGCAAGGCGGGGGGGGAGAGGAGAGCAGAGGGGCATGGGGGTCATCAAAGATAGACCATAAGAACACAGGAATCTGTACTTAGGGCAATGCAATGTGGACGGGAGGAGGGTGGAAGGAAGGTAGGGGCCCCGCATGGCGAGAGTGGCGGAAGGCGGGCAGGCAGGTGCGTTTGAGGACCCGGCACGGGCGCAAACGTCCCCTCCCTACCACATTACCCTCCCTACATTACCCTACCAAATGTTGCGAGGTACAGCAGCGCAGCGGCCCCTCTTCAACCACACACTCCAATCCCACTGCCCCCTCCCGCCATCCCTCGAGACATTCTGTCCCCAACCCCGGCCCCTCCTGCCCCCCCCCACGCCCCCCGCCTCACCCGATGCCCCGGTCTCAGCAGGTAGCCGGCTGGCGAGGAGGCGGGGTGGTGGAAGGCGAGCAGCGACAAGGCGTCCTGGGGGATGGGGGGGGGGTGGACGGTGGAGGGTGGGGGTGAGGGTGAGCAGAGGGGATGGATTTCGACAGGGCTGGGGGTGGAGGAGTGGAGATGAGTGGGGGGAGGCGCTGAGTCGAGGTTAGGGGGAGGAGCATGGGAAGGAGATGGAGGTGCAGGCGCAAGCGAGGGAGAAACATGGCTGAAAGGAGTGGAGGGATAGAGTCCGTCTTGCAAGCCCAAACCCAAACCCTGAGCACCCTCCCTCCCACCTTCCTAAACCCAAACCTACCCAAACCCACCCACCGTGAGCAACTCCCGGTCCGCCTCCGTACGACATCTCATCATCACCTCGCAGCTGCCGTACTCCAGGATCTCCCGAGTGCTGGGGGGAGGCGGTGGAGGTGGTGGAGGCGCCGCCGCCGGTGCTGCTACTGCTGCCGGTGCTGCGGTCGACTCTGACGCCGTTTCCTCTCCTTTCAGCATCCCTTCCGACCCTTCCTCTTCCTCCGGGTCGTCTACATGCATCATGTCCCCCCCACCGGGTGGCGAGGCTGCCAACCCCGCCTCCCTTGCTGCTACCGGCTCCCCTCCTGCCTTGCTGGTTGTGCTGCCGCCCACCTCGCTCTCGCCTGCTTTGCCGCACTGAGCTCCCCCGCTACCGCTACCGCTGGAGGCGCCTGCCTTCCCCACCTCCGCCGGTGCCGAGGCCCCAGCTGCCGTACCACTAGCTCTGTTGCCGCTGCTGCCGCTGTTCGCTGCCGCCACCATTTCAACAAACTTCTGCAGCCGTAGTCGGAAGTCCACGGAGGGGCGCTCCAGGAGCAGCTGGGGGTGGGGAAGAAGAACACCCAATGTGTCGAATGAGAATGGGATACATTTACAAACAGAACGGCAAGGGGGAGGGGCGTGTAGCAGACGGAGGTGGGTAGGTAAAGAAGATGGAACATACAGTCAGCACCTCGGGCCCTATTCGACACCTCGACTTCGTTCCTCTCAACCCTCTTCCCTTAACCCCTTCCTTTGATCGTTTTTTCCTCTCCCTTCTGCACGCCTACCTCTTCCACCCAACCGCCCAATACCCGCGCCCCTCTTCTCAAACCACAGCCCACTGCGAGTAACCCCTTCACGTTTACCTCCCACCCCTTCTCCTAACTACGGTAACTTCACGTTTAACTTCCTCCCACCCCACTCTCTTACCTCTGGTGGGTATTTCTCCCGCAGCACCCCCAGCGCCTCGTCTATCCGACCCCCGACCACTAGATCGTACACCTGCTGCCGTACGGCAATATCCGCCAAAACCTGCTGCTCATCGTCGTACCGGTCATTATTGTACGACTCATGTTGCTGCTGTTGAGACAGTTGCTGTAACGGCTGCTTGGGCTTGCCGGGGGCCATTGTGGATGGCGAGTGGGAGGAAGAAGGTGACGGTGACAAGGGAGAAGATGAAGGGTCACGGCATGAAGATGACGTGGAGGAGGAGGGTCGAAGCAGATCTCGAGCCAGCAGGGCCGCCGTACTTCCGTACCGCTGGTGAATCAGGTAGTCGTACATGAGTTGAGGCAGGAGTGCCGTACCGCGGCTGGAGAGGAGAGGTAGCTGGGTTTTCCGTACGCTTGCGAGCACCCGCGCTTGTTGGTCGGCCTGTGGTGGGGTAAGTGAGGAATTTCGAGAGGGATTCATGTCAGGAGTTGCCGTTCATTTTACCGTTAGTGGTAAGACTGGTAAATAATGGCACGCGACTGAACATGAGCCTTAGGGGGAGTAAAGAGGAAGCATAACCCTCCCATCCCCTATCCGTTTCTCCCCCCTCAGTCTGCACCTCCTCCCCTCCTCCCCACCTGCAGTGCATGCAAGTCCGTCCGGAAGGGCTCCGCGCCCGTGCCGAAATTGGCAGCCAGCGCCTCACCCCTGGGGGGGGGGCAGCGACAGAGGAGCAGCAGCGACAACGGAGGAGGAGGGGTGCATACGAGAGGTGTGAGGAGGGCTACATGCCGACATGTTTCAAGATATTACGGTAGCCTGAAAACTGTGGAAAGATGAGAAGATGACATCCCACCGAAGTCGAGCAAGCGAAGATTCACCCACCCCTATCCAACCCCCTCGCACCCCCTCCTCCCCACCCAACCCCCCTACCGAGTCCGCATGCCCACGCAGGGGTACAGCGGGGTCGCCTCCTGCACCTCACGGAACGCAACTCCCAACGGCCGGCCGTTCTTGAAGTACGAAATTGTACGTTCCACTTTGTCGTACAGCGCTCCGATGACGTCACCGGTGCCGTACGGGGGACCGTACGGCCGCCCCACACCCTGGCCCGCAAATGCGTGCCTGCGTGGGAGCAATAAACGTGAGCCTTACCATGATGATGCCTTATCACACGGTCAGTTAGATGATTCCTCTTTACCCCCCTGCTCTCACCCGTCGTCCCCATGGTATCCGTACGAGTGCCCCTCCCAGCCCGGCAGCCGAGCCAGCCGTACGTCACTGGTGCAGAACCCCACTCCGATGAAGCCATCCTGCAGGGGGAGGGGTTGAGGGGGCAGGGCAAGGGGGGCGATGATGGCCGTTTAGGGGCGAGTTGGGTGGGAGAGCTGAGGAAACAACAGTAGCCCTTGTGTCTTGGCTGGGAGATGGAAGGTCCGGCACCCTCTCTCTTCCCTCTCCCCCTCCTCCCTCCACCCCCCCCCACACCTACCCCTTGTCCAGCCCACTGCCCCCTCCCAACCCCTAACCGGCCACCACCTTCCCCCAACCCCCATGATGACGCCTTATCACACAGTCAGCTAGTTGTTTCCTCTTTCCCCACCCCCACCCCCCACCCCACCTGCCCCCTGTCCAGCACCCGCACTTCAAAGTAGTACAGCGAGCAGTCCGCGGGCACCGGCAGGTTGGCGCGGATGGCAGCAGCGTGCGAGTCGTCCTCACCCGGACCCACGTAGCGCACACGGGGGCCCTCCACCTGAGGGAGGGCGGGGGGCGGGGGCGGGGGAGAGAACAGAGGAGAGAGGAGACTGAGGGCTGAAGGAGGGGAGGGGAGGTGGGTGGCGGTGGGTGCTGGAGGTGGCAGATGCGAGAAGGCTGATATGGGCGGGTGTGTGGGGTTCGGAAGAGGAGGGCGTAGTGGCAGAGAAGAAGGCTTGTAAGCGGTTTGCGGGAAACTGCGTGCCGGAGGAAGGGTAGCGGAGCTGGTGGAATGGCGGGCGCGAGGTCAAGACCAAGGCGCTCGTTGTGGGGAGTGAGTTATGGGCGGTGTGGTCATACGGGTATGTATCAGTTGAAGAGAATAGAACACAGGGAAATTGATGAGGACAGGGTGGTGCGCGGAGGGGGCTGGCGGAGAGTCTAATACAACATTAATATTAGTTATGCTAGGCAAGACCTGGCGTGTATAAAGGTGTGAGGCATTTCGCCGGAGAGTCGAAGTTTAAGCACACTGTGACAAGCGCTACATTCAACGCTCACAGCAAAGTATAGGTTCATATGCCAAACGGTGTGCTGCTGACTGGAGTATGGCAAAGAGAATCGTGATTTCCCATTAGACCGGTCAAGGAGGCCATAGAACATACCGAAGCAACTCGATGCACCAACTTCTAAGCAATTTGGAAAAGCCCATATAAAAGATGTTTGTGCTGTGCTCGGGTGTTGCAGCGCACCTTGAGAAAGCTCATCGCCAGCTGGTCACTGCGCAAGCTGGCACGAGCCTCCCAAGCTGATGGCAGGGAACACCTGCTTGAATAATATCGACATGATCCTGATGATGCGCCAGCCATCCTGTACTGTTGCCGTGGCACCAATTGGCGGGAGCTGCCGCCTGAATGAAGAAGCCGTTGGTTCCCAAACGTCAAGTAACAAGTAAGATCTTCATGTAACAGAAATAGAGCCGACGATAGAAAGCTAACGTAAGAGTCACCGGTCACTGTCGTCTAGGTAAAATACAACTTGGTAGTGAAATGCGACTTGCACATGTGTTCAAAGAGTTGTCTGGATATTCCTCAGCAACCGACGGCGCCGATCCTCCAGTCGCATAAAGAGTCCGTACGACTCCGCAGGCGCAGCACATGTACGGCACATAGGTCACCTTACAAAGCGCATGCCGGCATGTGTATGGCAGGAACTCCCCATTCATGTGCGTGTCTCTGCCCTACCTTGTCAGGATACTTATCAACTGCTTAGGCTAGAACCTACGCAAGCCGACCTCATAAGCTGGTGCAAGCAGTAGCCACATGTAGCCACCCACGCGTACTTCACAATGCCCCCCCCAGGTGTGTAGCGTAATGCAGGAGCCTCGCTCCCACGCCCCGTCCTAAATCTTCCTAGCCCTCACGTGCCTCTTTTTCGCTTTGGAAACTGGAAGGGATATGCATGTGCTGTACAACAAATTATGGTCGTTAGATTGATCCCATGCGGAGATGATGTCAACACAACGGCCAATCGTCAACACAGAACACGGTTCAACAATTGACGTTTGAAGTTCACCGTCTCCTTTATACGATGCTTAACACTGTCGTACAGTAACGCAGTCCTACATGGACATGCAATACCGGCACCTACCAGCACATGCAGCACCACCATCTGCAGGACGCAGTCCTCTGTACTCAACAATGGGGGCGCGCCCAGCAGTTAAGAGGGCTCCAGATGTACGACAACCACAACAATCAGCTGAGACGTACGACAACCACAACAATCAGCTGAGACGTACGACAACCACAACATTCAGCTGAGACGTACGACAATTACAACATTAGGCCGAGACGTACGACAATCACAACATTAGGCCGAGACGTACGACAATCACAACATTAGGAAGAGACGTACGACAGTCACAACGTCAAGCCGAGACGTAAGATACAAGATCATCTGCACTCTACCACACACCCTCGTGCCAACGTCCAGCCAGGAGCTGGCTTCTTCCATTCAGCCGTTTTCCACTTCCACCAAATCCAGCTGAGCCTCCCTCCCATCAGCCCTCCCTCCAGTCCTCCCTGCGGTTCATCCTCCTCACCCTTGCCTTCCTCCCTCCCTGCCTCTCTCCCTACAGCAGCCGAGTGGCTGCATCCGCGGCCCACACCACCCTCGCCTCCACCTGCTCCCCGGTGCGCGGGTTGTGGGCACTCAGGGTGAGCTCGGTGGAGCCGAACCGCAGGTCAGCCTGGGGGGGGGTCAAAGACCATACCGAACCATAGGAAGCCACAGGTTGGGGCAAGACAATGGGGGTAGAAACGGCAGGGTGCCACAAAAACAAGTATGGGTTAGCGGTCCCTACCGATACCGAGTCCGGGGTGACGGCGGGGGCGGGGGCGAGGTAGGTTATTGGGGCGCCGTAGGGGTTCAGAAGGTAACAACCATGTGACATATCCACATCTAGGCTCCGCCATGGGGTGCAACGCAATGGCTGCCGGCCCTTCCAGCCCATCCCAAGGAAGAGAAGTGCGGGGCAAGGTACTTCCCGCCAACTCTCATCTACCGTTCAAGAAACAAGAAACCCCAGCCCTGTACGACACCCCCTCATCCCCCCCTCCCCCCCTCACCTGTACGATGTAGCCCCATGTGCCCTCCCGCGCCACCTCCTCGCACTCCGCCCACCCCGCCGGCAGCCGCAGTACGGCACACCCCAGCTGACGCATGCCGGGCTCGGCGATGTACGACGGAGAGCTCGAATGGGTGCCGTACAACTCAAGGAATATGGTGTCCTGGGACCTGTTTGGTGGTGCGGTTCATGGGTGCGGTATGGCATGTACGGCATACCTAACTATGTGTGTGTGTTTTATAGGCGGGATGAGGAGGAGGTAGAGAGTAGGAGAGGAGGAAGGCAAATGCGGACGAATGCCCCTTGTCTCCCAACTCTACCAGGAAGCTGCCCGGAAGCTATAATGGCATAACTTACAGACCGGTGCGAGTTACCCCAAACACCAAACAACACTCCTTTCCGTTCTTCCTCACTTTTGCAGCGGTGCCACGTAGTGTGTCACCACCTCCTCCGCCCCCACCAGCTGCCCCCGCAACACGAAGGGGGCGAAGACGTTATCTGGGTTTGGAGGAGGGAAACAGGGGCCCAGGTTAGGGATGTTAGGACGTAATGCTAGCAAAGGACTTGTCCAGGACCCTATGCGGCTTGCGTATGCACCTCTTAGCCGACATTGCCGAAACACCACCCATCTAACCTGCAAAGAAGGTTCCGTCCTCGTCATTGTAAACCTGAGGCGGGTTGAGGCATTGGGGGGGCGTTGGGGGTTAGCAGCAGGGCGGGCTAGACGGAGAGTTTAAGGGAGGGCTTCCACCTCCCCTCCCCTCCCCACCTCCCCTCCCCTCCCCAGCTCCCTTCCCCTCCCCTCACAGCTTCCCTTCAGCACCCCGCATCAACCGACCAGCCATGGCGTTTCCGTGGGGACTTTATCCTCCGGCAATCACGGTACATTCCGACTCGCGACCAGCCTCCCTTAAAACACACACGCACACACCTACCTTGTCCGGGTATCCCCGCGCCGCCGCGCTCGCCTCATGCCGCGGCGACCAGGGTGCAGTGGCCGCCAGCCCGTAGCTCAGCCGGCACCGCCGCGCGCACACGCGGGTGGGCTCCCGGCCGTACAGTACGGCACCTGGGGGGGCGGGTGGGTGGGGGGAGGTTGAGGGAGGGAAAGAAGGAAAGAAGAAAGGAAGGAGAAACTCCATGCTGGGAACGATGGTGACGATGCTGGACAATGTAGCTGTACAAGGTACCGGTAGGGGGTAAGGGAGGCAGCGAGATGCAGCGGAGGTTTAGGTCGACCGGGAAAGAACCACTGTTATGACTGCAGTGCTACGCCCTGACGCGCCCTCCCAGGTTGCTTTGCCTGATCATGGCTGGGGTTCTCTCTGACATCCCTCCCAACAACAACCTCCAAACAACAACCTCAGACAACACCCAATCCCCAACCCCACCCCCACCCGTCAGTACGGCAGCTGCAGGGTGTTCAGGGAGCAGCAACGGAGGCGACGGCGGTGGCGAAGGTTTTGGCGGCTGTTGGTAGGGCAGCGCTACAGCCACTGCATCTTCAGCCGCAACTGCTCCTACAGCTGCGGATGCGGATGCGGCGGCGGCGGCGGCGTTCAGCTCCGTCTCAGCCCCCGCCTGAGCCTGCTGCGGTGGCGTCATGAGTCCCTCCACGAGCTCATGTCGTACAGTTCGTTGCAGGTAGGGCGAGCAGGCGAAGCCGCCAGCTAGCAGCACCTGAGCGTGCGCGGTTGCGGAGCGGGTGAGGGTACGGTAAACGGAGGACTGTTCCCAAGAAGATATAGAAAAAAGGCACAAGGTTTAACGGATGCACGCCTGCGCAAGCGAAGCGCCATGTGCCTGCAGAAAAGTACCGTACTGTCCTGGTCAGGCTCCTGAGGAGCTGAGGAGCAGCTGCCTACGTGCAGCCGATGACGCAGATTCGCTGATGGAAAGCTTGCGAGGACGGGACAAGAACATGTCCTGACACCTTATAACACGGCCGCCACTCGGATAAGAGAGAACTAAGGAAACCCAAACCGTGCCGTACACATACACATACACACATACCTTGGTCACCGCATGTCCGTTCCCGCGCCCCTCCTCCGCCACCCGTCGTGCCAGCGCCAGCACGCGCCGAACCACGGGTCGGAACACCCGCCCCTGCAGCACCTCCCCGGGCAGCACCAGCTGCGTGGGGCGCAGCGGGCAGGCGGGCAGCAGCCAGGGGCGGGAGGTGGGAGGTGATGACCCGTGGGTCGCTGATGGAGATGACGACGAAGATGTAGATGCTGGTGGGGTCCAAGTGAGCTCCTGAAGGGGTGTGGGTTGGAATGGGTTGTCGAGATTGCAGGAAGAGAGGGGAAACTAGGAACTCCCAGTGGATTTTCCAAGGGGATTCGGAGGCTAAATAGCGGCTTGTACCGGTAGTAAGCTATGGGAAGACTCTTTTTTCCTCCTTCACGCTTCACCCTTCGTTCAGCACAACACTCCCGTCTTCCTACTTGCTGCCATTCCCACACCCGTCAACCCGCACCTTGCGCCTTTCCTCCGGGATCGCCGCCACCAGGCTCGGCGGAAGCGGCAGTACAATGTCGTACCTCCCCTCTCGCCGTACGTACAACCTCGCCTTCGCAGCAGCAGCGCTATCACCCCCCTCATAATCCTCCTCCTCCCAGCCGTCATCTTCTTCCTCCTCCTCCTCTCCGTACTCCTCGTCTTGGTGGGTCGTCCGCGCTGCCTCCACTAGCGTCCAGCTGTATCCGACAGACGACGACGAGACGTCACCGGCGGTAGGAACCGCTGCAGCTGTGGTGGTAGCGGTGGCAGCAGGAGAAGGAGCGGATATAGTAACAGTAAAGGATAAATGTGCCATCAGTATCAGCTGGCATCAGCAGGTGGTGATAACGGCACGTTATCACCTGTGTCGTGCCCCGCAGGGGCAGCAGCGGCAGCGGCGGCGCCAGTAGCAGCAGCAGCAGCGGTAGTAGCAGACTTGTTGTTGCTGATGTAGCGACGCAGGAGGTTGGGTAGCGGTTGAACGCCGTCGAACTGCCGCTTGGCTCGTTCCCATCTGCAGGTATGTACGGCACATGTACGACGCGTGTACGGCACATGTTGAGAAGCTATGTGGCGGGACCCGCGGGAGGTACCGTGCCGTATCATGCGAGCAAATGTCCCCCTCATTAAAAGCCCTGCTGCCAATCTTTCCCTGCTTCTTCAATCTTTTTCCGTTCTCAAACCCTGCAACTCTCGCGGCCCTGGCTACGGCAAACCCATCTGGCCTTTCCTCACAACCCAACCCACTCATGCGTACTAATCCAGCGCAGCAAGTCAGCCCTGTCTCACGTGTCTCGCAGGCTGGTCCAGTCCCCCGGGTGCTCAGCTGTCCAGGTGACCCACGGGTCGCTCCCCACCACCTCGGACCGCACGCAGCGCCAGAGCGCCTCGTCCACGAAGCGACCGCCCGCCCACACGCCTGGCAGGCAAGTGAAGCAAGGTAGGGGGTCAGGGG